AGCAAGACTTCCGTGCAACCGGTGAACAGAGCTCCAAAGCGTATGCCTTACAAGCCTTGTCACTTCATCTAACATATGACAACATTTTGATCGTGCTTTACCGTCCTTTGATTTCAAGGCAGGTGGACCATCTTTGGACGAGCAACATGTCACCTGGGGTTGACGAAATCCATTCGACTGCTTTTGCGACGGCAGCTGCTCCAGACTCGTCCAGAAGAACTCCTATCCAAACCAGCACAGCCAACTCGGAATTTTGGATGAAAGCCGCCATTCGAACGTCCAGGATAACTGAACTGCCGGTGCTTGCGCAACTGGCGACCGATAGTCATTTGGTCGCCTTCCTTGCCATCAATCTATTCAACGCCGCGGTTGTCTTGGCAGTAATGGCCATATCAGAGCCGCTTTCTGATGCAGCTCAAGAAGTGAAGCGGACGATGACCCGCATTCTTCGTCTACAAGACCTCTTGGGAAAGCGCTCAGCCCTCTCCAGACAAAGTACTCAGGTTCTGAAGAAGGTGGTTACGATGCTTCTTCGCCGGGAATCGGCCGCCATGCTCGCCCCTCTTGCGGAATCCACCGCCTTCACTGAGTACGATACCAATGGCGACCGAGCTCTACCTGACCCACCTCCCATGTCTGTCGAAGAGACGCTGCGATTGCCGTTAAATGCGACTTTAGACATGGTGGATCCCTTGGTGGGCAGTCAGGGGAGCTCTAACTTCGATCGCGCTGGTCGCGTCAATGAAAGCTTGACTTCCCTTCAGTACGGTAAGCCATTCTCATCTCCCCATTTTCTTTTTCTTCTTTTTTTGTGCTGATGCTGATGCTTGTGGGAAATCCCCAGTCATGGTTCCCGGCCAGGATTACACGCTCCACGTTCCTGTACTAGGAGAAAGTCAGCGGGGTCAATTGCCTGCTCATCCTAACATTTCACCGGCGAATGACTGGGCGCTCCCTGCGCCAAGCGACTGGCAACAGCCCAATGGTCTCACGCCACCTGGGGAAGACGGGCATTACAACAACGTAGAAAACGGTCTCTTTTGGCTCTGGGACACCACATGGAATGGGCTGTGAATAAATGTTTCTAAACTTGCTACACGGTGTATCTCTCTATCTCAAAGTTCCATGGTCGCCATAAAAAGAAGTCACCCGCACCGAAACCCAGCTTCTACGCCTCAACAGCATTGGCTGTTTCTGCGTCCACCTCCGGTCCATATATGACACTCTTGATTCCTATCCTGTTTGCCACATTCTGGAATGCCTCCTCGACCTGCGAGAAGGAGTATTCGTGAGTGACAAGGCCGTCGACATTGACGCGTCGGGCGTCAAGCAGTCCTATGGCGGTTCGGAAATCTCCAGGGCCGTAGCGGAAGCTGCCCTTCAGGGTAACCTCTTTATCGCAGATTTGGCCAATGGGAACGGTGACACTCGGTCTACCCAAGCCGACCTGGATGAAGGTTCCTCCTGGCGTGACCGCGTGTAGACCACAGACAAGGCAAGGCTCCGCCCCCGTTGCGTCCAAGACCACATCTGCGCCGTCTTCGAGTCCCGCCGCTCTGAGAAGGTCGACCGCATTCACCTCAGGCGATGCGTCACTCATTTGGTATGTATGTGTGGCTCCGTACTTTCCAGCGACCGTAAGCCGACTGGAAACAATATCAACCGCAACGACGGTAGATGCACCAAAGGCACGGGCAACAGCACAGCAGAGGAGTCCAACCGGGCCCGCCCCGAAGATGATGACAGACTTGGTTTGCATATCTCCTGCGAGCCGACAAGCATGCACTGCGACACTCAACGGCTCAACCAATGCGCCCTGACGCAGTGAAATATGAGCGGGAAGTTTGAAACAGCACTCGACCGGGACGCGGTAGTATGTGCAAAGTGTCCCGTCAATCGGCGGCGTCGCTGCAAATCGCATGTCACGGCACAGATTATAACGTCCCCTGCGACACGGCTCGCACGTATTGCAGGCGACGCCGGGCTCTAGGGCAACGCGGTCTCCCACGGCGATCCCTTCAGCTTTGCTGCCGCAAGAGACCACGATTCCTGTTGACTCATGGCCCAGGATGATTGGTTGCTCTACCACATAGCGACCGATTCTTCCATGTTGCCAGTAATGTACCTGTTGGAAAATGGACACATTAACTCCGAATTGACTCACCAGTGTCAAGAGGATCGAATTCAACACTCACGTCGGAGCCGCAGAGCCCGGTTGCGACAATCTTCACAATGACATCCCTTTCGGACTGGACCTCTAGTACCTTGCGGGTTTCGTAGTAAAATGAGCCGCCTGGTTTGAGCACGGCAGCTAAATTTGCGTCCTTGAATCGAAGAATTAGTGACCCGAATTTGGAAGCTTTAGAGACAGTCCGAGTGACATTCATGGAATCGCCTACCTGAGTCGAATCTGCAGCAATCATGTTTCCAAGCCTTGAGCAATTTGAAGGTCAGATTTATGAAGATCTGCTAATCTGTCCCGGCTCCTCTCTGTCTTTTATTATACCTGCCGGCAGGTTGTGTTTATAAACCACAGGCGCACTGACTCGAATCCGGCGGAGCAGTGCAGCTTCGGTTCCGGCCTTCCTAACAATGATTGCATTGCTGATTGCTGATTCCCCGCATCGATCGACCATCGACTAGAGCTAGTGAGACATCAAAACGAGGATCTTCCCCGGTCGGCTTCGTCCCCACCTTCATAATTATTTCTTCTTCCCGTGGCGGTGGTCTCGACACCGATTTCTTCGGGTTCTAAGACCTATCCGCCTAGCTTGTCTCTCAATGCCTGGTCAGACTTGCTTCCTGCTAGTGATAAGCAAGGAGCGATTCCGATCCCAGACAGGAAAAACTCTCCTTCTCGGATTGCTGTCATCCAGCGCTGAGCAAGCTCTGTTCCGTATGGATTTTGTCCCGACGCGAGTCATCCGGGCCAGTGTTAACAGCCCTCTTGGGCAGGCGCTCATTGCTGAGCATAGTGGGTCCGGAACCGAATTTCTGGTCAGGCAAGTCAGCATCCGCCGGAACCGAGTGTGCGAACCCGCCTGGGACTACACAATGCGCCCTGAATTGATATAGCATCAGAGCGAAAGCAACATGCAAACGGCTGTCTATGACCTGGATTGGAGTATGGAGTGATTGCCGTCATCTCTTCTGGGGATGTATATACCAAACTTACACGTGACCTCCGCATCACGGCGGCGTACTATAGAGACACTGCAGGAAATGGCCGGGTTGTCTTCCCCTAGCTCGATGATTCGCCGAAGAATTTACTATTGGTGTGGCCAGGGTTCAACTTTGCCTTCGTGCCGATCGTGTATCTCTTCTACTCGGAGACAGCCCACCGGTCGCTGGATTAAATTGATCGCTTCTTTCAGGATAGCAATGGTGTCTTTGTTAGAATGTGCCGGAGACCATCGGGGTCGAACGACTGCTCCGGTATGTTGTGCCGGAAAATGAGCGGCTCCAGCTCGGTACGACTGTTACGGGCGCTAAGATGGGGGCTGGTGTGATGGAGTATAAGGAGCATGCTTAAAGACTGGCTTCTGCCAGGTCAGGGTAGTGGTACGCCAAGCTCATACTTCAACAGTTGCCATGTCAGCGGCATACCCAGGATTACATTCTTATTTCGAAGGCAGATGGCAGAAAAAGATATTCAAATCAATACAAAAGGTTACGATTTCATTTCACGATGAACGGGATAGAAAGAGAGTCACCTCAACGAAACAGCGAGTGAATCAAGCCTGGAGGCGACTGACATCCAGCCTCACTTCCAAACATGACCCTCCATCTTCAAGTACTCGACACTCTCAGCCTGCTCCACCACCTCATCCTCGTCGTTCTTCAGGAGCCCCTGGTCGAACAGATCAGCACCAAATTTCCACGGCTTGCGAGACGCCGGGCAATGCATAGGTATCCTGAATTTATAGTCGGTGCCCCATTCAATCGCACCGTGCCGGTTCCAGGCGCACTCCAAGTGAAAATAGGTAGTGCAACCCTCGCAGCACAGGTCCACGTGCGGGTCGGCGCGCTCGCAGATGTCGCACGCCGCATCCGCGGGCTTGTTGGCTGGGTTATTGATCTTGCGCGCCAGGACGCGGCGGCGGGCCTCCTCGGCGGGCTGCAGGCAGTCCCAGTTGCGGAAGTCGTTGCTGGAGAAGACCTCTTCGAAGCTGCGGTGCTTCTTGATCTGCTCCAAGGTCGGACATCCCAGCTGCGTGCGCCAGGGGAAGAACATGATCGTGCCTGGCTTCGGAGTGTCGTCGCCGGTACTCTGCGGCGTGAGGATTGCGGGGTGGCCGTCGCTGTCGCTTGACTCATTCTCGCTGTCGGTCTGCTGGGGCGTGAGAAGGACGCCCCCGTCTTCACTGCTGAACCCGGCTCCGTCGTCGGATGTCTGCGTCGCAGCATGGGATGTTGAGGGGGTCGGCACGCGCGACCCAGCGTCAGATGCCTGAGGAGCTGTGGCAGGCTCGCTTGCCGCACTAAGGCGGGCGAGATCCTTTTTCAGCTCGCTGTAGGCGCGGAAACGGAAGTAGGACATCTTGAAGCTGAGTTGGGGAGGTGAAGTCGGGTGAAGGTGAAGATGAAGGTGGTCGATGGTTGATGTTACTGATGGCGATCATCACGGTCCATATATACGCAGCAGCACAGGGATAGGAGTTCTCTACAACAAAGAAAAGAGCTCACAATGCCCATTGTATCAAGGATGGAGTATAACAACGAGTAAACAACGAATGGCCTGATTCAGGCCTGGTACCCAACTGAAGAAGTACTTGCAAATTCTTTGTCACGCGACTGTAGGCAGTTATCCTCATTGATCTATTACACCAATCTTTTTATACTGAAATGACAGTCTCATCAATCCTCATATTCCGTTCATTATGCAGATGCAAGCACCAAGCACCCCTTGTTTTCGCTTCTTCATCTCCACCATCACGCTGAATCAAATCACAAAGCATCTCAACCAGTTACTTACACACTCCATCCTCTGCCCTCATCTTCCTCGTCATACCTAATCCCCCCCCCCCCAAGAACCTATTTTGGATCATGCGCAACAACCTCAATCTCAACGCGCATATCATCCTCGCCCAGCCGCGTGACCCCGACACAGGTCCACAGGGGCTCGTGGTCGGGCATCCACTTCTCGAAGTTCCGGACCATGGCGTCCAGCGCCTCGTTGTTGATGGGCACGTGGTACGAATTCACCCGGAACACCTGGCTCCAGCCCTTGCCGCCAGCGGTCTTCAGGTTCAGGTCCACGTTCGCGAAGGCCTGGTCGATCTGCGCGTTGATCTCGCGGTGGATCTCGCCGGTCTGTGGGTCCCAGCCGCCTGTTTACCCAGAGATTTAGCATTGCATTGTGTATGCAAGATGGTGAGGGAAGGAGAGGACCTACCCTGGCCGGAACATTCGATGCGGTCGCCGATGCGGACGGCCTGGCTGTATTTGAAGGTTTGTTGGTTGCGCTTGCCGATACCGTCGTAGTTGTAGTAGGTGAGGTGGGACATGATGCCTGATTAGTGTAGGTAGAGGGAATGTTAAGTCGAGGGGGTCTTAAGGTAAAGGTGAAATAGGAATGAATTGAGGTTACATGCGATGACGATGGGGTTTTATAGAGTTCCCGGGGCGGGTTAGAGACAGCGGAATATATGTTCCGCGGGGAAGGAGTGGCCCTGAGGAGATGAAGTCATGGATGTTCTCTCACATTCTGTCTGTCTCAGATCGGTGACACTTTCTGTCCCTTATTCCTAGATAAACAAAGCCAGAGCAAACTCATTCTAATGCGAAGGAATGGAATTTGCCAAGCTCTCTTCGTGAAGTGTCCAGAATGTCAACATTACATGCGGGAACTTGCACCACACAGCATTCTCTGAGTACAGTACTGTATCTAGACTCAACTTCCAATCAACTTCCAAGATTGGTCTGAAGTCCGACTTCCTAGGTATGTTCCCACATATACCATAGTCCATCAATTTACATATATAGTTAGAATCTGAGAATCACTGCAAAGCCAAGCATCAACCCAGCCCGTCCGTCAATCAAAATCACGTGACCCGGAGTCATGAGTAATCGACTCCCAGCGTGGCCCAAGACTAACCTGTTTAGGCGCTAGTGGCTGGCGGTGACCACATCCCCCGACCGCCCGGAGATATACTGCCGGCGGACCGCATTCGGCGCCAGCAAGCTCCGCCCGGTGGTTCCTCGTCCTTCTTTCCATTCCCCAGCCTTGGAATTATTCAATTATTCGCAACTGAGATCTGAACCACACTCTTTTACTTTCCTACTCTTTCATCCAGTTCCATCCACTCCCTCATCCATAAACACTTTTCCTAACACTCAATTGCATCCATCCCGCACCAGCATCTGTACACTAGACCTCATCACCCCAACCCCAACCCATCATTCGTATTCTACCCTTGCGACTCCGCGACACTAATCAGCCATAGTAAGCTCCGCCCAGCACCAACGCCCCCAACAAAGACCACCCTCACTAACACCCAATCACCGCAGCTACCCTCCACAAATTTCTCACCCCCAAAGACCAAAAAAAATGTCCATCCGCACCCTCTCGGACACCGACTTCGAAGACAGCACGCTGAAGCGCGCGCGCACGGACCCGACCGCGCACCGGCTCTGCTACGACTGGATGATCGTGCAGGGCAACTGCCACTACGCGCGCGACCGCGCCGCCTTCACGAGCTACCGGCCCGTGACCACCGTGCGCCTGCAGACCAACATCTTCAACCCGATGGAGGAGCTGGAGGTGGCCGGCGTCGGCACGGTGGAGATACCTGTGATGCGGTCGCTGACGGACCCCACCAACCCCAACCACAACCCGTTCGACAACACCCAGTCCAACACCAACACGCACACCCTCGTCCTCGAGAACGTCCTGCACATCCCCGAGGCCGTCTGCAACGGGTTCAATCCGCTGCTGTACGGGAGCAGCATGTCGTGCACGGCCGAGAGCTGGACGGGCGCGGATCGCGCGGGCACCCCGCTGTGGGTGGCGACCCCCTTCGCGGGCGGGTCGCGGCTGGTGCTGGCCGGCGCGGCGGCGCAGCTGCAGCACCAGCAGGGGGTCTCGGAGCTGATTGCCGGGCGGTATTATACGCTGAGTCTGTATATTAGTCCTGCGGAGAAGGCGGAGTTGATGGGGTAAAGATGGGGAGAGGTTGTTTGCCGCAGAGATGGGAAAGTGATTGTGGCAACCGAGGGAGAAAAGGGAAGAGTGAATCCTGTTGGGGCGAGGCAGGAGGCAACATGACAGGTGACTGTCGGCTCGTCTGTACTGTACAATATATTATGATACCTATGATAGAATATAGCAAAAAAGCAATACGATACGATTCCGGATAAGTCAAGCGAGATGCATGGCGAAAAAAAGCATGGCATGGCATGGCATGGCATGCCTGCCCCTCCGTCGGGGGTCGGATGGACACGTGGAAGAGCGGCAGTCGGAGAGCTTCACCCAGCTCGATCGATGCCATGAGATGGGATACAGAAAGAATTCCCAATAACCTCCTGCAGTAGCTTGGGCGCTTAAACGGTCCGGTCAATTCGATTGTGGATCGAGTGACTGGGAAAGAGCGTCTGTGCGAAAGGTCAGTCAGTCACTCAGTACTCAGTGAGAGAGTGTTTGGAGGCAATTTACTGATCATCCCGGGGTCTAATTTAGGGCTCGATCCCAACTTCACGCCATGTGGGCAGCAAAGACCGCGGGGAAAGTGAAAGTGAATGAAAGGGGGGATATACCTCAGCCCACTATAGTTCGACCCAACCACTCGCTTAAGACCCTGAAATCCAGTTCACATGTGTCTCCATGCGTCCTTAGGACGGAGTCGAGGGCCGAGAACCTACCAGAAAAGAAAGGGTCTAATCTCGCATCTCGTGTGTCGAAGTGTGTCTAATCCCCATGGGGTCTTCTCTCGTCCGGCTGTTCGGCCCGTGGCCCGTCTGTCACGCAAAGCACCACCAAACACCCCCAGAAACCACCCAATATGGCTCAATCTTGCCCCAACCAACCTTTTTTCAATCCAATATCCAGCGAGATGGCAAATGGCAAATAGCAGATGGCAAATGGCAAACCCAACGATCGTGTTTCCCTGCGGCAGTCCGGCCCAGACTGCCACTGCACACACCCTCTCTTGCCTTTCGGGCATCCCCAGCTTCCCCGGATTCATCTAATCCCGTTTGGATACGGGGTCTCATCCTTGCTGCAATTAGCCCGCCACTCAGCCTATTCTTTGCGAGTCCCTGTCCCTGTCCTATCACAGCGCCTCCTCCCCAGCAAATTTTCCGCGGCATCTGGTGACAGGAAGGGACTATAGTCAGACATGCAGCAATACCCAGTCTTACCATGCCATGCCACCACCCCTCGCCCGCCCGCCAGCCCGCCCTCGCTTCAATTTTCGATGGTATATATGAGCTCCTTGATTTCCGCTCGAGAGTCCGGTTTCTCCTTTTTTTTCTTTGTTTCTCAGGTCAGCTTTGAACATCAATTCGAAAGATTGTCTTCCGGAAGCTCTCTCACACCATGTCTGAGAAACATACGGCGGAGGTCTCCCACCTGGACTCGTCCGAGGTCCAGGTCAAGGGGGTCCACAATGCGGCGTTGGCGGTGGCCACCATCCAGCAGAAACCCAGTCTGTGGAGCAAGAGCATGCTCAAGGTATGCCACTCGGTGATGTGGTGCGTGGGCGGGCGTTGCGGGTGCTAACGGACAGTTAGCTGTACTGCTGTATCGCGGTCGCCATGCTCAACTCCTGCATCAACGGTTACGACGGTTCCCTGATGGGCTCGATCAACAGTTATCCCCAGTACCGCGATTACTTCGGGTTCGACCCGGACGCCGGTACCCCCTCGACCGGTATTGTGTACGCCATCTATACCATCGGAAACATCGTCGGATCGTTCACGGCCGGTCCCTTCACTGATTTCAAGGGTACATTCTTCTTTCCCCATTCCCTTGGGTCTGACTACGGAACCAAGGCTCTGACAGGCGTACAATAGGGCGACGAGTCGGCATGGCGATCGGCGCCATCTTCATCATCATCGGAACCTGCGTGCAAGCCTCGTGCCACAACCTGGGCGGATTTATGGGCGGCCGCTTCTTGCTGGGATTCGGCGTGGCGACCTCGGCCACTGCCGGACCGGCTTACGTGTCGGAGATGGCCCACCCGGCCTACCGCGGTGCCATGACGGGTCTGTACAACGTGCTGTGGTTCGGGGGTGGTATTCCGGGCACCTTCATCCCCTGGCGCACCAGCCACATCCAGAGCGATATGAGCTGGCGGATTCCGATCTGGCTGCAGATGGTGTTCTCCGGGCTGGTGTTGTGTTTCGTTTACTTCCTCCCTGAGGTAGGTCTCTAATGGTTATCCGTGCCGTGAAGACAAGAGGCTCATCGTGTCCAGTCCCCCCGTTGGCTCATGTCCCACGACCGTCACGAAGACGCCCTCAACGTGCTGGCCGAATACCACGGCGAGGGCGACCGCAACGCTCCGATCGTGCAGCTGGAATACCGGGAGATGATGGAGGACATTTCCAAGACGGGGTCCGACAAGCGGTGGTGGGATTACCGCGAGCTGTTCAACACGCGCGAGACGCGCTATCGGTCCATGCTGGTGATCTTCATGGGTGAGTTTCCCCAGAGCCCCCTCACCGTAGCCACCGCAACTGACATCGCACACAGCTCTCTTCGGCCAATGGTCCGGCAACGGCCCCGTCAGCTACTACTACCCGCAGATGCTCCGCGGCGCGGGGATCACCAGCAACAACACGCAGCTGCTGCTGCAGGGCTTGCAGAACGTGGTGTCGCTGATCGGAGCGGTGTCCGGGGCGTTGCTGACGGACCGGTTCGGGCGGCGGCAGCAGCTGCTGGTGTCGACCAGCCTGGTGGTGGTGCTGTTCATCATCGTGACGGCGCTGAACGCGACCAACGTCGTCGACGGGCCCGACGGCACCCCGACCGCCAAGAGCGGCATCACCGCGCGCGCCCAGATCGCCATGATCTTCATCTTCGGCTTCGTCATCTCCGCCGGCTGGACCCCCAACCAGGCCATGTACCCCGTCGAGTGTCTGCGGTACGAGTCCCGCGCCAAGGGCATGGGCATGAACAACGTAAGTTTGGTTGGTGACTGGCAGGCTTCGTGTAAAAGATCCTAACCGACGAGACAGTTCTTCGTCAACATCGCCTCCTTCTACAATACCTTCGTCACCGGCATCGCCTTCACCCGCGCCGGCTGGAAGTACTACTTCCTCTTCATCTTTTGGGACACCCTCGAGGTCATCGTCATCTACTTCCTGTTCGTCGAGACCAGCAAGCGCACCCTCGAGGAATTGACCGAGATCTTCCAGGCCAAGAACCCAGTCAAGGCCTCGCTGAAGCGCGATGAGGTGCTCGTGTCGGGCGGGGAGGCGACGCAGATCACCAAGGAGACGGAGGCGTGATACGCTGGGGGGTGGGTTGAATGAGGAATAGTGGAGGAGTAATGGGAGGCTTCTGGGTGGTTGGAATGTTTGGATGTTCGCTGTGGCAGTCGATTATAACTTATCATTAACATTAATAAGGAAGCTGCTGCTGCTGCTGCTGCACCGTCCGATTTGGCCACTGCTTCTGCTCCCTGTATACATCTACAATCAAGTAAGCTTCATGCCCAGAATGATGATACCTCCTGTACAGCCCAGGTTCTGCTCCGTGCAGTCCCCAAGGAAGGTATTCCACTTATCCTATCACAGGTTCAGGCAGGCGCGCGACCCACGGCTCAGGGACAAGAATCCGGGATTAGGGCTGCATGAGCGACAGACAACCTGCCTGGCCCCTGACTGAAGCGGATACTTAGTTATCTACTCCGTGGTTAGGAGTTATTCATTCGGCCTCAGTGGTCATGTATCTTATCGCTGATGGCCCCAGCGTAGTCACTTTTCAGATAACTACCCTACCTAAGATATATTAGTACTTGGAGGTTAGTACGTACTACCTTAGGTAGTACTGTAGTAGGTACCTCAAAGAAGTTAAGGTCCCCAATCGGCTGTACATAAAAACAGACTTCCTATAGCTATCCTTGCGCCTAGTCACGTGAGGTTGGACACAGTCGGACACCCCCAAAACACGGCACCCGAACTCCTTATAAACACCTAGTTATTAAACAATACTCCAACTGCTCAGTGAGGTGACCTACTATCTAAGAACGGACTCTGACTCTTACTATTATCTTCTTTGCCTTCCAACCGAGCCAATCTATTTCTCTCGCCAAATGTCAGTCACTCAACTAAAGCGCATAACCGCTGTATGACTTCTCCACCACCCTGGTTAGCCCACCATGTCTACTACAAGCAAACCTGGGGCAGACTCACTCCGTCCGCGTCGCCTCCAGTCCTTGAAAGTCTTGGCTTATTCTCAATTCCTCGTAATTATCAACTCCTGCACGACATGAATCCCCCCTTCTTCCCCCGTCATCCGCCGACCCTCCGCATCCACCGCCGCCAGCATGATCTGCTCATCACTGACCGTCGCCAACTGCGTCCACTGCGTATCCGGCAACGACAGGGGGTGCCGGAACTTCTTCTTCCGGGACTGCGAATGCGCACTGCTCGGATGCTCTCCTTCCGAAAGGGGATACCCGGACCCCCCGGGCCCCGGCCCAGTCGTCGTGCTTCCGCCCTTCGCGTTCAAGCTGTGGGATGACCAGTAGCTGCCCGCCCGTTTCACCATCCGGCGACACACGGGGTAGATCATGGGGAGGTTGCCGATCAGGACGGCGACGAAGGTCTCGCGGCAGGCCCAGCTGCCGGCTTGCGAGGCGCCGTTCGCGCCGGCCTTTGGGTTTTTTTTTTTCCATTAGCAAGGCATTTTCGTCGTTCATTTGAAAAGACGGAGGCGGGGGGAGGGATCAGTAGTCACTCCACGGAAGAGTCAATCAAGTAAGGGGGGTTTACGCACCGTGACAATCAACACACACCGCAGAATCCCCGCCGCCATGACGAATAGCCCGCCGCTGAACAACACCACCAATTCGAATTTCTCTCGCCATGGGAGACGGGCTTTGAAGAGGATCTATCCCATAACACGATCAGCCTTGATCCCAAGCAAGAACCAAAATCATCATCGGTCCGGATCTTTCCGAGAAGGGGGGAGCGTACAGGGAACGGAATCGAAATCAAATACACATCCGTCACCACATTCAGCGTCACCGTGACATACACATCGATCGGCGAGACGGCCGGCTGGCAATAGTTCCCGGGATCCGGGTGGATCTGCCAGTTCCTGTGCAGCGGACGACACCCCAGCAGGATACTCAGGATGACCGCGAGGTAGGTGCCGGCGATGAAGATGTAGGCGAGGCGGATGCGACGGGTCATGTTGTACAGCCCAGCCCTAGATTGTGGGGGGTCAATCGAACAGCCACAAAACAAGACACCAATAATCCGTCCAACCAGGAACGCAGAGACGTACGTCAGTCTCGCATAGAACACCGCCATGCACGTCTTGAGCAACCACAGCAAAGTGGTGTACAGCGACCATCCCAGCACTTGGGTCTTGGAGCCCCCGACGCGGAGCCGGTACTCTTCGGACTGCGGCGAGAGCGCCGCGCGCTGGGCTGCGGTCATCGCGTTGTTGGCGAGACCGTGCCACCAGGCGCTGACGCAGTAGGCGGCGCCGGTTTCGAGGGCGTACACTACCTGCCAGCAAGAAAATTGGTAAGAGGGTGGACATCGACCGATAGGGTTTTGTGTGGTTGTCATGAAGGGGGGGGCGGTGGGAATGGGGGTTTGGGGCAGTCAGCAGCCAAGCTGGTCGTAGGTAAGTAAGACGTACCCCTGCAACCGGCATCAAATAATCATCCAATGCGAAGTTCTTAGGCCCCGCCGTAATCCACCGGGCCGCGATGCGGCAGGCAATGGTCAGAATGGCAATGGCCAGGAGGGTAAAAGCCTCAATGACGAAATCGTCAGCCATGAAGCCGGGAAAGGGAAGGAAGCAGAAAACAAAAAGAAGGGGAAAAGAAAGTCGTCCGTGGAACCATTCCGAAGCAAGGCAGATCAGATCGGGGGAAGAGAAGGGGGGGGGGGGGTTATTATGTATAAGACAGGTTTTATCAGGGGAAGAGACAGAGAGAGGGATTTGCATCATCATCTGTGCATTTTTTTTTGGTTTCGTTGTTTGCTCTTTGCTTCTATGTATCACTTTTTTCCCCTGGACAACAAACACAAATGCCGACTCGTCAATGGCTCGGGAAAGACAAACGCAGAACCCGCATACGTAGGAAGGATGGATGGACATGGGCTCCACTTTTCCCCGTCCTGGTACTTCTTGCAGGTTGGTTACTACGTAGCAAGAGTACCGTTTTTCTGCAGAACAGAACAGGGAAGTGGACAATGGGCAAGGCATAACACACTAAATACAAAATAGTCTACTGACCGTTTGGTGCCCCATGTCCGATGAACCGGTGGTCCCCCTGGGGTTGGAACAGGGGGGAAGCCCGACTGCCCCCGAGAGGGGGCACTGTGACACCAGTGGCCAGTGGCTAACTTAGTAGCCAGGAAGTGGGCCCACGGCATGGCTCATGGCATGGCTTGTAGCATGGCTTGTGACATGGGGTGTGCCGCCTGTCAGACCGTTGCTTCAGCGGATGAGCCGAGCTGTCATCTCCATTCAACGGTGGAGCCAACGGGCGACATTCACTGTTCGTTAACCCTAAGCGGTGTTAGTGGGTGAAACGACCCCGCCACAACAACACCGGTGCAACCTCCGTCGTTATTGCGATCATCCACTTTCCTTGTTCGTGCAATAATGTAAGGAGGAAGAAGGAAGGGGAGGGAAAAGACGGAGAATAAAAAAAAAAAAACTGCCACCGATCGGCACGTTATCTGTCAGTCATTTCCCCTCCTCTCCTCCCCTTTCCAAGGCTATTTTTATTCTTTCTTCCTTCCCTTCCGCCCGTTTCGTTTCTTTTTTTCGGCATTCCATCCCAATGCCGGTGGCTGCTATCATAATGGAGTCAGTGGATGTGACAATCATCGGCGCAGGTAAGGTTGCATGCATCATGCATTTGCGTTCACCTTGAGCACAGACTCATACTGATCCACACTCAACAGGCTGGAGCGGCCTGGCTGCCCTCAAGACCTATCACCAAGTCCATCCCAATGCCTCCATCCTCCTCCTCGAGACCGCCGACACCGTTGGAGGCGTCTGGGCCCAGCACCGCCTGTACGAGGGCCTCAAATCCAACAACATGCGGGGCACCTACGAGTTCAGCGACTTTCCCCTCGACGATTCCTACGGTGTCGCGCCGGGCGAGCATCTCCCCGGAGCGGTGATCCAGAAATACCTCACCGACTTCGCAGAGCACTTTCACCTGACACCACACATCCACCTCCGACGACGCGTTCGCACCATCCAGCACGAACCCGACACCACTTGGACCTTGACCGTCGACCATCTCGACCCTGAAACCCCCGATGCGATCACCGAAACCTCGACCCTACACACCAGCAAACTCATCCTCGCGACGGGGATCACCTCGCAGCCCTACCTCCCCGACTTCCCCGGCCAGGAACAATTTACCCCACCATTATTCCACATCAAGGACCTCCGCCACTACCAGGATCAGATCTTCGCCCCTCCGCCACCAGCCATCTCCCCGCCCGAAGACACCAACACCAACGAGAGCATCGTGATCTTCGGCGGCACTAAGTCCGCCTGGGACGCGGTCTACGCCGCCGCGACGACCACTCCCTACCAAGTGGACTGGATCATCCGGTCGACCGGCCACGGCCCGGTCTGGATGGCGCCGCCGTACGTGACGCCGCTGAAGAAATGGCTGGAGAAGCTGGTGACCACGCGGCTGCTGACGTGGTTCAGCCCGTGCATCTGGGGCGCCGCGGGCGACGGCTGCTCCACCGTGCGCCGGCTGCTGCACGGCACCTGGCTCGGCCGGAAGGTCGTGGACGCCTTCTGGTGGGTGCTGGGGAACGACGTGCTCACGCTGAACAACTACGCCGCGCACCCGGAGACCCGCAAGCTGGTGCCCTGGATCAGTCCCTTCTGGATCGCCAGCGGGCTGAGCATCCTCAACTACCCGACGGACTTCTTCGAGCTGGTGCGCCGCGGGCGCGTGCGGGTGCATGTGGACGAGGTGGCGGGCCTGTCGGACCGGACCGTGACTCTGGGGTCGGGCCGGCGGATTGAGCAGGTCCGCGCGCTGGTCTGCGCGACCGGGTGGAAGGCCAAGCCGGAGATCCAGTTCGTGCCGGCCTCCCTGGAGCAGGAACTGGGGTTGCCCGAGGCAGAGGACTGCGTGCCCCGCGAGGTGGTGCGGTGCGCCGACCACGAGATCCGACGACGGTTCCCCCGCCTCCAGCATCCGCCCCCCATGGTCAAGGGATACAGGCCCCTCGCGGCCGATGCGCCGGCCGCCGCGGGCCATCCCCTGCGCCTGACCCGGTTCATGGTCCCCGTGGGCGACCTGGGCAAGGAGCGCTCGATCGCGTGCCTGGGCCTGACGATGACGATCAACACGGCGATGGTGGCGCAGGCGCAGGCGCTGTGGGTGGCGGCGTGGATGGGCGAGAAGCTGAACCTGAAGAGTCAAGAGCGGTGTCCCGACCCAGCCAGGAAGGCCCTGCGGGTGCAGTCTTCCTCCGATGTGGATGCGGATCTGGTCTGGGAGACGACGCTGCACAGTCAGTTCGGGGTGCATCGCTATCCGGGCGGGTTCGGGCGCAGGAATCCGGATTTCGTGTTCGATGCGTTGCCGTATGTGGACTTGCTGTTGCGGGACTTGGGGCTGGATTATCGGAGGAAGGGCAAGTCGCTGAAGTGGCTGGAGCCGTATGGGATGGAGGATTATCGGGGGCTGGTGGAGGAGTGGATGGTTGACTGATGGGATTAACTTGACGAATGTAAGCATAATTGGGTCGTTTACGAAAAAGCAACAACGATTTTCGAGCATGCCTCATTCTGCCCTCTAGTAGCAGTCTTTCCAGGCTCAACTACCAACATAGCCCTAACTCATTCTCCGGGCCGGACAAATCCCCCCTCCACCTCACAGATCAAACTCCTCAAAGACCGCGACTCCTCCGTTCACTTTCTGGCCCAACACTTCCCCATCGACCGTCCCCGACCACCGGAAGAAATGCTGCCCATCGCCCGCCACCTCTCGCGTCCCCAGCATCGTCACCCGCACTCCCCTCATCACCACCTCGACCGCGAACCCGGACGCGGCGGCATGGCCAACCCGCTGCACGCTGACAATCCCGGCCTCACAGCCGCTCAGGACCGTCACGCCATCTTTGAGGACCGATGCGCTGGCCACGGGGATCGTCGAGTTGAGCGGCGTCTCCTGGAACCAGACCAGCGAGTAGGGGCCGACGTGGGCGTGGCCCCAGAACCATTTCTTGACGAGCGAGTGGAAGGGGCGCTCCGACCAGTTCTACGTTGCTTAGTACTGGACTGTACAAAGAGAAAGGGTGTGGCCATACCTTATCATGATACCCATACCCCTCGAACTTGACCGCCTCTCCATCGACGATCAGATCGACGGTGGCCTTCGCATGCGGGACGATATTCACCCAGCCGACCGACCCGAGTCTCAGCGAGGGATCGAACCGTTGGGATGTAGTGCACGGCGTTCGGGGGGAGGTAGCCTTGGTAAGGAGCGTCAGCTTGCCCTATCCCACCCACTCACCCTCAAGCAAGAATGCAGCACCCAAACAAGAAAACACTCCAAGCAGACAGAAAGAATAAACGGGGGGGGACCGACATTCTCCAACCTCAACCGCCCACTAATCCGACTCCCATCCCACCCGATCCAAACCTCCAGATTCGGGCCTGCCGCAGCAGCAGTCGCCGCCCTCGACCTAGCAAACAACCCCCGACTCGCATCCGCATCCCCACGCCCAACAACCCTCTTGCTCTTCCCCCATTTCCCCTTCCCCTTGCCATTGCTCTTGTTCTTCCCCCTCCCCATCCCCTCCCCAACAAACCCAGGATACCCCCCCGAAGAAGCAACCCACCCGCCCAACCCCTCCCAGAACCCGACATTCCACCCGCCACCATCCCCCAGCACGATGCCCTCACTCTCCTCCCCGGCGACGCCAATCTCACTGACCACCCGCCCACCATCCCCGGCCACCGGACGGCTGCCCACGGCCCTCGAATCGCCAGGCTCCTCCTGATCACCTTTATCCCCTTTATCACCTTTATCGCCGCGATCATTACCCCCACTCCCACCACCAGTACCCCCATCCCGATCTCCATCCCCATCCCGCCCCTCATCCCCAGGGGGTGGGGGAGCAGGAGCAGGGGGGGCATCCGGCAAACTCACATAAACATAACTCCAGACGACCGAGCTCCCATTGCGGGGCGCCATCGGGAACGCGGCGGGAGCGCTGGTGAAGAAGGTGACGACGGCGGAGAGGTTGGGGTTGTGGGCGGCGACGGCGTCGAAGTACCACCATTCGAAGGCGGAGGCGTTGACGGCGGAGAGTTTGGGGGCGGAGAGCTCGGAGAGGTCGGGGTTGGGGGTGTGGTAGGTGGCGGTGATGGGGGTGTTGGCGGGGGCGGGGAGGGCGGGGATGGGGGCGATGTATTGGGGTTGGACGTGGGGGGTGAGGAGGCAGAGGAGGAGGAGGAGGAGGGAGAAAGGGGTCAGGAGGGTGGAGAGGGGCGTTTTCAATGTCGTTGGCATGTTTTTTGGTTGGGTGGTTCTTGGAGGAGATTCATTTGAGGGGTTGGTGGGTGTGGAGAATGGCCATATATTGACGCAGGTTCGGAAGATGGTGGGGTGTTTATAAGGGCTGTATCGTGAAGGGGAGATGCATTTGCAGCTTCATGGTAGTGTGGTGTACGTGTACGAACACAGCCAAGTGTCCCTGTCGCGGAGAAACCTATACGGATCTACTTTGGCCGAGTCGAGTCGCACCACCACTACCACCACCACATCGATGCTGTTGTCCGTGTTCCACACATTAGCGCGGTGGATGACAAGGAAGCAGGGACAATTGTACAAGGACTTGGTCAAACTCTCATATCTCCATATCCCAAACAAACAACAAGGCCAACGCTCCGAACTGCCGAAACAAAGAAGAAACAAAATCGCTCTACTTACATCCCACATACGTATACACAACAACAGAACAACATCAAACTAAACCCATCGCTGATGCCAAACCCAACAGACAAATCCCGTCCCAGTCCCCGGCCCGCAATGAAACTAGATACAAGACAAGATAAACGCTGCGGCCTGAACACTTATAAACAATTCTCACAACGCCGTGAACATGCAATGTTTCTTCGTTGCCTCCTGCCCTCAGACTTGTCCATTGGAGTCATCGCTGCGATCCTCCTCCTTGACCGTTGGCGGTCGTGTCGTATTCGACTCGGAATCGCCCTTTCCGCACCCTTTGACTAGCATATGTCGCTGTGAACATTTGTATCAGCATACACTGTAAACTAAAAGATAGGATCCGAATAGAGTAAAGGCATACCTTCAGAGCATCCTTGCGGGAGAAACTCTTGTCGCAGTGATTGCAAGGGAAAGGCTTGACCGACAGATGGATCCGCTTATGTCGTTTCAGGTCGTGGTTGCGGTTGAAGCTCTGGGGGCACTGATCGCACTTGAACGGTCGGTCGTTGGCGGGGCCGGGCCCTCCATGGCCCGGCGGCGGCAGGTGGCCGCCATACATCCGCTGCATGTGCGCCTCGAACCCACTGTTGAAAGTGTGGGGCATCAGCGAGTTAGGCGCGGTCAGGGACATCTGGGCGTTCGGGGTGTGCAGGTTCGTCCACACCGGCCCACTCGACCCCGGGAGGGTATATGACGGCCAGGGCTGGCGTTGGTAGTTCAGGTGATGCGCCGGGTGGGGGTTCGACGCGACGCGGCCGGGGGGTTGCATGCCCATCCCGGTGGGGCCGTAGGGGGAATAGCTGCCCGGCGGACTGGCCAGCTGCTGCACCGTGCTGTAGGCGGGCGCGGACGAGGACTTGACCATGTAGGGATCGTTCGAGGGGAGCGGCTGCGGAGAGGGCACGGGCGGGAGACCGTGCTGTGCAGAGAGCACGGCATGCGTGAGCGCGTGCGGGGGCGGCGGTTGCGCGGCACTGACAGGGATCGGTTGTTGGAACGGGGGCAGCTGGTTCATCTCGTACCCCTGCGGTATGGAGTCCGCTCCCGTGGGCGAGGTGACCGCGTTGCGACTAATCGCATTATTACTTCCGGGCGGCGAGAACGTGTCGCGACTCGCATAGGGGCTCAAACTCGACGTCCACGACGGGCGCGCCACCGCCGCTGCTGCACCCGACGCACTGCCATATGAGTTCTGGGTGGGCCAGAACGGTCCCAGGTCGGGTGTGGCTGGTACGGATGGGATATTCCCGGCGGTCGTCTGGTGGGCAGTGGTGACGGGGGTGGTTTCGCCCGATTGACTCGTCGCCGGTGGGGTCAAGAGGTTGCTGACGCTGGGGTTGAGGGCGGAGGGATTGGGGAGTTGCGTGTATTTCAGCGCGCCGGGAAACTGTCGGCTGGGGAGCTCCATGCTGGGGAGCGGGGGAGCGCCCGGGCGACGGGTGTTCAACGGCGGCGGAGCCGACAGCGCTTCGAGAGAGGGCCCCATGCCGGGGGCGGGAATAGCAAGGGCAGCCATGTTCGCGCTGGTATCACGAGGGTAGCCGGTAGAAGAGAACAGTTCGACCACGTTCAACGGGGCGTTGGTCAGAGTCGAGGGCGAAGGTCCTGGGGGAAAAGCAACGCTTTCGGTTCCAAGAGTCCAATATCGACTGCCAGAGAGGCCTCCAGAGATGTCCGGAGGATCCAGGAGGGGCGATGGGATCGCCCACAAGCGATCTCGCGGGGCAGTCGGGATGAGAGAGATCGCGCACGATCAATCCGTTGTCACGCTCGTCACGCTCGTCACGGTTGTCAGGTCTCAAGGCGATGCTTGGTGAACCACTTGCGCTCAGTTGGGAGTCATATCCCAGCAGGAGCGAATGAGGAGTAAAAGGCAAATCAAGCCACCCGTCTCTTGGTCGTACAAAGGCACCGAACCAGTCGCCAGCAAGTTCTTGAAAAGGTGACGATTAGACACTCACGCACATGGTCTGAATCAATGAAGAGCAGATGAAGTGACAGATCGGACCGAGGCGTGGTAAAGACGAGGCAGGCGATATGCGGCTAGATGCGACCCTCAGGTCAACGCTGACGTACCGTGGAATGGCGAAAGGCTAAGTGCGAGTGCGGAGGTGAGTCAACGAGGCGCAGGGAAAGGGTGACACAAAATAGGTAATGATGATGATAATGTTGATGTTTGAGGGGAAGTGGCGTGGGAAAAGAGTAAAGAGGATGATCCAGATGGTGAGGTGGTGAGATGGCGATGATTAGTAGTAGTGGGAGGAGTAATAATAGTAGTGAGTAGTGAGTAGTGTGCGTGCAGTGAAAGAGCGAGAAGTGGTAGTAGTAGTAGAAGATAAGAAGGTGGAGATAAATGATGATTCGGTGCTGCGGCTGGCCGGTCCGGGGCCTCTTTTGATTTTATTTATTCTGGGAACGGGTGAAGATTTTAGTCGACTAGGTAGACTAACCAAAGGAAAGGTGCAAAAAGTCGATGAATGATTGATTGCTGGTCGGGATGGGCAGAGACCTTCGCAGGCCCAAACAACCCGGGAATGAAGACGTATCCAGACCAGTCCAAAGCCGGGTCTGGCCAGTGCGGGGGGGGGGGGGGAGGAGGAAGAAAAAGAGAGGGAAGAGAGAAGAGGGAGGGGAGGGGGAGCAAAAGAGAGAAGAATTAGGGAAACCCCGAAAACAAAAAGAAAAAAAAAAATATGACAGAAAATGACAGAAAATGACAGGAAAAAATATAACGAGTAAAGGGAAAATTAGAAACCAGACAAAACCAAGACAGAATGAGTGCGAGGTGAGAGCAAAGAGCAAAGAGCACAGCGCAAAGAGCACAGAGCAAAGAGATAGCCAAGAAAGGAAAACGATGGTATTTTTTCTGGGTTTTCCCCGGTCAGGAAATATTACCAGGGAGAAATTACCCACCCAAAATCAGCTAGGCTGTCAGGAATATTAGACGAGGAAGTCCAAAGAGAAAGTGGAATGCTTCTGCAATGAACGGTTTCTTCAGGGCGAGAATTCGAGTTCTGCAGCAGGAGTCCCCTGGACCAGGAAAAGGTAAACACAAATGGAGGAAGAGAAGTTAGAGGAGGAAAGGCAGACAATCCAAAGAGGAAGCTCAATCAACCATGGGACTTGCAGCAGCAGCAGCAGCAGCAACAGCAGCAACAGCAGCAAAGGATAATTTAGTTTAGGGTACTCCGTGCTCCGTACAGTCCAGTCCACTCCGTAGAAAAGTGAGTGAATATCGGGCTGCATCCCCTAATCTGGGGAATCACTGCTCCTGCAGTCCAGTCCGGTACGGTATGTACAGTCTGTACCGTGTGTACGGTATGATACATGTCAGCGGGTGGTGTGCTGTAGTGTATTGTCTGGCACGGCTGGGACTGGATCTGGACCAGGTGAGCGAGTCAATGTCTAGACAATCCAACCATTCATTCTTTGCAATTATTCCCCTCTGTCTAACCGAGAATATTCTGAAAGGAAAAACAGAGAGAATGAGAGCAATAGAGAATGAGACAATAAGATCCTGATTGAGAACAACCGCGACATCCAACAGACAGACAGACAGTCTTACCCATCGCCCATGGATCGCAATGCTCGTTTCCCCACCCCACCCTTTTTTTCCTTCCCAGACTAACCAAAGTAACCGAGAAAAAAAAAAGGAGACTAAAGGAGACTCAAGGCACTAAAGGCACTAAAGACACTAAAGACACTAAACGACCAGGACGACTGATCAACGGCAACGTGGTTGACAGGGCTCTGGTACCAGACCAGACGCCCGAAAAGGGTTTCCACCTTCTCGGCTCTTCCCATTCCCATCCATCCTCTCGTCTTCCTAGTTTCTTCGTTCGTTTGTTCTTCGGTCCTGTTGTTCCTCCGCTGTGGCCACCCCCTAGGGGCCTGCTTAAGTTGAGTTAAGTGCTAAGTCTAACCGACCACCACATGATTGTGTACCACACCACACGACGTAGGGGTGGAGGGGTAGGCCCGAATAACTAGTTAGACTACTATCTCTTGTTCTTGTATAGGTGTTGTTGTCATCAGCTGAGAATCATCTCCATCCTCAAATTGACTCTGTCCCAACCAGTAACCAGCAACCAGCAACCAGCAACCAGCAACTCAATAGCATCGAATCGGCTAGACCTCCCATCTGCAGCGTGGTCCTGACCGAGTTGGTAAAGAATCATAAGCATGAAAATTTTACAGAAACACTATCAAAAGAATGATAAGAATAATAATTCCGGACCAGAGATGAGGAATCTCAAACCCGGTCCTACAACCCCCCCCCCCCCGGCCCTTCACCCCCTACTCCCCTCTTCATGGGGGAACCCTACTTTCCTACTGTACTTTCTACTCACGTACTACCTCTATCTACACAATAGGATCGTACCTGTGTTGAGGTGATTGCCCCTTCAAGTAACCACTCCCTCTTTCTCCCCCTTCTCGGGAAGTTAATTACTCAGCCTGGATGGAGCCTGGAGGCCAGAGCCCAGAGTCACTCAGTCCAGCTGCTCGCGCATCCCTATGCACGCGGGATGGCTGGAATGATAATCATCCTATCCGGCAGGTACTTTTTTTTCCCCCCTGTTCCCCCATGACCCTCTTCTCTATCGCTCGCCGGTCGTTCTATTCTTACTTTCTATTGATTTTTGGCACTACTAAAGCATCTTCCCTGTCGACCAAGCTTGGTCAGATAGGCATGTGGAGCGCAGTTCGACGATCGGCCAGCCCGACCCCAGCAGGAATCAGCCCTCTGGTTCTTTCCTGTTTTCCTGTTTGGTGGAGTTTGGCTTTAAGCTTAGCAGACGGGGAAGGGAAGAGGGGGGGCGGCGGCCACGACGATCGATCAGAAGTCAGAATCTCACAGAAAGGAAGGGGGGCACAGGAGATTTGCACGTCACTTGGTTCATTCATCCTTTTCCCCACGATACTACAAACTGTCATGACGCCGACATGACCACTCCTTGAACAACAGAGGGATTGTCAGACATTATCCTAGTCGCAGCCAGGATTTCCCAAAAACACCCGGGGATGGCTCCTAAACCAGGTAGAGAGTGAGAGCAAAGGTGTTCCCCCCAGTCCAGTCTGATGGTCACCGGAAATGCGATTAAACCCCGCGGGCGCAAATCAGATGCATCGATCGTATCATCACGATAGAAAAAAAAAGTGGTCTTGGCTTTAAAGGACTCGGCGCGACGAAAAAGGGGCAAGCAAGCGATCTGCTGCTCCTTGCGTCATGGAATGCATGACAGATGCTGGGCCGGTGTGGTGGTCATGCTATTTAGTTACTGCTGAGTCTTACGCGGGGCGGGGCGAGTCACTCTGGCTACGGACCATTGGTGATTTTGATTGAAGAATTATCGTTTCAGTCGAAGAGGAGGGAGGACGGAGAGGGGGAATCTTGCAATAATGGATCACGATAAAAGGATGATGATGAGGTTGATGTTAATGTTAAGGTGAGTTACCAGTCAGGTGAAAATTGGACGGTGACTGTGTCTGGTCAGTCTCCCCTTCTTACTCAGCGGTCGGTGGTTTGACACGCCGGAAAATAAACACGACTTTTTGACGGAAGAGACCCTCCCCGATCCACTCCTCATCGAAGCTTCGATGGCCACTCCGATCCAGTGGAATCATTAATATGGTTGTGATATGTTCCTAGTTACGGAGTACAAAGTACTATGTATTACTATACCTACATTGGTACTGAGTATAACCTTAAAGACTGCGTTATGATCATTCTATCTTCCCTCTTCCCCCTCCCCCTGATGTCGATGATATTTCGACTCCCCGGTGAGGATTGAACTGACAGGGCCTGCACGGACAGCCAGCAGAACAAAGAACCTCATTCCCCGTCCAAGCCGTCCAAGGCAAACAACGGTCCCTGGTCCGCCTGGGAGACTCTCCTCTCCCATTCCAGTGCTAGCCCCGAGCTCTTCCCCGACCGACCAACCGACCAACCGCCCGCGGGCCCTCGCCATCCATCATCCATGCGTGCATCTCACAGTCACCTGTGAGTGGCACTTGCCCTCACCAAGCTCCCAAGAAACAAAGTGCTTCCATTTCCGTGACAATCAAGACCCTGGTTGGGTGAGTGGACAGACCACTTGATGCGTGTGAGATTCCAATTAACTCCCTCCCATTCCTCCGAGAAATTAATCATTGCACCATCAGCAGCACCATAACCAACTCCTTTGGGATGCAGCATGCAGAACCCTCTTCAATAAGGGCCAATAATCTGTAGGGACCCTCTGATCCCGATCGGGGATACGGCCATTGCATCTGCACGCGTCCGTTTGAAAAATAGGGAGTAGGGCAGATCGAAGCGACTGGCAGGGGACGAGCAGTAAAGTTGCTCGGATCCTGAACCATGGATGAGCTGGGGTGGAGAAGGGGGGAGGGAGGGACCAAATAGTGGTGGCGATTGGTGGATGGCTCGTGTTTTCGCATACAGCCATACGCTGGCCATACGGTAGGTACATCAATTGAATACAGCAATACCTTTCTAGTACCTAGTACCTACCTACTGGTGGCCCTCACCCTCGGGCGTCAGGGCCAACACTTAACAACACTTAACAGCACTTCACAATACTAGGTACTTGACCCACTTTAGTCTAACCCCAATCAGGTCTAATGCCGGTCAACTGCTGTAGCCCGCACAAGCCGAGACTTTCCCGCCTGGTCATCTTGCAGTGGTTTTCGATAGGTGATTGGCTTGTCTAGTACCACCTCCAGTTGGAATCTACGATTCAACCGAGATGCCCAGTGGATATCCATGATTTCGCTATTCTAGTCTATATTGATCGTTCTCTCCCTCCACCCACCCCTTCCCCGTTCTGTCGTTTTCGGCCGTTCTTCATGTTGTTTAGGTACTAGGTACTAGGTACTAAATACTTATTCTTTGCTCTTCCCTAAGCTTCTTTGGATCAAACGGCTGGTGTTGGTAACTTTGGTGCATATTTTCGCCAATCGAACTAACCTGAACTGTTGAACTAATCATCCTTATCAATCATTCCCACTTTTCTTGTCGCTTGCGAAAGGGGTGGGTGAGAGAAGTGATGGATGGACAGAGGCATCGGCCAGACCCCGGTGGATTTCGAGCCACCCCCTTGGGATATGCTGCAGTAGCCACTATTGGCCGGGCAGGCCCGCGGTTTGGCTGCATTGGATCCAGCCTCAAGTAGGCTTAGCTGCTTGCCATCTGGTCCTCTCTGCGTCTTTGCGGCATTGTGCCCATCGACAAGCAATAATTTACTCCGTGGATAGTCCAGTGTGGCTGATTCCCCCCGGGGGGGGGGGGGCCGGAGTGCCCGCCGTAGCAGACCGGATGGAGGGCTAACTTTAATTAACTCTCGCAACCTTGAAGTCACAAGCCAGCCAGCCAGCCAGCCAGCCAGCCAGCCAGCCAACCCCCAACGGTCCACCACCAGTTGGCCTCTACCGACGGGAGGCGCGGGCAGCGACCAGGCTGTCGGGTATTGGTGGAGGGTTCGCGTCCGCGGTACCATTACCGCCACCCTTAACTACAGTACTAGTAGTTATAACTACTAGTGACAAGGTATCACCAACATCAACCACTGTGCATCCATCACCATTACTAGTACTAGACTACTCCGTATTAAGGTATCATCGCTTCCCCTCTTCTGCCCCCCATTGCAGTGCAAGATCGCAGATGCTTGTCCGAGGCTCATCGCCTCCTCTCCTACGCTCCGTACTCCACATTGGCATGTGTTTCCCCAGCATTTCCCCCATCCCCTGCACAGGAGCATGGTTTGGGCCATGCTGGTTGGATGACAAAGGTCCCTTCCCCCCATTCCCCTCTCAACTGAGGCAAACATGACAGGACCGGAGCACGAATGATCTCCTCCCCACCGGAATTATTGTGATCATTACACCACTGCCACCACCACCTGGCAGGAAGTAGCCTCCAACTCAATTCCGATCGGAGGCAAATGGTCGAATCTTTCTCTTCCATGGCAGGTTGCGATTCGAGGATCTTACTCTTCCCACCCCCCTCCTCTCCCAGTGTGTGCAGGTTAGGTCCCTGAAGGGGCCCCTCTGCCACCCGTGCTGGCCACCACGGATTGACAGGTACGCCTTCCGACCGTGGAGAACGGTTAACGGGTCGGAAGAACTTGAGGATCGTTGGTGCAGGGCGGGCGGATGTTTCACTCGGTTATCTGTTGCTGCTTTATTGTTCTTCTTGGCTCGTTTGGATTGATAGACTCAACGCACTCTTTCTCCTTCCTGCCCATCGCCCCCAGATCGCAGATACGACCCCTACAGGAACCCTCACCTACACCACACCACACCACATTCCTCAAACCTAACCACCTTGCCTCCCCTTTCTTTCATCCTGCAATACCGCGCATATCCTTTCCGAGCTCAAAGGCTAGACTTCTCATGCCGGAAAGTGACAGATAAGAATCACACGATGAACCCTACCGTACAGCAACTAAAGAGAGAAAGGAGCCCCGGCCGCCCGACACGCACCCTCCTCGCTTACTGTATGCTGTACACAGCACAGGGTAGTTGCTTGTTACAGTACATCAAGGCCTAGACTCGCCCAGATGATCGGCCTGCAGCGTGCGGCAGAGGCGTGCCTGGATACAGCACATCTTCCGGGGGAGATGAGAAAATCCCTTCAACCCTTGCTGTATTTAGTTTTTGGTCGGAGCCGAACGGCGCGCGTGAGTGGCTTCATTGTCATCGACAGCACCTTGCCATCTCGTGGTCCACCTCTCGGCTGCCCTGCCTGTAGACAACATGTACTCCGCCCTACATCTCCACTACTACCTCTTGCTCCTTTGCTGTATCTTTGCTAAGTACCTACCACTACTATAGCTCCAAGAGGAGCCTTCTCATGGGGCACACATCTATCGCGGCTTCTATGTAATGCAGGTATAGCCCTTCATGAGTTTATCCCAGGCCAACGACTCTTTGTCCAGTCCCGCCAGGCACCCCCGCTTTGATCAACAAAGAGAGAATCACTCAACTGTGAAATACTTTTGACTTAGGATGTAGAGACTCGAGATGTAGCGTTCTTGCCGGATCAACTGTCGCTGCTGCTAACTTTCAATCCCCCACTTCTGATCACTGTATATGTGCTTCTCTCCACCTCGTGTCAGGAAAATCAGAGATAAGAATTCCAGCGTGGAACTGCGAGCCAAGTCACTTATAGGTTTCTAGTGTAGGACTATCACCATGGCGAGCTCATCCCAGTTATACCCTGATTCGCTTTCCTCCGCTATGCTGGAGACTGAAGCCAAGAGACTACTCCTTGCCATGGGGCCTTGTGAAGTGAGAGGCTGCCAGTGTGCCTCGGGAGAAAGCACATCCAATCTGGACCACGTTCCCAGCAAAGCAAAGTGTATCATATGTTCACATCCCCTGGGCAAGCATGGCAGCTATGGTTTGTTTCCCGTGTTTTCTTCATCCAAGGTATATATCATTGATCTAATCGCCAGGGTCTTCCGGCTCTCGACTTCCCGTGGCGCAGATAACCGAGCCCCAAGGTGCGTACGTACCGCTCTGATGTGGGAAGGGGAACCTGCCGTTGACTCTTTGCAGCTGTTCCATCGTGGACTGCTAAGCGACCTCACTTCGTCCATGAATCGATCGCCCGCTTGGACCGCTACTGCCTGATTTGAGTGAACGGGACCCCTGCCTCCGGGAAGACCACGATGATGAATCTCGTCGCCAACGAGTTGCTCGTGCGCCACCCGAACACTCCGATCTATATCCTGGACGGCTGGGAAGAGGCAAGGGTCGAGAAAGCCGGCGGCCGGACCCTTTATCTGAAAGCACTGATCGGGGTTCCCGGACGTTCGCTCCGGAATCATCCGTGTTACATCCTGGTGGATGAGGCACATGAATCATGCTGGGACAGGCAGCTATGGAGTGCGCTCTTCAAGTCCTGCGGGCCCGGCGACGCAGTGAAGATCGTCCTGTTCGCCCGCTACGGCACGGCCGCAGACGACAACCATCAACCATTCAAGACCACCCCGATGATGACCTTCCTTCCGCACCAGCAAATATCCCTCCGGCCAGACGAAGCGATCGACCCAGAGTGGAAGCCGATTGGTTTGCTGCTCGAGGAGAGCGAAGCCAACGACATCCTTCCACATTTCCTGCCCACCGTGATTCCAGATAGTGAGCAGATCTTGACGGACGGATCGAAACACGGACTGTTCCTGACCAGTGGCGGCCATGCTGGGCTATTTACATCCCTTATACATGTCCTGCGAGCGATACCGGTAAGCGTAAGCCAATGTTCGCGAGCTGGTGGGCGAGGGAGACCCTACATAGCCTAGCTAACCAGTCTTTCCCAAATAACTAGAAGCTCCAAAAGCCGATCCAGAGCCGTCGCCCCCTCGACTGGCAGACCACATGCGACGGGCTTTTCAGTGATGCTCTGCTGTTCTTCGAGCATATCAGGACCACCATCTTCTCCCGAGGCTTACCGAGACAGAAGATGGTGCAAAACTCCGCTTACGCGACGGTCTTGAAGCATGCCATTGCTTGCGACGGAACGAGCCGGTCGAGCTTTCCCAGCGACTCGGATGAAGAGCGGGCGCTCGAAGATATCTGGAGACGCGGATGGCTCCATGCAGAGCAGATGGAGGGAGGAGAGACATACTACATGTTCCCCACACAGGTTCATCGGTGGTACGTTCACTTTTGTCGATGATTTAAGCTTAAGAGCATTGCCAGATCTTGCTGGGGGCTGATCAAGTTTTTCTCCTACCTAGGTACTGCCAGTTCCTCTTCAAGCCAAACCATCCCCGTAAAAAACTCGTCTATCAGTCCCCCCTCGAGATGACGGTCGACGCGATCCGCAAATTCCACCCCGACCAGCTCGCAGGTACTCCTGCGATGCCGATTGAAGACCAATGTCAGAAGGAGTTCTACCGCTGCCTCTTCCCACTGCTCATCGAACGCCACATCACCGTCGCCCCGGAGTATCTGATCAAGACGGGGATCCGGAGCGGGCGGATGGATCTCCTGGTGCCCCAGAAGCAGTGGGGAGTAGACCTGCTTCGCAGCGGCGACCGGATCCAGCAGCATATGCAACGCTTCAAAAACAAGGGGCCGTATTACCCCCTGCTGAGGGACAAGCTGATCCAGGAGTATCTTGTTCTGAATTTCACCCGCACACCACCGCGGAAAAGCTACCCAGGTAAACCATCTCTGCAATAATCTTCCATACTCATTACTCAGGCTTTACATTGATTTCCTTTTCTACGATTCTAGCATATCGCGGTCATCTGTATCACATTGTCTTGTCGGGGGAAGTAGATGGAGCTGACATAGGTGATTGGTTTCTCTCCAGACATATAAGATAGGCATTCACTTGTCACTGGTTTCGCTGGGTACAGTCCATACAGTACAACAGAACACATTGTTCTGATCAACCATGCTTTGATTTTCAATGTAGGTGGTTCGGGTGATTAGTACCTAGTATATAATTATACCATGGGGGACGAGAGTGGTATGAGTCCCGTCCCGCCTGTAAGCCTGCTACCTCCAAAGCACGACGCACCTGCAAGTACAGGGGCCAAGTTGAAGTACAGGGAGGTGGATTGGTCGGTTGCTGAGCAACGTATCTACTGTAGGGCACTAAGTTATAGACAATTATCTGACGTGATTTGTATTGAGTTGAATAGGATAGATAGGTAGGTACCTGGGAACTTAGTAGCAGTAGCACCCTTCTTTGTTTCGCGTTGTACGGAGTGTACGGAGTATACGGAGGAGGTATGTACAAAACAGTTCCTAGTACCCGTGACTGGTTCCCGCCTGGTAGACACCCCAACCGGATCACTAAACTACTACCTAGTAGGTAGAGTTTTGATGGGGAACGCTACAAATAGGTGCGCTGCTGAGTGTGGCTGCTGCAGAGCCGAGCCGAGCAGAGAGCCCTTTCTGGACTGTCCGTGTGACCCCCCGGCCTCAGCTCCGCTGACTTTCCAAAAGTTACCATAACTACAGCCTGACCCTCGTAGCTTGTAATCTATGGACTGTATCAATGAATGATTCATTGAATGAATGAATGGTATTGATTCATCCTCCCAACCCCAACCCAAAATCCGAAGACAACCTACATACTCTCACTCGGCTAAACTTGACCTAACACTCACTCGCTCATTCGCTTACTACCTACCTACTGGATACGAGTGTTCCCAGTCAAAAACTTCTATTCCCCAGGGAATAGATTCACCCCTTAATCTCAAGAACAAGAACAAGAACAAGAACAAGAAAACCTCACCGCATCATGAATATGCTGCCGCCCTCGCCCTGGGGAATCCGTAACGGTCCGGTCCCCCCTCATGTAATAGCGACGCGAGTTAAAAAAAAAAAAAAAAAAAAAAAAAAACCCCATCACATGACAGGAATGTCTGCATCGCAGCGGTATGGAAGAACGACCGACCTAGACCGGTCCAGACCGTGGTGGGGATGGGGGACTCCGTACAGTAAGTTACCGGGAGGAAGAGCTGGGGGGACAGACAGACAGGCAGACAAGATGCATTGATGCGCAGGCGGCCGACCGAAAGGAAAAAAAGCCTGTTTGTTTTGTTTTGTTTTGTTTTTATACTTTTTGGTATCGTTTGGTTTGGTTTCTGGTTCGGTCTTCTTTTGGGTTTTTTGGTTTTCTAGTTTTCTGGGGCTGACGGGAATGGAGCAGGGCGGCGTTCGCCGTGGCGCGGTGGGTGTGTAGCTTATCTGTTGATGGGTTGGGGTTGGGTGCTGAAATCAGGGATTCGATTTACCGGACCTACGGAAGACTGGCTACTACTTACTTACTGACCTGGATGGTTTGTTTGGGTGTGGTTATAGTTGTCGAGTCATAGCATGTGAACAACGTCTGGAGGCTCTCTCTTTCTTGTCTTCATCCATACAATCTAAGGAGCAGTAGCAGCAGCACTCACCCGTCAGCTACTGCTGCTGCTGCTGCTGCTGCTGCTGCTCCTCCTTTCCCTCTCCTTCCCCCCCCTCATCCCCATCCTCAACATAAACATGATACTTATACCGACTCCCCGGATGATCCGCGCGTAACTCCCTCTGCCCGACGCCATACACCTTCTCGCGCATCGTCACGCCTTCCTCCGGGACGGAATCAGGATACAGCCCGCGCCGCCGCAGCTCGGGCACCAACAGGTCGACGACATCCTCGAAGGTGCCCGGGGTCGTCACGTACGCGAGATTGAAGCCATCGAGATCGGCCTCGCGCACCCAGCGCTCCATCTCATCGGCCACCTGGCCGGGATCCCCGACGGCGAGGGGGCCCAAGCCCCCGATCGCGGCCTTCTGCGCCACGACGCGCGGCGTCCAGCGCGGCACCTCGGGGCTGGTCGTGGTGAAGGCATCCAGCATGCTGCGCACCTTGTGGGCCTCGGTGCTGTCCGCCGCCGTGATGTCCTGATCGATCGGGATCCTGGAGATGTCCACGCCCGTCCACCCGCTGAACAGCACCAGCCCGCCCACCGTCGACGCGTACCGCTGCGCCTCGGCCAGCTTGGCCCGGGCCTCGCGCTCCGTCCGCCCGAGGATCGGCGTGAACGTCCCGAAGAACTTGAGGCTGGCCGGGTCGCGCCCCTGCGCCGCGGCCTGCGCGCGGATGGCCGCGATCTTCGGGCGCAGCACGCCGGGCGCGTGCGCCCACACGAAGATCGCCTCCGCGTGCGTGGCCGCGAACTGCGACCCCGCCGCCGACGTCCCCGCTTGGAACAGGAAGGGCGTGCGTTGCGGCGACGGGTCCACGATGTGCCGCGTCGACAGCTGGAAGTATTTGCCCTGGTGGTGGATCGTGCGCACCTGCGCCGGGTCGATGTAGCTGTCTTCCGCGGCGTTGGGGGCGAGCGCGGTCGGGGACCAGGAGGATTCCCACAGTCTGTTTTACCGGTGTTAGTTCTGGTAAGAAGGGGGGGTGGGGGAGGGGGGGGTGGCCTACTTGTATAGCACGCGCAGGTACTCGTCGGCTTGGGCGTAGCGCTCGTCGTGCTCGATCGGAGTGTCGATGCCGATGGCTTTGAAGGCCGCTTTCTTCCACGAGGTCACGATGTTCCAGCCGATGCGCCCGTCAGTCAGGTGGTCGAGGGTGGAGAAGCGTTTCGCGAGGAGGAAGGGCGGCTCAAAGGAGGTGGAGGCTGTGATGCCGAAGGCGAGGCGTTTGGTCACTGCCGCCATGGCGGAGATGGGCTGTTCGGGCGGGTTAGCGTTCAGGGTATCTAATACATAGAGCAGAAGATGTGCAACTGGGTGAGGGGAGGTGAGATGTCTGAGGGGGAGGATCATTCGATGTAGATGACGCTCTTTACGAGACCCGGGCTTCCTCGTCGTTGCCATCTCGAGGAAACAGGGGGTTCGAGGGCTTTCTCCCTCGGGTGCTCAGAACTGAGGGTGGAGATGAACGGGAAAGTAAAATAGTGCAGGGATGAGGGTAACTCAGTCCTCTCGCCTGCATGGCTAACTGACAAAACGAGAGATTCAGGTCTCCTCGTATCCGGTATCCGAAACATCCGCTACCAAACAGCTGAAAAGAACGTACAATCGTGGGATCCGTCATCGGCCACTGCGCCGCCCGTCGGATGCATTCATCCAGACTCCCCTCGTACGTATCATATCCCCCATACGTGTCGGCCAGGAACAGGGCCGTGATGCCCCCGCGCTCCAGCAACTGGGCCAGATCCGTCCAGTACTTCAGCGTGCGCTTCGTCCCCGACCGGTCCTTGGGGTTCTTCCACTGCCCGGGCGACAGGTGGCCGACGGTGGACATGTCGAACGCGTTGAGCAGGATCTGCTTCTGGGGTGCATCGTGGGTAGCTGCCGTGGTTGACATGGTGGTTGGCCTTTGCTTTGCGTTCGCTTTTCGGTGTTCAAGCTCAATGGTTCAAGGTACAGGTACACTCATATATAGCGGTATAGGGTCGATTGCGGCGACGAGCATACCCCTCACGCGCCATCAATCGATCGCATTGCGTGACATTGTCGAGGATGCGTTTCATGGGTTATCGATTTAGCACCGGTTCTCTCTCCGCAGAGTAGCAGGAGGATGATCTAACGGAGTAGTTCCGAGATAATGCATGTTGGGAGATTAGCTGGTGTCGTGAGGAGATGGGGTTATGGCGTGCTGGGATTCTCTATCGGTCGGGAGGGATGCTGAGGCTATAGGGTGTGGATGCTGAATCTGTTCAGTCTAATACCCTTGAGAAACAAAAGTAAGCATGTCTAGAAGTGTTTTCACTTCCTATTTGATTGAATACAGTCTTGGTCTGTGCGTGCATCGTTGATGAGTATATGTAGCTGGACTCCGCGCGGGCATGTGAATAGCTCATTTTGGACAAATGAGGGACTTGAGAAAAAAAAAAGATTTCGCATGAGCAACATATCATCGAAAATACTATCTTGATGCAGATGCCTCTGGATATTTCGCCCGATATGTATACAGTTCATAAAATGAAACTGCATTGACCACCTTCGCACCTCATCTTAGCCAGACAATCAACCAGCATTCCCATGGCATTAACACTCCAAATGCGCTGGATACTCCTCACACCAGGGCTATCTACTGCATTGATGACACTCGCACTCGTAAAAACCCTCGTATAGCCCGTACCAAACCTCGATATTGAAGATCTTTGACGGGCGAAACCGGAAAGGTGGGGAACTCGGATGACGTCGGTGGGGAATCCCCTCAATTCGCTTGCTCTCCTGCAACTCTCGCTGCTCGCTCGCTGCCTCCATTCCTCCTCTGATTCACAACTGCAACCTCGACAACTTTACGTCTGCCTCAATCAGTGTGCGTCTTCCACCAACACCTCTTCTAACATGTTCACCAGACAGCTTTTAACCCACTCTCTACAAAGGTCCATCTCATCGCTGACCAGATACCCCACAACCACTTACCATCCTCTCCGTACATTCCACTGCTCCACCGCCGCCATGACGGGAGTCAACAAGGCCTGCTGCTCGTGAGCATCATATCTGTCCCAGTCCATCTGCATCAACTGACGAACCAGGATCCCCCCCGTCGTCGCCAAGGGCTACCAGCCCAAGGGGGAATATAAGACCATTGGCGGTTTGAAGACTTGTCCGTATCCCAGCTTCAGCTTTCAAGCCCATCTCCAGCCAGCCCAGCTAATCCCCAGCAGATGTCACCGGTCCCGAATCCGCCTCCAAGGCCATCCTCGTCATCTACGGTCAGCACCTCTCTCCCTTTGTTACACCTCCGCCACATCTAACCGGACACAGACATCTTCGGCTTCTTCGACCAGACCCTGCAAGGCGCCGACATCCTCGCCCACTCCAGCACCCAGAAGTACCGGGTGTTCATCCCGGATTTCTTCGAAGGCAGCCCCGCCCACATCACCTGGTTCCCGCCGCAGACCGACGACCACAAGCAGAAGCTGGGCCACTTCTTCCAAACCAAAGCCGCGCCGCCCAACAACCTCCCCAAGATCCCGGGGATCGTGGCAGAAGCCAACCAACTCGCCCCGTCCGGGCGCTTCGAGTCCTGGTCGATTCTGGGGTACTGCTGGGGCGGCAAGATCGCGACGCTGGCGACGGGGCAGGAGAACTCGATCTTCAAGGCGGCGGTGCAGTGCCACCCGGCCATGCTGGACCCGGAGGACGCCAAGAAGGTGAGCGTGCCGATGGCGGTGTTGGCGTCCAAGGATGAGAAGCCCGAGGACGTGGAGCAGTTCGGCCACAATCTGGGGCAGCCCGGGTATGTGGAGACGTTCCCCACGCAGATTCACGGCTGGATGGCGGCGCGGTCGAACCTGGAGGACGAGGAGGTGAAGAAGGAGTATGAGCGCGGGTACAAGACGGCGCTGGGGTTCTTGGAGAAGTATGCTTGATTTGGTTTGTGCTCCACTAGGTTGTACTGTACTAGTTTGATATGTTGTGTAATGCCCAAAAGTCAGTGTGATTGTTGAGCAATCCTGTTGAGCAATCGAGACACGTTTACACATTTACTTCTATCCTCTAATTGTATCACTCACTGTTCCTCTTCTTCCAAAAAGAGTAAATAGCTGCCCGCTCCCAGGCTCAGCTCAGCTGCCCCGGGCCGTAAAGCAAGCGGTCACATTCTGCCCACCCGTCCGAATCCCCACCCAGCCATCCAACCAACCACCACCTCCATCCCATCTTCACCGCCTTCATCCATTTCATCACGCCGCCTCAGCTCCAGCCTGTTGTAAGTTCCCTCAGCTTCTACTCCAATTCTATCTTCACCACCCACCCACCACCAACCACCTACCCCCAACCACCAAACCACCAAACCACACCACCAAGTCCATCCTCATCTGATCTCCACATCTCTTTCAAAAACAAGAGCGCAGACTGGACTAAGTCCACGTCGGTGCCCGCACCGCACCGCACCACACATCCAACACAACACACACACACTCTCCTCCCAGCAAAGACAACCACACAAAATGCCCGACTCCCCACCACCACAACGACGACGCTCCCGCTCCCGCTCCCGCTCCCGCTCCCCACCCCGCCAGCCCAAGAAATCCTCCACCGGCGGCTTCCGATGGAAGGAGAAGCGTCGTCCGGAGCGCGGGGAGGACGACGACGCCGCCCGAAGGTTAGATCGGGGGTATCGCGCGCGGTCGCCGCGGCGGGAGTACGAATCTCGGGATGAGGCTCGAGGGGGTGGGTATGATCCCCGGGATCGACGGGACTACTCCAGCCGAGACGGACGGGATGCGCGAGACCGTGAGCGTGATCGTCGGGGGTATCGCGATCGAGAGAGGGATGACCGGTACCGCGACCGTCACCGCGACAGCTACCAACCCCGAGATCGAGACGACCGCGACCGACCGGCCGAAAAGCCCATCTCGACCTCCACCGACGACCCCGCCAGGAGAGAGAAGAAGGAGAAAAAGAAGAAACGGCCGGCGATCCCCTCCGAGCCCATGATCCTGGTGCATGTCAACGACCGGCTGGGCACGAAGGCCACGGTGCCCTGTCTGCCGTCGGATACGGTGGGGGATCTGAAGACGCTGGTGGCGGCGCAGATCGGGCGGGCGCCGCGCGAGATCCTGCTGAAGAGGCAGGGGGAGCGGCCGTTCAAGGATTTTATCAGTCTGGGGGACTATGGGATTACGAATGGGGTGCAGTTGGATTTGGAGATCGGGACGGGGGATTAGATCCCTTTTGGGTGCTATGGTTATTCGGTGGCGGACAGACCGGCTAGAGGATAATCTGATGATGTGCTCCGGGGGTTTTTAGGCTTGCCTGCGGGTCCTCGCCATTGCTGAGATCGTCGTCTTCCAGCTCCTCCTGTAGCTGTAGCTGTAGCTGGCGCTGGCGCTGTGTCTCGCGCCACTCGCCCAACCACCCGCCGACGAACCCGATCACCTCGCCTTGGGCTTCCCGCACGCCCCTTGGAGGCACCACCCTCTTCCCCTCCCAGTACTCCTCCACCCCGAACACCCCGTTCTGATCCCAGTGATGCACCCCGCCCTCCATGCCATCGTACACCTCCTCCGCGGGCACACCGATGAGAAGCATCGGCTCCTTCGCCGTGGAGTTCCTCACCGGCAGCCCCGTCGCGAAGGGGCTCGCCTCCTTCCAGGGATCGGCCCGACCGCCGATGTGCGCGACGCGGGGATACGAGAAGGCGAGCCCGCCGTACCGGTTGATGCGGTCCGTGTCCGGCGGGGTGGTGATGCCGTAGGTGGCATTGCACATGTCGACCCAGAAGGCCGGGGTGAGGAGGCGCGAGACGAGCGGCGCGATGTGCGCCGGGACGGTCGACCCGGGCATGAAGTAGCCCCATTCCGTGCAGACCTGGTAGTTCCAGCTGGTCGAGGCCGTGCGGGGGAGGCGTTTGTCGTCGCCTGCCTCACCCTCATCCTCATTCTCATCCTCAGCGTCCGAGAAAACCCCCTCCCGCCTCACAAACCCCACCCAATTCACCACCCCCGTCACCAACTCCTCCACCTCCTTGCCATCGCCATCTCCATCTCCATCTCCACCGCCACCGCCAACCTCCCTCACCAACCCCCTCACCCTCGCCCCCACCTCCCCCTCCAACCCCTCATCCAACACCTCCGACGCAGTGATATTCCCACAAAACCACCCAAACCCGCGCCCCCCAACGCTCGGCTCCCAATTCCGCTCCTGCCACAACCCCAACGGCTCCGCCAACCCGGCCACGAACTTCTCATCCGTGAGGCCCGGCGCACTGCCCCCGAACACCCCCTTCAGCACTTCCGCATGGTCTTTCGATCCGGAGGGTGACTCCTTTGCGTGGGAAGATGCTGCCGCCGCCGCCGCCGCCGCCGCCGCCTTGGGCAAGAGAAGCACCCGATCGACCCAGGCGATGAGCGCCTGCTGCGCGGCGACGCATTGCGCGGGCGCGTGCGCGCGGATCGGCTCGTAGTACGCCCAGTAATCCGCGATGGCGGCGGTGACGCCGGAGCTGGAGATGGAGGCCCAGAAGAGGTCTGGGTGGGCGTGGCGGAGGAAGGCGACGAAGGCGCCGGCGTAGGAGCCGCCGTAGGCGATCCAGGGGGTGGTGGCCGGGGAGAGGTCGGGGACGGGAAGGTGGGTGGCGAGGTAGGCGTAGTCGGCTAGGGCTTGTTCGGTGGTTAGGTAGGTTAGGGTGGAGAGGGGGATGGTTTGGTTGTCTTGCTGGGAAATGCTGTCAGGGTAACTCGTCCCGTAGTACCGGTGTTCCACGATTAGCGCCGCCCCCTGGTAGATCCGCGCGAGTTCGTGGACGATCCCCTGCGATAGGAAGGGGAGGCGGTTCAGCGCCGAGGTCTCGCCGCCGGCGATGAGGAAGACTGGCCCGCCTGGTTGGTAGTGGCTCGTGTCGAGGATGTAGCGGAGCGGGAAGGTGAGGTTCGTGGCTGGGTAGCGTGCGGAGGTGGGGAAATGGTTGAGTGGGGTTGTTAGGTTGTGGATGGGGAATTGGGCTTGTTCGTGCGCCGTCGGGGTGTATTCTTTGTTGTTGTTGTTGTTGAGGTGGGTGTTCAGCCCGCTTAGGGCTAGGGTGGTGGTTGTGTAGTAGAGGAGGAGGAGGAGGTTCATTGTTGTTGTTGTTGTTGTTGTTGTTGTTGTTGTTGTTGGTTTGGGGTGGTGGGAGGGGAGAAGATAGGAAGGGTTGCGTGCGGGGAGATTGTGTTTATATATGATTATGATTATGATCATGATTACTGGTGCTAGCAAGGTAGGGTGCCAATCTCCTTGCTTGGTCCGATTGTCTCCGAGTGGGGACGGAGGCTGGGATGTTACAGTGGGTGTTGCAGATAGGCTTTCAATGTGCTCTTGGCTGTTACACGGCTATGTTTATCTACAACCGCTTAGGATGTTACACATTCACTTAATCCTAGAGATACTCATCGCCCTACAGCTCCACGCGAGGTCCCGTGAAGTTCTTCCGCCCATCCACCACCCACTGCATCAGCGAGATGATCAGGATGATCCCAAATGCAACCACGCAATAATCTAGCCCAGTCAGTCAGCAGCTGCCAATCAATATACTATGCATTCATCCAGCCAGGGAGCTTACTCATGTTGCTGCCCGTCACGGGCCGGTCCGGGGGAAACACAAACAACACTGTGGTCAGTGCGATATACGAGAGAGAGATCTGGCCCGTTAGCAGGGAACATCCCCCCCAATAGCAACCCACTCACCATATCAATCACCCAGCCAATCTTGTTGGGGATCTTCCATTTGCGATCGGGGAGTGTCCGTCGTCCGCGCAGGCAGTTCACCGCGATCGGCATCGCGTACGAGAGATCCAGAAGCACGACCGACGCCGAGACGATGGCGTTGAAAGCCCTATAATCCTCAGCGCAGCTCATTTGGTCACACGGAAAAACATACGAGCTCGAGCCAAGGTAGATAAAGCCGAAGATAATCACCACGACGGTGGTCAGAATCAACGCATTCAGAGGGAGTCCGAGGCGGGGATGCACCCGCGCGAAGAACTTGGACGCCGGCAGTCCGCCGTCTCTGCACGTTCGTCAGTGGCGATCTTCACTCGTGGGAGACAAGCCGCCTACCGTGCAAAAGCAAAGATCATGCGACTGCTGGTCGTCATCACGCTCAACGTCGCGAACAGCAGACAGACCAGGGGAAGCCTGGATCGGACCCATTAGCAACACTTTTTGGGGTGGGTGGGCCGCACATACATGAGGAGGCAGATGGCGCCGGCGCGGTTGTTGGTCGCATGGATGAAAATCTGCAGCAGGGGCCCGGCGCTCGAATTGACCACCTCGTCGATGTCACCGGCCACGAACAGCAGCACGATGAGGAAGATCGCTCCGGTGAAGGTGCCGATGCCCACGCAGACGACCATGATCTTGGGGCCTTTGATGGACGGTTGTGGGATTTCTGGTCGGTCAGTTGGCGCCTAGGAGCTAGGAGAGGGCAACTTTACCTTCAATCATGTGGCAGACCGCATCCTGGATCGATTAGTGTTGATTGACAGACGGTCGATGGGGAACTCACAAACGCGGTCACTCCGAGTCCACCTTGCAGCAACTGGGTCTGTTAGCGACATCGTCACAGATCGACGACTGTACTCACACCCAGCAGCCAAGCCACACCATCCGGCCCTAATCATGTTAGCGATGCTTGCGAACGTCCAACACTCGAACTCACAGCCAGTCTGGTTGATGAAATTGGTAAACACAAATCTGCAGCAGTTGGTCAACTAGTCCAGCGCCCGAGCAACGCAGCTTACGAGGCAGAGTTATAGTCCGGCGAGGCACAAGCCAGCACGGTAATCGACACCAGCACGAACCCGCCAATCGACCAGGTGACTTAGGTAATCTCATCAGTTCAAGCCCATCAACCACCAAATAAATCCAGGCAAACGTACAAGCACCACGATAGATGATCGGAAGCACCGAGTTCATGAACCCGTTCACCACAAACGCCAGCACCGTGTAGGCGATGTACATGAGGAAGTACTGCCACCGTTGCCACGCGAAATCCTGGGATCGTCAGTCAGCAGCCCATGGCCCCACAGAGAAGAAACGAAAAGACGTACAGGGTAAACCGAGGACACAATGCCCGCGATCAGCTGACAGGAAAGCAAGGCATTCGTAGCCACCAGCGCAACCTAAACTGTTAGCCTCGCATACACTCCAACATAATCAAGGAGCCTCACCCATCCAGCCACATTTACCCAGCCAGTCACCCAGGATAGAATCGGCACCCAATTCGGCCAGGAAACTGGTGATTCGGTGAGAAAACGCGATACAAGCGGGCGCCCAGCAGCGAAGAAGACATACTAGCTGCGCCGTCGTCAGTCAAACAGACCCCTGTAAAGTTCCACGAAAGAAAAGGGAGGAAAGGGAACGCACCAGCCACCCAATGATACTGTCCGCCCGCCGTGGGATACGCTGAGAGGAATTCCGCCAGCGAGATGGCGATGCATAGGTTACATGCTCCGGCGGTTACCAGACCTGGTCGTTGTTACCATGAGCACGACTGGTGGTAGATCGACCCGACGACGATCCACCCCGGAAAGGAGCCAGGCAGCCAGACAATACTTACCCCAGACAACACTCACACTGCCCCCAGACGGTAGACTGAGCGATAGACTGGCCGACAGAGCCGTCCACGACTACCCTCGATTATTAGTTCTTCCGCCCTTTCATACGCGGGGCTTCTCTCCGATTGCATCGAGAACAAAACATACATTCAGCACCGCAAACGCCAAGCCCAGCATCGATCTAGTTTTCTCTTCACAATTAGCATTACATTGCCTTTTGTGGCCAGATAATCAGAGAAAACCGGGGTCGACCGCACAGGGTAGAGAAGTTCCGATTCAGCTCGGCCTTATGCCCCATCTGCGCCAACTGGACGTCATCATCCTCATTCTCGAGGTGCGGTTGCTTCTTCTCGTCCATCATTGCTGTGGTCATTATAATTTCGAATTGAAATCGTCCAGAATTGCCATCAGCAGAACACTGATTGAAAATTCAGAGGCAGACGTAAGGCGGGGGGGAGAGACAAGTAACTTAAATCGCCGGGAGGGGGGAGGGGGGGGGGGGAACTGGTACTTGGTTGGTATCGGCGATTGACACGCATCAGATCTAAGGATGCATGCGGTATGTCCACCCAGGGTTGCGGGGGAAGCTTAATTTACTCTGCGGGCCGGGATGAGATGACACCACGAGCCAGACGGTACGCTAAGGCGATAATGGGTTTCAAGTCGGTTGGTGCATTCACTTATCTCCTTATATATGATTTCTCCCATGCATGGGGAGACAATGTACGCGGTAGTCATCAGGACGATAGTACCTTAGTACTAGTCAGCATCTAGTTGAGGCTGGCAAAACCCGCGGCAGGCAGAATTTATCGCTTGAGGGCTTATCGGGCCAATCAGCGGGTGGGATGCCGTCCCCGCCTGGACATGCCCGATTGGGGGATCTTTTCGTCTTCGACAGTCTATCTTGTGTAGGGGGTTATCTGGGGGTGATTATTCTGAGCTCATCAGTGATAAGATATATGATCACTAAGGTTGGATACCTACTGTAATTAAATAAACTCATTATCTGCTGCAGTCAGGGGGTATGTTGTTGCTCATGCCACGCAGCCCTAATCCCGGATTCTTGTCCCCGAGCTGTGGGTCGCTCGCTGCTTCCGGTTGAACCTGCGATAAGATAAGTGCAATAGCTGGGATTCTGTAGGTACACTACATATATGGAGTCTAGAGTAGACGACCTCGCCGGTCGCCGCCCTCATCGATATTCGGTGCAGCTTAATATAAGCCCTGCTTTCACATCTTAGTACAATGTGTGAGGATGGTACAGCATGCCGAGTAGTTCGGCTCCCTGGTACTGCTTTGAGGGTCCGTTGAGACCTGTCTTTTGGGTAGCATACATTATGCATAGATCTACACGCTCTCAACCACCAGAACCTTTCTTTGTTGTGTCAAAGATCAAGCAAAACTGGCTCCCCAGCTAGCCAAGAGCCACAATTACATACTGGAAGAAATCAGTCAAGCAGAATGAAAAAGAAGTGGGAAGAAGAAAAAACCCAAAGCGAACAAGACCAGACCAATCCAAACCAAACGAAACCAATACTCCATTCCGTCTCACCAAAAAAAATTCCTCGTGCCCAGTCGAGAAGACCGAAGATCACACCCCCCGAAGCACCCTGGTCTCCCCCGTCGGCTCCCCAAGGAACCACTGCGCAAAGGTTCTGATCAAGGTCTCGTCCTTCTCCCGGAGATCAAACAGCCGCGTTGGACGCATCACCACCGAGCTGCCATCGAAATATAGTTCGATGACCCGGGCGTGTTGCGGTCCCAGGAAGAAGAGAAGAAGGACCTATTTTCATATTCCGAACTCAGCGGTTTTACTTCAAACTTGGAAGGGCGTAGGGCTTCGCGTTCGGAATGTGATGCGGGAAAGGGGAGAAGGTGATTCTCACCGGCACAGTCGAATGTTCGAAGAAGCGAGACCGTCTCATCTGCCCGTTGATCACGCGAAGAGTGATCACAACCTCGCCGCGCAGCAGCGTGTTCTCGTTGTCATCGAGGTTGTTGTAGACCATGGCCTTCATGTGCGGGGACTCCCGACCCCTCTTGGCCTCGACGAGCTCGGGGGTGCCGAACTCGGGCTCGTTGCACTCGAATAGGTCTTCGGACGGGACAGCCATATCAAACTGTTGGGGAGATGTTCTGGTGTGAGATGGCGAGATCGATGATGCATAGACGACACGATAAAATACTAGATGCTGACGACTATGGAATCTAACTTACCTCAAACCCTCCCACAACCCATCGAGGATGTAATACTCGCTGTGAGTCGCGCAGCCAAAACAAAAGGAAGAGTATTAAGAGATCATGTTGCGGGCGCAGTCAATGGGGCGTCGGAAGATCGGGTTGACAGATTTGAACTCCTGGTACTTCGTCCTGCTCTTCTGATCATATTCGTGATCTGGGACCATCAAAAGATGGGCAGGGCATGGTTTGAAGAGGCTAGGGCTGGCGCTTGACCTTTCGTTCAGCTCCATAGGCGAGACGTTTATTCGTTGCGTCGCCGGTTGGCTCTAATCAAGTTCATGCGCTTCGAGACCCTCAACGTGGTTCTGGATTGCACGGAGCGCGGACCGTAGCTCCTTGTGCTTTGCGGGCTCAGGAGAATGCATGTTTTTGAGACTGAGCAATCGGGTTGCATATGCGAGGTATACTGCGGCATAATACTTCATTCATATTCAATCAATGAGTGACTGATGTTGGGACCATTGTCTCCCCTTATTTCTTTGTCTTAGGCCTCCGGACAAAAATCTCTTCCTTGAAGAGAACGGCCGCACATATCATGAATATTGAAGAGGAGTCTGTATGTTACCGTGTGATGAAGAGGAGCAGGACCGTCTTGATCTGTTTTATAAGCTATTCACGGTAGCACGGGTGTCTGCCAGCTTAATTTACGCGCCAGACCCAGGAATGGTAGATTCTTCGATGTGGGATTTGGGACAGAGATCTGGGCTATCGATGTCGCCCATAAATATCCCGATGCCTTTGTTGTTGCGATGGATCTGGCACCTATACAACCTCCCAATCATCCCAATAACTGCCAATTCTATGCGACATCTAACTTCGAGAGTCCTTGGCCGCTTGGTGAAGACTCCTGGGATCTTATTCATCTGCAGATGGGATGCGGCAGTGTTGTGGGTTGGCCAAATCTCGGTAGGAGAATCTTAAGGCATCTTCAATCAGGGGCGTGATTTAAACAGATGAAAATCGATTTCGAACCTCGCTGCGCCAATTGCTCTTTGAACGGACTGGCACTAGGCCAATGGTACCAGTACCTAAAGCAGGCAACACAGGCCACTATGTAGCCCATAGCCCACAACTCGCGTGATACAATCAGAGCCCGGAAAGAGGCAGCTTTTACCCAAATCGACCATCGGATGATGAAATTGCCTCTCAATCCTTGGCATGATGATGAACATGAGACAAAGGTTGCTCGCTGGTATAGCCTAGCTTTTTCCGAGAGTCTCGAGACCCTCAGTCTTGCTCTTTCAGTCGCGTGCTCAAATGGCCTTTGGATAGGATCAGACATCTAGCAGCTGAGGCTAACTCAGAGGCCTTTAACAAGGAACTCCGTGCTTACAATATCTTACCGAGCCGGACTAAGCGAGCCTTTCCGTGGGAATAAAGTGTTGCAGGATAAGCCATGCCCCAATATACTCTCTCAGTGAGCTTCCTCTCTAGCCTAAGATTGCGCATAGCCAACAATATGAATACTGTAAAAGAGTACTATCCCCATCCTTGTCAAGAAAACACACCCATTACCCTCCACGATATTTCAAATGAACAGAATCAGTCCTATCTTTCGTTAGATAAGAGTATTCCCTTTGTCAGAGCGTGAGCAAGGCAAACTCATAGTATTGGGTGTACTATGTTCAAAAGCCAGCCATATCTTCTGATTGGTCCGGCCAGACACATGTCTGGACCTCAAAGCTAAATGATAACCCTTCATCGCAGGTGTAGACTATAGCGGTGCCGCCATTTTCGGTATCGCATTTTATCCATTTCGTGCCATCTCCAGGATACGGCATGTGTGATACTTCTTGTGTTGCTGTCGCACACACTATGTCTCCGACATCGCCAGCCGGGGTGCCTGAAGCGTCATCCTGGGCATTGGTGAGGAGGCAGAGGAGTGCAGTGCCAGTGAGGAGAAAAGTGTAGCGCATTATTCGGCAGAGGAAACTGGCAATGCGGAATGGTAATTAGTATATTTTGGTCACCTGAAATGAAAGGTCACTAGGCCTGCATTGACGGGCTCTTGGAACATGGAAAGGGGTTATTCTTATATACTTGTGATCGACTTCCAGCTGATACGCCGATCCCATGTTGACCATTTGCGCTGCATGCTGGAATCAGCTTAGTGGATGGAAGCAACACATGCCCAGGCACTAGCTTAGCTAGTATGTTTCGCTTGCACCCTGCTACTGCTGGGGTGAACTAACTCATGAAGGCTTTTCGCTCAGTGTTGACTTGGTCCCATTTGCTGGATTCAAAGAGTGATTACTCCACACGATCGTTCCAAGTCTCCTGGTGCATATCTCGGGATTTGGAAACTCCGACTAGCGGTGAGGGTACCATGGCAACCGGAGTTTTGGATGTCCTAGCCCCTCGGAGGTAATACTGCTTTAGAATGAGATTAAATCATTGATCGAGTTGCCCAGAGCATGGCCAGGGTCGCCAAGGGCGCTTCGCAGTGTTGGGCAACCCCATATTGAACACTATCCTCCGACTAAAATGCTCGGGGATGAGATTGGCTACATCCACGATGTAACAATCTCTGAATCCGAGTCGGGTCGCAGCTCATCGTGGTCTGAAAATAACCCAACGTGGTCTGGGGTGTCTATAAGTTAACCAACTCACTCGAAAACTAGACTTTACTTTTCTATCATTCTGCGGTTTATAGGGGTATTTAGGGTGTATCAGGGTTAGTGGGGTGGCCAGGGTAGTTATCAGGGATTTCAAATAGGGAATTACTCATTGATTTTGTGCGTTTTGAGCTCGTCGTGGTCTGAGATAAACTCTGCGTGGTCGAACGTTGAATACCATACCACATTCCATCTTAACTAAGATGTAGACACTTGGTAAGCTTCTGGGAGTGGATATACACCCCCGCTGGATATAATTATTTAATCTATAATAGAAATCTGCTTGCTATTATATTTCAAAAATAGATCAATTATTTAGATTCAACGGCCAGATCAGCTTAATATGGGCCAGACGCATCCCCTCGTAGGAATCGCGGAGACTAACCTGCCCCTCGCTGTAGACTATCCCCGGGCGGGTGAGTTGGAGATGCCCCTTCCAGTAATAGCCAACCTTCTTAGCAAACTTGGTAAAGTAGATGTTGGTCTGCTCTTCTGGCTAATCTACTGTGGTTTCGGTGGTGTCGCCGCATTGAAAGCGCAGCCGGTAGTGGCCCGGGGCCAGTGGCGGGGCAGCGGGGTGGCCCAGGAACTCGGAGCATTTAACTCGGAATTCCTGGAGAGGCGAGCGCTTGAGGTCCTCTGGCCTCCAGACCTGCACAAGGTGGTGGTCGTCTGTGGAGATACATGTCTCATCTTGCCCCCCGGCGAGTTTAAGGATTTTCTTAACGGTCGGCTCCTCTATGGGCACACCGTGAGTGTGTTCCCCTTCACCAAAGAGGTGGACTTCTGTCGGATTGGATTGCGACGGCAGCAGTAGCAGCAGCTGCTGCTTCTCTGTAGTATCTTCAATCAGTTTCCCAGTGCTGTCAGACATTTTCACAGGGCTAGAGAGTTTGTATAAGACAGGGATTGTTGGTTCAGTATAAGAACTTAATTGGCCCTACACTTTGTGTGTGCCTTGGTTGACGAACATAACCTTGATGGGTAGAACGCCGTTTATATAATTCAAGGGAGAGGGCCTGAGAGGGCAGCTTGGGTCGATCATGATTGCTTTTTTTCAGTAAGAGTCTTTGTCATAATATAAATAACAATCTACGTCCTAATGACTACATCCCTCAGACCCAGACAAACAAAAGGTCACAGTATGAAGCCAGGTCAAACTTTAGGAGGGCGAGGTCTTGGACTCTTCTCCGCTATCTCAGACATAAACATGGACCTGTGCTATGAATCAAGGAGAAGAACAAGACCATTAAGTACCATCGTAGACAAGGATGTTGTTTATTCTTTTAGTATTTGATAGCTATCTCGGTCAGAGACAGGCAATCTGAAACTTAAAGTACGTAGCTCAGTCAAATCTCTGCCATGAATAGAAGTAAAACAATGATGGCATTGAGCAAAATTGTAGACCAGGACATTGTTTACGCACTCTTTCAGTACTAACTGCTTATGACGTCAATGCTATGTTGACGTCTGGAGACCTGAGGCACCAAGGTTTCCTCTTTTTCCCTCCCCCTCCCCTTCCCCCTCCCACCACCACCGAGACACCGTTTCTTGCATCCTTCCACCATTCTGCCTGCACTCGTCTGCGATTGCAGACTTCCTTGTTGATTCAACAATGAGACATCCCAAGTTTCAGCATCTGGTACATCATGTTCCACCATCTCAACCTTTCTTCAGCTGGAGAAAGGCGGGCCCCGGCGGGATGCCCCCCTTTCGTCCCATTGTCTCTTTATGCTTAGCATGCTTGGTCTCGCAAAGCCAATTCTTCATCATCCTTCGTACCGCACTTGCAGAAGGAAATGCCATCTAGTTCAGGTCCCAGTCCGGGGCCCCGCACCCCAATCCGGCATAGCAGCCTCAGTCCGGCGCTAAACAACCGGTTTGTGTCGGGGCATTGTCGCCGGCTGAAGAAAAATGGGAAAAACCCCGGCGGCACAGGGGCCTCGGTTAGCCCTAGTCCGCGATATCTTCACGATGCTGCCTGCCACCATGCGGGGTACCTGCGACTCGCCTCCAATGACTTCGTCGGGATGAAGCTGTCATTCTGCAGCGTCGCATGATCCGCTCCCAACATTTGCGCATCAGAGGTGGAACAAAATGTTCCGTCCAAGTGGCTTAATCGAGTGTTCCTGCCACCGTGACGCATTGGGATGCTGACGACCGGGAATCTGCAAGGGACGGGTGTGGTATAAAATCCTTTCCTGTTCCTGGGTTCCTTTCAGGGGCCGCTCAAGCATCTTTCACAGTCTCTCCACATACTGTCCTTCAAGATGCCTTCACGACGAACCCTCCTCGGGCTGGCGGCCACGGGCACCCTGGTCAGCGCCGGACCCTGCGACATCTATGCCTCCGGTGGGGCGCCCTGTATCGCTGCGCACAGCACCACTCGTGCCTTGTACAGTGCCTATTCCGGTCCCCTTTACCAGGTCATCCGTGGCTCGGACAGTGCCACCACCGACATCAAGCCGCTCACCGCTGGTGGGGTTGCCAATGCTGCCGCCCAGGACACCTTCTGCTCTGGCACGACCTGCCTGATCTCGATCATCTACGACCAGTCCGGTAGTGGAAACGACCTCACCCAGGCTCCTCCGGGCGGCTTCGATGGGCCCGAGTCCAACGGCTACGACAACCTGGCCAGCGCGATCGGCGCCCCCGTCACCTTGAACGGACAGAAGGCGTACGGTGTCTTCGTCTCGCCCGGCACCGGCTACCGCAACAACGATGCCAACGGCACTGCCACCGGCGATGAGCCCGAGGGCATGTACGCCGTCCTGGACGGCACGCACTACAACGATGCCTGCTGCTTCGACTACGGCAACGCCGAGGTCAGCAGCACCGACACGGGCAACGGCCATATGGAGGCCATCTACTACGGTACCAGCAAGACCTGGGGCTATGGCTCGGGCAGTGGCCCGTGGGTGATGGCCGATCTCGAGAACAACCTGTTCTCCGGGCAGGCGGAGGGCCTGAACTCGGCGGACCCGTCGATCTCCTACCGGTTCGTGACGGCGGCGGTCAAGGGCGAGCCCAACCAGTGGGCGATCCGCGGTGGCAACGCGGCCTCGGGCTCGCTGACGAGCTACTACAGCGGCGCGCGGCCCACGGTGAGCGGCTACAACCCGATGAGCAAGGAGGGAGCGATCATCCTGGGGATCGGCGGCGACAACAGCAACGGCGCGCAGGGCACCTTCTACGAGGGGGTGATGACCTCGGGCTACCCGTCGGACGCGACGGAGAATTCGGTGCAGGCCAACATCGTGGCGGCCAAGTACGCGACGACCTCGCTGACCAGCGGGTCGGCGCTGACGGCGGGCTCCTCGATCTCGCTGCGCGTCACGACCACGGGGTACACGACCCGCTACCTCGCCCACAACACCACCAACGTCATCACCTCGGTCGTCTCCTCGTCCAGCTCCTCCACCCTGCAGAAGCAGGCCAGCTGGACCGTGGTCGCGGGGCTGGCCAACTCCGGCTGCTTCTCCTTCGAGTCCGTCGACACCCCCGGCAGCTACATCCGCCACTACAACTTCGAGCTGCTGCTCGCCGCCAGCGACGGCACCAAGCAGTTCAACGAGGACGCCACCTTCTGCCCGGAGTCCGGCCTCAGCGGCTCCGGCACCTCCATCCGCTCCTGGAACTACCCCACCCGCTGGTTCCGCCACTACAGCAACGTGGGCTACATCGCCAGCAACGGCGGCGTGCACACCTTCGACTCCAAGACTTCGTTCAATGCGGATGTGACCTGGTCGATCAGCTCGGGCTTTGCGTCCGCGTAGATTGAGGCCGAGGCATCTGGGATGACTGGACGGCAGGGGGTGGATGTGGATGCTTGATGCGCATGTGGAAGACCTTTCGAGGTGGGCCTTGTAAATATGTTGTTATCTTCATTGCGAGTACAAATTCAGGATACCTTGGACTTCACTCACATTCTTTTGAGTTTTTGACTTAGATCCTCGTAGAATCCGAGTGACTATCCCAAAGGTTGCCCTGGCGTTTCGGGCAGTGCAAGGAATATAGTATAGTAAAGATTGTCGCGACCATTGAACTCTCAACATACGTACATTCCGTGCATGAATGACAAAAAAGGCTCGATAGGACATGTAGCACCCCGCACTGGAACATAGGCGAATGTCCATCAAACGACCGAACTGCACAATCACAATGTCTGTGCATCGAAGATGGCCAGGGGTTATGACGTCATTGTGCATGGCTTCCGTGCCAAGTTTTCATCCCAAAGACAGTTGTCGACAGAGTGCCGGAGAAACACACTCCGTGCCCGCAAACTGATGGTGCTTAGCTTAGTTGATAGACTGACCAGGTCTTTGGATGGATGGTCCAAGATGGAGGAAGTGGAATGTGTGGACGAAGCAGAGAGAGGAATGTGTTGACCGCTTTCGTGGCTGCCTTCTGCCGGCAGGATCATGATCGGCTGACCGCCTACGTGTCCATCTCCACCATCTCCCTGCGGTGTCAACATCACTCATTGTCGGAATGTATCTGGATTCGCATCTACCATCTAACGGTTCAATTGTCTCAATCTGAGGAGCATATTCTTTCAGGGACCTTGCAAATGGCGGAGGCTTTACGCCGTTTGAAAGCATGTAACATCCTGATAAGCATCATCGCGAAATCGCGACAGACAACAGTTGAGGGAACACATGGCACGCCATCACGACCATGATAGCCACCGAATTCCATGATTAACAACAAGCGATCTATGCTCTAAGATCCACCAGGTTGCCCGCGAAGGCTGAATGTCGAATTTGATTTCAGGATCCCGCCTCATCTCGCCAGGATGCTAGCTATGGGGCCGCCCCCAACAGTGCAACACCAGAAGCCGTCCCGATTTGCCCCCTGGCGCAGCGCTGAATCCCAGCGACCTTGCGCCTCGATATGTGTGGTCCGTCGAATGTTGTGCCGGGCAGCGAGGATCCTGTTGCGTGAACTTACGCAGGAACAGCGAGCCGGCTGCCGCGTGCCCTGCCTTTCGCCCCCATGCGACACAGGAACCGAACTCCGCTCAGGGGAACTTCTTCGGAATGAGAGTTCCTCTCTTTCTTCTTTCTTCTTGCCAACTCTGCCAGTTGCGTGTCCTCATGCCTGTGTGGGCTGTCAGTCTTTCTTTCACTCACTACATTGACATTCGTTGAAAACCATTCTCGCGAGTCACTCATTTCCTCGCGGGAGCGCCAGTCATTCTTTGCCCGCAGTCTGTCGTTACCACAACTACCCACAGATAATCACAATGGCAAGCAAGCTTGCACCCACTCTCTTCGCCCTCGCGAGCGTGGGACACCTCGCCTCCGCGCAGCTCGCTGTAGACACCACGCCCGTGACGGCCGCCGCCTCCGTCGAGACCGTCTCCATGATCGACGCATCGGGGCTGCCCATCACGACCGTCTCCGACGCCGGCGACAACGCCTGGTACATCCCTCTAACGGGGCCCGCCAGCGCGGCGACCGCCGCGTGGGGCGCAAATGTGCACATGCACAGCGAGACCGCCGCGCTGCTCCCCATCACCTTCGGCACAGCACCAGCACCCACCAGCACACCTAGCGTCCACAAAACCCGAATTTCCTCGCAGGAAATCAGCGCCTTACCCACGGCGACCGTCTCCCCGATCGGCACGCCCGCCGGCGACGAATCCACGAGCTCGACCCTCGAAATCCCTCTGAACCCGGAAGCAAACGCCCTCCTCCTGGGCGCGGACACAAGCCTCACCATCCTCAGCACCGTCATCGCGACAGCCGAGAACCCGACGAACATCAGCACCACGAACCTGACCACCCTCCCCGTGGGGATGAACCTCGGCTTCGGGTCCCACTGGCCCGGGGCCCTGATCTTCGGCGGCAACTACGACGCGAACCGCATCTGGAACGAATCGCACTGGCAGACCACCCCGGAAACCAGCGCGGGGAATGGCAGCTTCACCCAAACCGGCACGCAGCTCCTCGCCAGCGGCGTCCAGCTGAGACTCTACCCCGCGCCCAACCTTACGGGCAACACAAACACAACCACCTACCCCTTCGACACCACCTCCACCCCAACAACCACCACCACACCCCTCCCCGCCACCCTCAACTTCACCGCCGAGACCCTCACCGTCCCCGACGCGAGCTTCTGCGACCGCAACTTCACGGTGGTCTTCAACCCAGATAGCGCGACGTACCCGCTCTTCGAGATCCCCGTCTGGGCGGACCTGGTCCCTGCGGGGTCGCGGTGTGTGGTGGGGAGTAGTGGGGGGGAGATCATCCTGGGGCGGCCGTTCTTCCAGGCGGCGTATGTGTATGTCACGGACGTGGGGGATTTGTACTTTAGTTCGATTCGGAGGGATGGCTCGGTTGGGGTGGCGCCGAGGGAGTTTGATTTGCATGCTGTGTTGGGGGGTGGGATGGGGGGAGGGGAGGGGGATGTGTATGCTAACGCGACAGTGGAGGAGGCGGGGGCGAAGGGGACTGCGGTTTCGGGGGCGGGGAGGGTTGCTACCATTATGAGTAGTGGTGCTTGGGGGGTGGTGCTTGTTGTTGGGGTGGTGGTGGTGGGGTGGGCTATTTAGTCGGGGGTGGTGTGGTGGAGTTGATTCTAATTTGTTTTGTTGGATATAAGATGTATAATATACTATACCCATTCTTAAGATTCCATGTTTATTTCCAGCACGAGTACAGCACGAGTATAAAAGAAAGAACCCTTAATTCCATGCTCACCATCCGCAGGGCAGGTTTCCCAGCCCCAACACTTGTATAGTATGTAGCCATCTGGCAAAGAACCAGAACCAGAAACAGAAAAAGAAACAGACCAGCTGCATCCATCCATCCTTCCCAGCCAGTGCATCCCAATCCCTTGCTCAAACATCAAACCCGCTAATCCAACCAACAAAATCAAAATCCCAAAACGCCATCCATAATCATGATCCCATGCAAAGGGGCCTCAACCCCACTCCCATGCCTGGGTTAGACCCGATCCGCACCGCACCCCGTATGCATCGCACAGCACGCATCCCACCCCATCGGCTTGGCATGATCACTGGAGATCATACACGACCAGCGCGCGCTCGATGTCCTGCAGGGTCTCCTTGTCGCCGTAGGCGTCCATCAGGGCGCGGTTTTTGCGGAGGCGCTCTTCTTCTTGCTGTTGGTAGAGGTGTTGGTTCTGGAGGGATTTCTGAGAGGTAGAGGGAGAGGTAGAGGTGGCCGTGTAGTGGTTGTAGGCGCCGAAGCCTTGGGGTGTGTTAGGTCTGGTTTGGATGGAGAGTGTTTACATTATAGAGGTGGGGGGAAGAGCGTAAACGTACCGAGAGCGATGGCCGCCATCAGGGGCAGATACCAGCGGCTGGGTTTCTTGAGGGAGGCCGGGTTGATGTGGGGGTGGCTCTTGACGAAAGGGCGGGGGTGTGGGGGGGAGAGGTTCATCATTTTGTTTTCGTTGGTGATTTATTGGTTTGATTGGAAGAGTTGTGGTGGTGGTGGTAGTGTTGAGTAGAGTAGAGGGATGTAGAATGTAGTGGAATGAATTGTGCTTGAATAATGGATTGTTGGTTTATGGTTGTACCTTGGTTGGTGTATTTATAAAGCAGCGGACTGAATGCATCACACCCACGTATTTGTGGCCTGATCGGGGGTAGTCGATCCGTCATACGATGGCAGCCCCGCCCGCCCCCGTCGATCCCGCTTTCTGGGGTATTTTGTAACTACGTAGAGGCAACGTGATTGGCGGAGTGGGCGCAGAGTGGAGCCGATGATGAAGAATCGCATGCACCCATCATCTCACTCACTCCACCGTCGAAATCCTTTTTCCGGGTGTGCTGATCTTGTTGTGCTCACTGTGCTCACTGCCTTGGGGGCTTGCCGGGGAGGGGGGGGATATCGGGTGATCCTACGGAGTTCGGAGTCTGGTCTGTGCTTTCTTCACTCGGTTTGGACTCATTCTTCTCTTACTACTCTGCGTTATTGTTTAGGAAGGAAATGCTGAATCCATTTTCTGGAAGAAGTACTGTAATGATCCCCCGAGATGGAAGAGCGGGGGGTGCGCGTGGGGGTTGCCAGATAAGGAGTTGGTGCCTTCTTAGGGTCAGGGCTGGACTCACGCCGCTACATCACACTCTCTACATGATAACACCTATCGCTTTGTCCGCGCTTACAGCGACAGACTCTGTGTCATTGTTGACTGCTAGCCACCGTCACAGTTTAGTCCAAACTAACACTATCGATAAGATACAATCTGCTACCAGGGCCATCTCCAGCAAAGGTGACAGTACTAATGCCTCAAGCTTCCACCCATATCCATGGACCAGAAGGTTACTCCAACGGCACGGTATCGACAAAACACGACCTCAACGCCTCCACCCCATACCTCCCCCCCAGCACCTCAACCTCACCCACCACCGCCCTAATCCTGGCGACCTCCTCCCCCTCCAGCCTCACCCCCAACGCGCCCACATTCTCCACCAAAGCCTCGGGGCGCGTGGTCCCCGGAATCGGGAAAACATCCTCCCCCTGCGCCAACAACCACGCCAACACCAGCTGCCCCACCGTACACCCCTTTTCGTCCGCAAACCCCTTCAACCGCTCTACCAACGCGAGATTCCGCCCAAAGTTCTCCTCACTATACCGCGGCATGACCAGCCGGATATCCCCGGCGGGGAAGTCCGCCCGCGACCGCACCCGCCCGGTCAGGATCCCGCGCGAGAGCGGCGAGTACGCCACGACGGCGACGCCCAGCTCGCGCGCCGTGCGCAGCAGGTCCGTCTGCGGGGACTCGATCTCCAGCGAGAAGGGCGAGTACTCGACCTGGACGGCGGCGATGGGGTGCACGCGGTGGGCGCGCCGCAGCGTCGCGGCGCTGACCTCGCTCAGCCCGAGGTATTTGATTTTGCCGGCGGATCGCAGCTCGGCCATCGCGCGGACGGTCTCCTCGACGGGCACGGCGGGGTCGAGGCGGTGCGCGTACAGCAGGTCGATGGTCGAGACGCCCAGGCGTTGCAGGCTGCGCTCGCACGAGGAGAGGCACCGGCCGCGCGAGCTGTCGATGATCATCGCGCCGTCCACGAACTCGGCCCCGAATTTCGTGGCCAGGAAGACGTGCGCGCGCTTGCTCGGGTTGGCGCGCAGCCAGGTGCCTAGCAGGGTTTCGCTGTCGCCGTAGAGGGCCGCTGGTTTGGTTCCCGTGTCAGTAAGGGGGTTACTTTGGGCTGTGAGGGAGGGGGTGCAGTGGAAGTACAGTACCGGAGTCCCAGAAGGTCTCGCCTAGTTCGTACGCTTTGTCGAGGAGGGCGAGGCGCTCGGCGTCCGGCTTGGGGGGCCCGTAGAAGGCACTCAGGCCCATCGTGCCAAAGCCCAGGCGGGGCACGGAGGGGCCGTCTTTGCCCAGGGGCCGGGTTTCGAGGTGCGCTGGCATTTTGCTATTCGTTTTGGTGGGGTTGAGCTGGCGTTCTGCCATCTCGTTGGGATGAAGGGTGCTAGAACACTTATACCGTTCTTCAAGCCAAGCCAGTATACTTCGGCCGGATATACCGGATTTTACGGATTTGCCGCTGTCATCATCGACTGGCCGTTGCGGGAAGAGGTCGAGGTGGGTCTAGTACCCCTATCTGGAATCTCTGATTGGAAGTTTGTGAGCTTTATGCACCCGGCATATGCGTTTATGCTCGGTCTACGAGGTGAGGTTGTGGTGGTCGGAGTTAATCGGTGTTGCGTGGGTTCAACCTGAGAACGTCGAGTCATGCCTACCCCCCTTAATACATTGATTATGCACCAACAAGGACATAGGGATCTTGTCTTGGGCGAGTAAGAAGCTGATAAGAAGACTTGAGGTGGATAATGCTTGGAGTCTGACTACGCCAGGCTATCTGCGGAACTATGAGTAGCCAAGGACCACCCAGGTGGGCGGAGAGCAAGCAGTCTATTCACTAAGACTGCAGGGCCGCCGTCAAGACTGACAATAGGCAATGCTTGCTAGATATCTATGCTAGTAGGTAGACTCGGCTGGCGTTGTGTACTAAAAGTAAACCTCCAACTCCCAGTGGTAAATGCCTGTCCAGCGGTACGCGATAAAAGATAAACACCATCTGTGTAAGACCGCAGCCCTTTGACTATTGTCTGCAATTGCAGTTACAAAGAAGATAGCCGACGATCATCATGAACCCTCGACGAAAGCCTCATCAACCCCCGGAACATAGGCCCCTCGCAATAGTTATAAATGTCCACACAGCCGAGCAAAGCAATAACCGATTCCCATACCAATCCCACCAAACAGCAGTAGTCAATTGACTAACACCCAAGGTATCCCAATAACCCACATCCAGACCGACTGATTTTGTGTGCTCAGACCGCCATCATGTGCATGTCCCAGGCCCAGGCCGAGTCCCATGCCCCCGACCAGTCACGCCCCTTTCTCCCACGCGTCACGGACATCGGGAGCCTTCCCTACGGGGGCCTGCCAGGCCGCTGCGTGTACGGGCCCGACGATCCGCCGGCGCACTTCGACGCGAAGCTGACCAACCACTTCGTGCGCCCGCACCCGGAGACCAGCCTCAGCTGGGACGGGCACCACCTGCTGCAGCTGCTGGAGCAGAAGGACGTGGAGACCATGCGGGTGATGGACGGCTACCGGCCGCTCGTGCTGGAGCCGGACCAGTACCTCGCGCGCTTCTGGTGCCGCCCCGACGACGCGTACTACTACTTCGTCTGCACCAGGATGCAGGGGCTGGAGTACTGCAGCCGCTTCGTCCGGTGGGTCAACGTCAAGAGCACGCTGCATCCCGCGGTCGAGGCCACGACGGGGCCCGGCCTGCAGCAGCGGGACTAGGCGCTGGACGACCGGATCATCGGCGTACGTGACCAGCTGCGGCGGAAGGACCAGTATGCCGAATTGGTGGTGCTCGAACAGCAGCATAGGGAGCCGGCTTCACAGCAGATGCAGGAGGAGCTGGACCAGCAGCCACTGCCTCAGCAACAGCAACAGCAGGAAAAGCAGCCAAAGAAACAGCTGTCAAAGAAACAACAGCTACAGTAGATGCAGGGGCTTCACAGGTTCCGGCTGGTTCGGCAGGAGCAGCCGCAGTAACAGCAGCCACAGCCACAGCCACAGCCACAGCAGATGCAGCAGGGGCAGCTGATGCAGGAGTCTTTCCAGTTCGCGCTGGCTCAGCAGGAGCAGCAGTGGGACCAGCAGCAGTGGGAGCAGGCGCTGGAGCGGTCGTCCCGGCAGCAGCAGCAGAAGGAAGAACAGGGGGAGAGGTAAGTTAGTGGATCTGACCTAATCCCATAACGATAGGTCACGCACCTGCCCTTGGCCTCTCCGAATAAGCCTTCGATATCGTGCATCAAGTACAGTGCCCGCTGTTTACAAGCGCCAGGTAAGGCCTCCCCGGTTCTCTCTCAGGTATAACTAAACCAACCAGTAATTAATTTCACCCTCTTTGCGAGGTTAATTCATACTTATTCAATCTCCATACCATGCGCAGTAAACCCCCCAACCTCTCAGTACCCCCAAAAAGACCCCCTTACCAGCCCAACCAAACCAAGCGATACAAACTATCCCATACCCCTATAGACTAAATTTAGTACTTCCCTGTTTACGGAGGTGGTTGTGTGCTCGATTGGTAGCCACACAAGCTGGTCGACGTCCCGGTAAGAGGCTACAACCTGGAGGAGATGGCTGTGGTCTGAGGAGAGGAGATCTTCATCGTTGATGTATGAGAGGCTTGGATAGTGAGGAAAGGGGGCTACGGCTGTTTGCTCCCTGCACCCGAACCAGCCTTACTACCCGTACCAGATGTAAGATCCTGGATTGAGAGTTGCGGACGCGTGAGCGGGTCCTCGATACATCTAAGATCCTCCGTAGGGTTTGCCGACCCGACAAGCTCGCACAACAGTCTCCGTGCGGCATGGAGGTGGCGTCCAGCACCGGACAGGCTTTTCAGGGATCTCCATCCTTATCCATATAGTCAGACAAACACTTCGTGGATGGGGATGGCAGAGTTAGGTATACTACCTCCCCCAACGCAAAGACGATCATAACCGCAACCGAACTAACCCCGACCTGCCGGATCCCAATGCTGCCCTGCGCAAGGCCCAAGACACTGGTGTAGGCACCCACACCCTGCGCTCTCATATAGCCCTTCTGCGCATGGCCCGCCGGGAGTAGCGCGGCCCGGTGCAGGGCCCCGAGACACAGAATCGCATGGCAGACCAGATCGTCTGACCACGCCATCTGTGCGACTGTGTCGCGCCAAAATGCAAGGCCACTGCCTGCGAAGAACCGGTGGACGGTGCTAGTCACGTATTGGTGGTAGACTGCTAGGAAAGCAGTGCGTTGATGTGGGTCTTCAGGCGATCGCACCACATCTGGCACGTACTGGGATAAAACCAACTGGGAAGCTGAAGACGAGGTTACAAGCGGGGCAGAGGAGGGTGCGTCTGTATCCGCTTCTCCCGTGAAAACGACAGGCATGACTGTGCCGGCTCTGCTGGTAGCCGGCACAGACGAGGTGGGGAGTCTGACATCTGTGACACGTGGGCATTTCTTCACTACATTTGACTTGCCGCCGGAGACAGGTCAGGCATCCCGTCCGGGTGCGCTTGAGATGGGGAGGTGGCATGGTACCTTGGGGTTAGGAAGCCAAGGAACAGTGGGGTCGACTGCAGACTCTGACTCTGGATGAATGTTTTTTCTGTGCTGCTTATTCAATGGCGGGGTAATGCATGGATAGATTGAATTCACGTGAGAACTTGCTCCTGTCCAGTAGTTTGACGCTAGATTGGGTCTAGACACAGGATTGTTACGGGTTTGAAGACCATAACTTCATCGCACTCAAGCTGACAACCGTGAACTAAAAGACAACCTCTAGTGCCCACGAAGCGTTGCCACAAAGACAATTGCCGACTTCGACAAAACGAACACCAGGATCCATCAACCGGCGTCTCTAAGCGCCCCTGCATTGAAACTCTGGCTGTCGTCTTCAATTATCGATTCCAGAGACTTTTGCGATATAACATTGACGTCGACGCGTCCAGTAGCCAAGAGTAGGCGCGCAATATCCGCACGGCCGTTTTTCACCGCAATCCCAATTGGCCTTCTACCTAACGCATCTTCAGCATCAGGATTCACTTGTGAATGAGCCAGCAACTGCTCGACAACCTCGCGGTGACCTCTCTCTGCGGCAATGTGCAGTGGGGTGCGATGGTCATAGTATGGAATGTTCGGGCGAATATTCTGCATAGCCAGCAAGTGGAAGGCTATCTCTGCGTGTCCATACTTGGCAGCTAGGATCAAGGGGCTTGATAGGTCCAAGCCCGTATGGTTCGGATTCGCCTGTCCTGTGCTCAACAACTCGCAAGCTATCTGGCTGTGGCCATGTAAGCATGCATACAACAAAGGTGTCCAGCCTTCTTTATCTGCGTTGTCGATTCGGACCTTGCCGGTCTTGAGTAGCAACCGGACGATCTCGAGATGGCCCTTGTCCGCCGCATATGATAGTGGTGTTCGGCAGGTCCAAGCACTCCGATCACATTGGATTCGCCCAGATGCCAACAGATCCCGGACGAAAGCAAGCCGACCTTCAGTGCACGCACAGGCCAATGGAGTTAGCCCATCCTCATCATACATGCGATCGAGATTGACACGAAAATCTGCAAGGAGCCTAGAGAATATATGCTCTCGTCCAAGTTCGATTGCTAGACGGAGCGGTGTCCCTTGAGGTCCGCTCCCGCAGCCGTCTGGGTGAACTTTGAGAACCCGGAGCAGAAAGTCAACTACTGTTGGCCTGTCCTCATCAATAGCCTGGCATAGTAGCAAGTGTTGACTTTTGGAATCACTTGGCAGACGCCCAGTTGCCAGCAAAAGAACTCCCAAGGAGCAAATCCGATTGGCAACCGTGAAGGTGATCAATGATTGGAGTTTCCGCATTTTGATTGTCTTTCCGTGCTGAAGCAGCCATGGTAATTCCGTGCTCCGCATCCTATGAGTTTCCTCGCTGCCTCGAAGGCACTGGCTTGGTGCCAAGATTGCTTTCACTGCGGCCTCGTTCCCTTTTGCCAGAGCAGCCAGAATGGGGTAATGGTACCTCTCACCCGCTATCTGCAGATCTGGTGTATCCACCAATACTATGCCTATCAGATTAGGGAGGTCGTGCTCTGCAAGGATATACAAGAGGCTTGCAGACGATGTGTAGCGTCGGATTTGGGCCTGCTCGATCATATTGCTGTGATGAATCCACTCAGTGAGAGGGAAGCGATCGATGAAGTGGCTCTGGTCCACACCACCATTTTGTGCAGCATCAGCGTGGTAAAAGACATTGGATACTGCATATTGGAAGAACGGATAGCGGGAAATCACTGCAGATCGTATGTCGCGAGCACTCTCGGATGACGCAATGGGAAGCTCGTCAGGAACACCAAGTGAGCCTCGGATGTCGGTCATCAAATAATTTTGACAACACATTTTGAGGCGATCGTGGCTCAATGCATCGAAGCGGTCATGCTTGCCAGGCCAAAGCTCTCTGATGCCATTCCCTCTCAAGAGAAACTCACGGACGGATTCATGTATAAATTGCACGGTCGCATGTCGTGACTTGGTTGTCTCAGTCAGGCCTTTCGACGTCGCTAAGATGAACCGCTCCATGTCGTCCAGGGTAATGTCATCGGGGTCCCAGGCATCCGAGAGATCGTCCGGCTGGCCGGAAAGAATGGCAAAGTAGAGCTCTTCTCTTCTCAGCGGCCGCTTGCTAAATAATACCCACTGGATGCATAGCAATAGCTCATCCAGATTAGCATTGTCGCGAGTCAAGATGTCTTTGAAAAGTTCGCCTAGCTCATTTGGTATCTCGGAAAGCCTCTTGCGCAGCGCATGCAGACGACCCCTCTCATATTCGCGATTAAGGATCTGAACAACAAGAACAGTCCAGAGAAAGATGCCAGATGCTTTGCTTGATATCTCAGTTCGAATGAGATCAGCTTGTTTACTTCGTCCGATTTTCAATTCGCTGCGCAGGTATCGAGCGATGTCCTCCCCATGGCCTTTTTGGTCATGGAGAATCAATTCGATTCCATTCTCCACCGTGATGAACGGGTACTGACGACTGGAAAAGCAAACATGAAGTTTGATCTGCGATAACGTCGCGTATTGTCCTAAGGATTCGAGGAACTCTACCATGGCTCGCACCTGCTCCACGTCACACTCATCAAGCGCATCGATAAAACAAATCAGATGCTTTCCATCGAGTGAGGTCACGGCACAGCGGAAGATCTCTTGAAGCCTCTCGATTTCCAGGATGGAAGAATTCTGGCTGTCGTGAATAGGTGGCAAAGGAACTCGATCCAATAATACTTGAAGATCAGGCACAGCCTCCATCAGCTGCAAGAGCAAAGAGCGATACATTCCTTCGGTCGTTCTTTCAAGTTTCTCACCACGCGCATTGAAGAAGAATGAAACAATCACAATATTGTCATCCCTGGCCGCCTGGGCGTGCTGGTACGCAAATTTCATGATGGTTGACTTGCCGCTTCCTGCTTTGCCTTTGATCCAGAGAAAGCCATAATGATCGACGACCTTGTCTGTGTCAAGCCAATCCAGATATTCTTGTTTCTCCAAGAGCCATCGGCATGTCTTAGCATGGGCAGCTTTGATTGTTGCCTGTCGACTCTCTATTTGTTCAAACCGCAATGCGTCCATCACACACCTGCGATGGTCGACACCGCCGGATGTTGTCTTTGTTGGTGATTTTCGAGCTATTCTGGGCCCTGTGGCGTTGATAACCGCCAACAGCTCTTTAGCATAAGCAGCAGCCGTGGCGGCTGCGTATCCCTGCCATTGCTTGTTCTTATGCGAATCGGCATAGTCTGAAATCCCTCGAATCACTAGGCACGGGAAGTTATCCATCAGACCGGCGGCTTCCATCTCAAAGCACAATATATCCAACTTCGCAGCCAGTCGGTCACGGGTGCCTGCATGCTTGATCACCTGGTTTCCGGAAGCGATCAGGCCGTAATGAACAGCTGGCTGGGTGTCCTTGCGTGCTGAGCGCAAGATCAATTCGTTCGCATCACAATTTACGCATGTGCGCTGGGATGGGTCATGTTCATAGTTCGCACGGAACAGTCTGTCCGGTTCAGCTTCAGGACGCGTGAATGGCTGTGCCATCGATGGGCGGTTGGCCAGCATCTGAGCGACGAGCGCTGCAATCTGATTCCCGCTGCAATAGTGGTCGGCTCGGAGCTTTGTGACTGCGGCCAGGAGGGATATGGAGGGTTTACTCAGGGTTCCTGTTCTCTCAAAGTGTCCTTCCTGAATGGTCTTCCCGTAGTCGTACTGTATCACGCCCTCACATCCCGGGGTCGGAACGCTGACGACGACATCACCAAGCCTCACATCGTTGGATTCTGATGGTACCCCTCCGCCGATCCCCACCATGAGGAGATGCTGTATGGAGCCAAAGGTAAAGAACATGGAGCTCGCAACTGTCGCGGCTGAGGTAGTGCCATAGGTGCCAGCGGGGAGACAGGCGATCACCACATTGTGCCCACTGATCGCTCCCAGGGTGTATGCATTTTTGTCATTGGGGTGGGTTTCGAGGGTCGGATGAATCTCGTCAAGCATTGCTTTGGCAGCAGCAGCTTCAAGGGCAAGGGCGCAGACCCAACCAATCGTGTAATCATCATGACTGTGTGAATGACCATCCTCCGTGTTGAGTTTCCGTCTCTTGGTGGGATTGTGAGCGAATGCGGAGGCCGCGCTCATGTCGACAGAAGGACATAGAGAGATTCTGAAATCAGCAGGAAGACACACATACAACCAGTCACGGCCTGAAGCTTCAGATGCGGTTGAGAAGGGCAGCTAAAGGCGATCACAACACCAGGCTGTCAGCCTCGCCGAGCCCCCCGCTCGAGCTAGTCCCGCGAGGCTGTTATTCAGATCTCGCTGCCTAGGCATCATAGGCATCATCGGCACATTCCGACTTGATAATCATAGTAGTCAATTCAGTCAACAATCAAGAAGCTGTGAATGTCTCAAGGGTTGGAAGACTGGATTCATGTTGGGGTAACAGCTCAAGCAGTTGTTTGTGATCCGAACAGTGAGTGGAAAGAGTTGAGAAGGAAAGCGCCCGTGAGGGGAAACTTGGCCGCCTGAGGCAACCAGCACCTTGCAGCCTCAGCCCCTTGTGGCCTGAGGCAGAATTGGTCTTGCCTGGGCGGAGTCGGGTCTTTCCCCCGCCTTACCCTTTTGGGATCTTCTCATTGTTCTTACAACCTCACGACATCTTTTGATTCATCGACGATAGGATCCTTCCTCTCTTCCGATATCCAAGGAATCTGACTTATTCTCTGTGCTATACTTAGTCAGAGCCACTTTATTCCCTTCAAGCTACCTTCATTCTTTCCGCTGTCATAATATATAATGCCCAGAGCCCAGCAACACCTAAGGGCAAATCTACATTCTTGGTATGAAGTAAACATCACCAAATCGCATCCCGGATTCTGTTAATTCATTTCTCACAAGGAAGCCGGATTTGATAGATCTTTACCCTTCTAACTGTCATATGAACGACTTACGATAGGCCAAGACTCAGAACGGGCTTTTGCGAGGACTGAGAGAATGGGTACAGAGGCTGTCACCATACCTCGATCAATGAGCTTGATCACGGCAACCGTTGTCGCTTTGCCCGAGACCAATGCGAAAGGTCTACAGACCAATCGTACGCTGTCGTGTGTTCAAAATCGGGGCAAGGCAAACAACCGTTCCATGATTCGCAGCGCAATGCAGAGCATCGCCCTCTTTCGATCCACTACGATGCAGACGGACAATCACGGACAAATCAAAGACTACATATGCCGACAGTCCAGGGGCAAATGCACGATAGTCGGGTTTCAATCAACGGGATTACCGGCACGACAAATTATGGCAACTGCCAGGCGGGCAAATCCCAGCATGCGAACTCAGGCTTCGGGAAATTTGTAGTCAATTGGTTTCCGCAATACTGCCGATGTGTAAGAGATTGTGCAGCGAGGGGTCTTTTCTGCAATGGTCGGCTGGCTCGAATACCTTTTCCCGCGCAGAACAAGTTGTCGTTGAGTGAAAGTCGGAAAGGAACATAATTCGGGAGATTATACCATCGGCCAGCGAATGGGCGAGAGCCCTCCTAAGATGGATGTTTCTTGCAAGCTTGCAAGATGATTATGTGGGGCGAACCACGTCCGCACTTATAACCAGTCACTGAAAGTCGACGAAACCTGGAGTTCAGCTCAAATTGACTATAGGACCCCGTCGAAAACTGCAAAGCGCGTTACCGAAACACGAAGTAGTGCGCGACAAGGGGCTTGGAGATAACACAGATAACCCTCCTTATCTTATTTCAGATGTCCTCTCGTCCAAACCTGCACCAAGTGGAAAGCCAGGCATGCAATGAATTCGGACACATTCCGAGCGGCGGAATGAACTCGACCGGGCCGGCCAAGGCCTAGAACCCCCGATGTAACGCAATCTGCCCTGCACGCTGTCAGGAGCACTCTATGGCACCTCAGTTTGCAAAGACAGCGAGGATTCATTGAATCAACATTGCTGGCACTCGTTGAATCTCTATCGGCGAAGAGATTGAAGCCATGAGGTCATTGCCTCGTCGACTGAGCGGGGCCCAGATAGGGGGCAGTACAAGACTCCGACAGCGATAGCCGTAATACAGGGATGGATAGTCTGGTGAGACGTTGCCAATGCAGTAACTGACCAACTGCAGCCTAGAATGAGCGCTGATCCTTACCCAATGGGTGGCGTTAGCCAAGTTAGTGCCAGTGATTCCCCAGACCGGTGCAATTCCCCCGCATTTACGGCTATTGAACTGGGGCCAAGATCGACTCGGCCTGCCGATTACGGCAATAGCGCCCGTTCCCCAATGACTTCACAGTCTGGGGTATAAATACCTGCTGCAGGACTCTATGTGCGAGGAGAATCAAGGTGTTCTCTCTAGATCCATAGCCTTTATCTTTCAATTCCTCAAAATTTCTCGCCTCCGTTCTCCTGGCCGAGTTGCCATCATGTCTCGAGACAGTGACTCCTACAGCACCAAAGCGGATTCTACCGCGAAAGACAGTCTCGATGCAAAGCTCGACACCAAGCACATCGAGGTTGCAGAATCCACTCCAGGGACAGATCCCAATGGGCTTGCAACCAGTGTCGCCGACATCCCAATCACCTGGTTTGTGTGGCTCGTGGCATTCACGGCTTCAATTGCTGGCATGCTCTTCGGCTACGACACTGGTATCATCTCCGGGGTACTTGTCGTTCTTCACGATGACCTGAACGGTCGACCTACTACCAGCTCTGAGCAAGAGATGATCACGTCACTCTGCTCAGGCGGAGCGTTCATTGGCGCCATCTTTGCAGGAAATACTGCTGACCGCGTAGTTCTTCCCGTTTTTTAAACGCAAGAGTTCGTAAGCGCTAACAGCCAATAGTGGGGCCGCAAAATGGCCATCTATCTCGGCTGCGTTCTATTCGTCGTAGGCTCAGTCCTACAAGCCGCTGCGTACACGATTGCACAGATGGCGGTTGGCCGGGTAGTTGTTGGCCTGGGCGTGGGGTCCGCCGCGATGGTCGTCCCACTCTACATCGCAGAAATCGCACCGGCGCGCGCCCGCGGTCGCCTTATCGGACTCAACAACATGTCCATCACCGGTGGGCAAGTGATCTCGTACGCCGTCGGTGCGGCCTTTAACAATGTCAACCATGGTTGGCGATACATGGTGGGCCTGGGTGTCGTGCCCGCCATCATCCTCGCGGTGCTCATGCCGTTCTGCCCCGAATCGCCCCGTCACCTGGTGTACCACGGACGATTTGAGGAGTCGCGCGCGGTCCTCCGCCGCGTCTACGGCACCTCCGCTACGGAAGCCCAGATTGATGCCCAAATAGACTCCATCCGCATTGCCTGCGACGAAGCGCGGGAGCTCGCTGAGACCGGCAGCGGGTGGTCCAAGATCGTGCAGCTGCACACGGTCCCGCGCAACCTGCGCGCGCTGATCAGCGCCTGCGGACTGATGGTGATCTCGCAGATGTCCGGCTTTAACGCACTCATGTACTACTCGTCCACCCTCTTTGCACTGGTCGGCTTTGACAATTCCACTGCCGTTGGACTCGTCGTCGCCGGCACCAACTTCATCATGACGGGAGTGAACATGTTTGTTGTCGACACGATGGGCCGCCGGCGACTGCTTCTCTCCACAGTCTGGGGCATGTCAGTGGGTCTGGTGGCTGTAGCTGTCGCCTTCCACTTCATTCCCCTAGACATGGAGACCATGCAGCCCATCGGCAGCGGAGTAGGCCCCGCAGCGATCGTCGTGCTCGTCTTCATCATCTGGTTTGTCATCTTCTACGGCGTCTCCGTGGGTAACACTGCGTGGATGAGCACCGACTTCTTCGCCCTCGAGGTCCGTGCCATGGGCACGATGTGGATGACCTGCTCCAACTGGGGTAGCAACGTGATCGTGTCCAGCACGTTCCTCTCCATGGCCAAGGCGATGACCCCCTCCGGCGCCTTCGGTTTCTACGCGGCTATCTGCGGAATCGCCTACGTCTGGATCTACTTCTTCTACCCCGAGGTATCTGGGCTGCTGTTGGAGGAGGTCCAGGAGGTCTTCGAGCATGGCTTCGGCGTCAAGTATGCGAGGCAACTGCGGAAGGAGCGGAAGGATATCATTGAGGAGAGGTTGAAGAGTGCGGACAGACCGGTTCCGATGGGACATTGAGCCAGCCTATAATGTACCGTACATGGGTTTCAGACCCTCTGATGATGAAAGTCACTCTGGAAGTGAATAATGGTTGTATGTAAATTCTTATATGCAATGGAATTTATATTTTCAGTATTTCAAGTCTGCTTCGGAGAGCGCTTTCCTGTCGAACATAATGAAACCAACCTATGTCGTCCTTCGAATAGCCATGCCTCCTGGCCCGTAGTCATATCCGCCACCGTCGGGGTTTATACCCTGGGCACGGAACCCAGGTCCCGAGGCCTCGAAGTCATTTGCCGCCTCGGACTAACGGGGCGACAGGGGGACGCCGTGTGGGCAGATGAGAGTGACAATCGTTATCATGCCACCTTGGATTTTGTTCATCTCAATGCAAAAGTCATACCCCGACAACACAAAGACGTCGGAATCCGAAAGCCGATAGAAACACGCTTGTCATCTTGATTCGAGTATATGGTGTCGGGACGTTGTCAACAGTATCGCCCCAGAACTATGATTATGGTGATTCACAAATGTTTCCAAGCTTTCGGAGCCTGAGACTCGACAACCGTACTTTGAACGGGCGTTCGTCTGTTGTATATGGCCATTTGGGGGCGCGGGTGGACGACGGTACCAAGATATACAGACCACAACTGCGCGCATTGGATCAATATCCCCGCACAATACTACATTGCAAGGCTTCCTCATAGGTTAAACAATTCAATCATCGGACAGTGAATCAAACCGTGATACAACGGGTGGTGTTTGCTTCTGATGTGCGCACGGCAAGCGACTCGTCATACTTTGCAGTACCCAGATTTCGCTGATTGCTTTGTGCTTGAGGGCTTGCCCATCTGACCTATTGCTTCGGCTTAATATAGTCCTAGTATGTAAGGCTGTATGTAGTAGACCTTAACACAGAACAAGAATGATGATACATTCAGCCGGAGGTAAGGCCGTAGGCTACTCATAGCTATAACATGAGAGAAGAATTTGTCTTATATATGAACCTACTTCTACCTGGACTTTGGAAGAACAGGGTGCCCATCGAGGCCAATGCTTGGAGAGGCGGGTGCTTAACCAGAAGAGGCGTGCACAGAACAGTCAACTTCATCTTCAGATCATGAGGGACGAAGCAACTGACTTGCCACGCTTTTGTTGTTCAACCCTCGTAGAGTCTTCAGAATACAGCCCCTGAAAATAAGAAACAACAAGCGCGGCGTTGGGAAAGAGACAAATCTCAGAGAAAGAAGTACATAATTTGCTTTTTAGCATGAACCCATAATGCGTATTCCGGCGGAGGAAAGCAAAAGTATGCTCACACAGCATCTCCAGGACGAATCAGGGAACTGAAATCGCCCTCCTGGCGAGCGAAAACCCCATGCCCCTCCTCGGAACGGTCATGAGCGCCCGCCGCCGCCGCCGCAGCGGAGACCTCGTCCACATCCCCGCCGCCAACAACCCCAACGGGCCTGAAGATACGAGACACGGTCTTCGCGCACAGCTTATCGGGGGGCATGCACTTGGCTGAGCTGGAGCAGCACGTGGTCAAACACACGCTGCCTTCGATGGGACAGTCCTTGATACTCTGGCAATCCTTCAGATTGACGCACCAATCGCCCTTGTTTCAGTACAAGGAAGTAGTAGAAAGAAAGTCCCTAGCAAGAGCGGCATTTGAAACTATGTAGGGCCATAATTACAGTCTAATCAAGGGCCGTTTCTCGTAAACTACACGTACAGTAGCACCAGGTATAAGCGCTTGTGATGGCTGGGATCATCAATACAAGCTGAAGAAAGTATTAACGCAATCAAATACTTAGTTTTCAGGTCTTGGAATACATGGTTATGATATTCTTCGTCTACAGAAGTTGTTCCTGCACCGTAGTCTTATGATAGCTACCTATAATAATATTAATAAATCAGGGCAAAGATGTCTGGATAGTATGGGGATTGTAATCAAAGATACAAGCTTTCTTCTTCATGCGGGACGAATGCAAGTGGCAGACAATCGGAGGTTCATTACAGCATAGATAGTTTGTCCGGAGGTGGAGAGGATTAGTGTATTTTGGTGTTGAATTGCTTCATCTAATTAAGCATTGGTAATGTATCGTCTTGCAAGGAAACCCAATAAAGCGTGGCTGTCCAAGTATGGCCCTGGTCTCGTATTCAGTGCACCGTTCTTCAGAAGCTATCCAATAAGTACAGTACATCGTTTGACGAAACCTGGCCTGGATTTGACACGGACAAATAAACTTGAAAAGACCTTTATAACGGAATAGCTCACCATTAGGACAAAGGAGTCCCATGGTTTCAAGGCTCGAGCAACTGGAAAAAGGATATTCATTGGCACGTACACGAACACAACCAGCATCCAAGATAAATAACAAAGCAGTGTGAGGAAGAACGATCATGCAACCGGCTCACTATAGCCTTGGGATCCAGTAATTTGTCAGCTCCTCGAGTCGAGTAGCCTGGAGCCAGACAACTAGTGATCAAGCACTCCATCAAATCTCTTGGACCCGCCGCTGGGGTGTTTTTCGTGGAAATTCAAGGAGGGATATCCTCCTCGACAGAGCGAAGCTTGCCTGGTTTATACCACGATGAAATCCCCGGGCGTCTGTCCAGGTGCACTGATAGACCCTTGGCTCCTGCCAAGAGGAGCTCGGTGATACACTTGATGCATCAGCGTCCGAAAATCGCTGTCATCGGGAAAGACGACGCGGTATGTCGGTAAAAGCCGTAGAGACTCTGGGCATAACATAGTTATTACCATGCATACTCTTGGGTTCTTTCCCCCGGCGTACATCGCAATCTTAGAGCCGGCGCGGCATGGGGGCATGAATGCGGAAAGCATGAACCTTCAAACATGGCACGTAAGCAACTATTCAAGTAGGGATATGCCAAGGGAATGATAATGCAAGTTCAACAGAGAGCAAAGACTTACTGGCATAACGACGTGTTCTAACATCGTTTCGACCCGCAACCGCGAATGCATCACCGCCAAGATTATCAACAGCTCAGACTGGAGCAGATTCTGTTCGTTTTCGCGAGCAATGGCATTGCTCATGATGAGCTTTACGTGGAGGTGCCTTGAATTGACGAAGATGTCGTAGGCTTGGTATAGCCCGCGTACCGACCGAACCTCCGCGTGCGTCTGGAAACCCATCGATGTAAAAGTCGCTACCCGTATTAATTAGTTTCTTCGAGCGGATCCTGAGGCCTGAGGTGCGATTTGCGAGGCACTTACCTATGCGAACGCCATTTCGTTACCGTACGCAACGTGCTATCCCCGTACTCCGGGTCGAGGTTCTTCCTCCTGATACTCATTTCATTACCGAATCGACAAGCCAGGATTGCCGTGCGTTCCTCTGGGCTCTGGGGTCTGCCATCGCCGTAGGGCGAGTATTGTGGGGAAGGTATTTCTCGTTTCCGTTGAGGTTTGTCATTGATTTCCTGGGGTGCCATTCCTGGACGCTTGGTCTGGAAGTCTAAGGAGTGAACAAAGCAGGAAATAGGATAGTTTAACCTAGATAGCTTGGGATATATTATCTCCAAGCTTTTCGGGAGGCTAGGTTGAATTGTATTGGTTGTTCAGAGGTTGAGAGAAGATCGAAGTTGACTAGGTTGTCGGCTTGACTACTCAATTTCTGGTGGCTACGATGTGATTCACAAACGTTACATTCAATGAAGGGCTCGATTAACTTGCAATACAGTCTATTGTCCCAACCCCTGATTGTGAATCCACCTGGCTGTAGGGATTCACCAGCCATCGCCCGAATTCAACGGTCCACGCCATTAACCTGCGGCCTACGGATGTCACTTACACCGAAAGACCTGATACAATCCCATTTCATTCACACAAGACAAGTGTAGCGTAGACCACGGAATCGATATCTGGAACTTGCTGGTCTTTACCGAGATCCTTACCATCGCTATTGGTGTGGGGAGCGACATCACTGCTGGCGAGAAGAGATATCTGCTCTGTGATGCTAGTCGCTTGAAGCCACTCAGCCAGAGCCACACACCGTCCGGTAGCCTTTTCGATTTGGTGCCGCGTGGTGAGCTGCAAGATACTATCCGCGAAGTTCGACAAAGGAGCGTCGACATCGATCTCGGATGTCTTGATGCCGAGAGTGCGCGCCCACACCCCTGTCACTGCCTCGGTGACGTCAACCGGCTGGTCGATCATGCCAACGCCATGCTGGGCTTGGCGCTCTTCGAACAAGCGATAGAGAGCGCACAAATTAGATTTTCGTATCTTCCCTGCACCCGTTCGTGGAAAGTCATCAATGCCCAGATCCTGAAGCGAAACCACAGCCGTGGGGACATGGATCACCCCAAGTACCGAGCGTACCGTGCTCTGGATCAAGCTGACTTGCTTGGCACTAGGAGCCACGGCAACGACAGCCACCGGAACTTCCCCAGCAATTGGTTCTCCCCCGGCCACGATCTGCGTGTTCAACGAACGCAGCTCCAGGACCTCAGCCAAGACGCCTTCAATCCTAGCCGGAGAAAGATTCTCTCCGCCACGAATGATCAAATCCTTGTACCTCCCAATCAGATATACCAGCCCATCCGTCCCTACAAATGCCTGATCACCCGTGTTGAACCAGCGCAGACCGTCTGGCTCATCATGAAAATCGTCGTCGGATGCCCCGAGATAGTGCTGAATCAAAGAACTCCCAGCGTAGTGTAATTGACCTGGCAGTCCCACTGCAAGAGGAGATCGCTGACCAAGGTCACAAATACGAATCCGTGCCCCCATGCCAGGTCTCCCGACTGCCACATCTTGACCTTGCGAGATGCGACTTACATCCCCCACGGGACCGGTGGTAGCCACAACCCCTTCGCTCATCCCGTACAGGTTCTCGACTGTTATGTTCCCGAAAAGCTCCAAGCGGCGGCGGAGAGCATCGGGGCTGAGGACCATTCCTGCGAATAGGACCGCACGTAGACTGGAAAAACTGAAAGTAGAATGGACCTGCTCGAGGCCGTGCAGCATGGTGGGAACTAAACACAAGTGTGTGCATTCTTGATGCTGGATTGTGTCGATAGTCAATAAGGGATCGAAAGTGTTCCCAGCAAAAACGACGCATGCCCCTTGAACCAGAGGAAGAATAGTGCAAAGAAGCCCAAGGGCATGATAGCTTGGGGCAGTTGAGAGCAGCTTGTCGCCAGGTTTGAGGTTCCCAATACCGAGCGAGTTAAACAGGACGTGAATGTATGCCGTCATCCTCAAGGGACAGCCTTTAGGGCGGGATGCTGCTCCGCTGGTGAAGAGCACGGATCTCGCTTCTCCTTTCCCTGCCTTCTCTACCTTGCTTCGAAGAGTAGACATCTGATTGAAGGAGAGCCATGGTACTTGATCATCGAGAAATGAAACTTGGACTGTTGGGGCCGGCCATCTGAGCCGGTCGAGGTTCGGGCGGATGGAACGATCCTGAGCCACAATACCGATAGAGGCAGGGTCTAAATGGTTGACAACCGTGTCGATGATATACTGCACATCATCTTTGCTGGATAGTTCGTTTGGATTGATAGGAACATGAATCCAACCCGCTGCATGCGCTGCCAATGTGGCAATGATGTATTCTGCCCGATTGTGGCAGAGGACGAAGAGGATTGAGCCCGACCCCATGCCGTGGCTTTCAAACCAGGGCACAAAGCTTGACACGGCATGCAGCAGTTCCTTATACGTCCATTGGCGAAGACTCGATCCTTGCGGCGGAGGTTCGTGGTCTCTTTCTTTGCTGATCTCAATGAGAGCTGGTCGATCATGGTGCCGACGAGCTATTGATTCGAATTGCTCGTATACCGTCTGTGGGCAATCTAGTAATGGGTCACCTGTGATGTCGCTTAAACCCTCCATAATACCCGGACCAGACCGAAAGGAACGCTTGCAACTCCGCAAAACAGTCGGGCTTGACGGGGAGGTTTTCGCGTCTGTAAAACCGGCTTATCCGGCGATCAACCTGTCCGTTGCCGACCGAAGGGAAGAGACACAGGATGAAAGAAACGTGATAAGGTCGGCATGGTTCCGACATGTGACGCAGACTGGGTGAGTCAATAACATCATCGAGTAGATTAAAGATCAAGTAAAACAAGCAAGAAAGTGCTGAGTTCAGACAGGTAAAGCAGACAGAAAGGTAAAAGTTCATCCAAAGGAATCAGGCAAGCAAGTGGCCAGCTTCATGTTTGCAACCTTTGTACTTCGTGGCTAGCGAATCTACATGTCTGGTGCCTGTCGTCGGTTGGCCTGCGTTCTTGGTGGGTACGGTTAACCCTAGAGGCATCCAGGCGGCCAGCCACAACTCTTCGCCTTGGCCGTCTAATGCTCAATGATGCGTTGTGTCGGTATGTTAAGACTCGAGAGGATAGTGCTTTCCCTTAATTCATAGCCCCAGGCAAGCTTGATAAAGCTCACCAACCCCAGAGCGGCAGAGAGGAGGCCGTATGAACGATACCCGAAGAGAGCGTGGCGTATATTCGGCCAAAAGAAACATAGAAAATGCCGACCACGACCCCTGTGACCAGTGCCGCTCGAGCGCCATGATCTTTAAGCTCCTTTCATTCATGCAGGCGGTCAGTCAGGTTCTGACGTGGAGAGTATTCTCGATTTCTGCCAATGGTTTTCCGTTAACGTCCTGAGGCTTCGGCATAATGAGGAATACAGAGAAGTATTCTAGGCCGCTCGCGAAGAGAAGTTGATTGACACTCACGATGCATACGAGCCTGCCGCATGTCACGATTTGTCAGGGACGGATATTCTGCTCAGCATCCTCGTGACGACAGGCTGCAGAAATGACGCAGAGAATGATGGCCAGAACACAAGTTCCGGTAATGCACACCTGGATGGTCATGATCAAGGGGATGGACGACTTGAGCCATGAAGGGCTGCAAGTCAACTAGCATCCGTGCACAAGCCAGGATAATCGGCACGAACCAATGCATGACACTTCATGTGGAAGCCAGTTGTGTCACACCATCCATGCCCCGCCTAATCCTGACATCGTTGAGGAATCTATGATCCCCTCAGCCGCGGATCCCTCGCGCTTGTCAATGAGTAGGCAGGTAGATAGAGTTTCCGCCGCATGTTGTATCTAGATGGTGCAGAGGTTGCTGACATTCAATCTGACAGGATTCTGGAGGATATTGGTTTGTAAAGCTAGACGTATGATTCAGTCGTGAAGACACCACTCGGTGAGGTGGGCCTGGCTTTGACGACTGTCGTCTGCACTAACCAGGGTTCCCCTCTTTTGCACCTCCACACTTCATCAACTTCCCCGCTCGGCAAGGAAACTATCGCTGCAGAGCTCTCCTCAACGAGCATCAAGGCATCAAATAGAATGTATCATATGAAGCCCTTTGTGATAGCACATCCCTGTTGTGAAACGGCTTTCGGCACAAAGGTGCCCACCTACATCTTGTTGGTGGGCGGTTGACGGTCGCTTGCGATGGGAATACGGCATTGGGGTAAGGTACTCGGTCAGGGAGATAAACGGCTAATTCAGGAGTTTCGTAGCATAAGCGAGCGTTATGCAGGCATTGATAGGCATCTGTGTTCCGGTTGCGATTGTAGTGGTGGGGAGAGTGAACGTACGAGCGCCTTCAAGTTATAAATATCAGTCCGCGTGCAGTGTATCTGTGCAACATGTTGTAGTCTCTCATATTTGATCTGGAAGCTAGTGCCGCCTGAACGTGTGGACGCATTTGATATAAACTGCTTTTCTGACGACCGAGACCTTGGCTAGCAATGGCTGCTTACGGCCTGCAACATGTTGCTTATGAGCATCATCATCTTCTCCTTGCAATCGGAGTGGTGAGTAACGATTGTTGACGATGCATTTTGCGATGGATTACTGATGCTGTATGGTCCGATCTAGATCCTCCTGGCGGGGGTGATCAACGGCTGCTACGAACTCTTGTTCAGCCCTCTGAGAAGGTTTCCGGGCCCTAGATTGGCTGCGGTCACCTACTTGCTTTCCGCATATCACACTGCGAAGGGTGACCATGTGCTCTGGTTACAGAGCCTGCACCGTACCTACGGTGACGCTGTCCGGTTCTCTCCAGATGAGCTGAGCTTCACTTCGGCGCAGGCCTGGCGGGACATTTATGGTCATGCTAGTGGCGGTAGAAGAAGCACCGAAAAGGACCGCCGCTTTTACGGACCGACCCCTTATGGCGCGCCGGATATCATCCGTGCCAATGCGCACGACCACTCGCGCTTCAGGCGGAATTTTTCCCATGCATTTTCGGACAAAGCGCTCCGAAAGCAACAGCCCCTGATCGCACAGTACGCGGATATGCTTGTCGACCAGCTGCAGGAGAGTGCCCGGGAGAACCCGGAGGCCAATGTTGAGATGGTCCGCATGTATAATCTGACCACCTTCGATATCATGGGAGATCTGACCTTTGGAGATCCGTTGAACCTGCTCAAAGGCACTGGGTATATGGAGTGGGTGGGCGGAATTTTCGCCAGTGTGAAGGTGCTCTGCCTCCTGCGCGTGAGCCGTTACTACTCCTGGCTCACAGCGATTATGGCTCTTGTTGTTCCTCGCTCCCTGCGGGAAAAGGCCCGGGCGCACTACAAAGCCTGCAAAGCACGGGTTGATTGGCGAGTCAATCAAACCCTCGACAAGCCGGATATATGGGGACTCGTGATGGAGCAGAAGGAGTCCCTGCAGCTCAGCCGCGACGAGATGTACTCCAACTCTCAACTGTTCATGGTGGCTGGGACAGAGACGACCGCCACCGCGCTAAGCGGCCTTACGTATCAGTTGCTGAGGCACCCGGAGAAGTTGCGGAAGATCACGCAGGAGATTCGGGAGGCATTCAAAGACGAAGAGATCGAGATGACTCGGCTCGCGCACCTGAAGTATTTGAACGCATGCATCGAGGAGGGATTGCGGGTTTATCCACCCGTGCCTGTTGGCACCGCTCGCCGGGTGCCAGAGGGAGGGATGACGGTGTGTGGAGAATTTATCCCAGGAAACGCAAGTGACCCCTTTCGGCTCCTTGTCTATATGAGCACAAGCTTACCAAGCTGCAGATTTCACTCTCCGTGCACCACTGGGCGACATACCGTAGCTCGGAAAACTTCAGGCGACCGAACGAGTTCATTCCAGAACGATGGACTGATGATCCGGAATTCGCCAACGACAATAAGGCCGTCTTCCAACCATTCTCCTATGGGCCACGCAACTGTTTGGGCAAGAAGTACGTATTGTCGCTAGCTTAGAATACCCTGCAGTACCTGTAACACGATAGCTGACATCATGAATAGTTTGGCTTATCACGAGATGCGAATTATTTTGGCGAAGGTGCTGTACCATTTCGACTTGTCACTAGCGCCAGAGTCGATGGATTGGGATAAGCAGAAGGTGTTCTCGCTGTGGGAGAAAAAGCCACTGATGGTGAAGCTGCATCCACGGGTCTAGGCCTCGGGCCGGTCGCGTGTGCCGCCGAGAAGAATTCTGGGGACTCTCTGGCCAGTGCAAGATCAAGTTGATGATCGTCTTCGCATCGTGTAAACCCATGTCGGATAGAACGGAAATACCAGCGACTTTCTTTAATTCCTCGGGTGAGCCAGGAATTTAGGAGAACTTAGGAAAGCAGTAGCCGAAGTCTTGAAAGCTGCACTCGTACTCTCAACGCAACACATCAGTAAATCTTACGGCAGCAGGACGCACGCGGAATGGTACACACCCATGTATCACTGAGCAGGAGATCCATGGATCCGATCCGTCTCGACGTCTTTCAAACACTTGATTCGAGTCTCCATGTAGACGAACAGTTATTTGCGACTGAACGGCGGGCAGTAGTAAGTAGTAAGTTAACCTACGAGTAGCTCTCCTGCGGGCGGTGAGGCGGGCTCAGTTGGAAGTTCCGATTTAGAAACTCTGACGGCAAAATCTCGGGCCGAAGTGGACGTGCTTGAATAGGTACCGCCTTTTACGGACTAGGAAAGAAAGAGTTCGGGTTCGCAGCCTGAGGTATCAAGGCTCCTGGCTCCTTCTAGTATCCCCACACCGGAAGAAATTCCCTTATTCTTCATTAGGGTTGAGACAGTGCAGTCCAGTACTTTAGGGTAGGCACCTAGTGACAATCCACTGTGTGGAAACCACTTAGCTTAGCGTCTATTGTGTTATCCAAACTGCACTCGGACAACAAAAGTACCTCATTGCCTACACAGGTACAGTCCCTGCTAGACACTGGTGACGTCAGGGATCGTGGCCACCAATGATGAGGGCGGGCAAGATAGTTCCGAATGGTGGCGTTCTCTCCTGGGATACTTTCAGGCCCATCTGGCCGTCATTGTCCGTTTTCCCGTGCGACGAATGCCGCTGGTTCGCCTATCGTGCCCACACGGTGGCCAGACGCGCTCCTTGAACATTATTCCCCCTTTCCAGTTAGAACTTAAGATATATTCCGCGCATTTCCCTCCCAATGCGGCCCCTGTGTGTCCACCATAACAAAAGATCTTCGCTGTTGATTTCCTGAGAACCGATCGCAATTGGCGGGTCTTCGAGGAGGGACTGTACTGAACACTTGGGTCTCTGACGATCAGTCGGAAATGGCGACCGGGTCATTGTGTAGCTGCATGGTTGGGTGGTTTTCGCCACTGCCTTCCTTCTTCTTCTCTTCTCTTCACCTCCCGGTTCCCGTCTCCGTGGAATTCCTTTCATTTTTCCTTTCGTTTGAGCGAGAGATGTCAACAACCGTATGCGAAACGATTGTGTGTTGGGCCTGCACCATGGTTCCTGCGCCACACTGAGGTGTAACACACTCTACCAGGACCTTCCAATTCGACGCAAATCCTACCTCTTTGAAAGATAATGCGATGCCGAGTTGGTTCCTGTCTACTCATATGTGCAGTCGAAACCTCATCAACTTATCGCATAGTCCAGAGAACCTGACCCAGACCAGTGACCGGCTAGCCGAACTTCCAATTCTTCTCGAGGCCTCGGCTCGTCTTCGTTTTGCGTTCATGCACTGTACAATGCCGTATCTTCTTGCAGTCCCGGCGTATATCCGTAGTCGCTGGAGGGGTTTCCTTGTTCTGCGTCGTTCGCTGATCAGCACGCCAATGCACAGGAGCAGTATGCGAGAATAAATTCTCATGAGCGATCCCTACCGTCTATCCTTTTTACCGATCATGCTCTAACCGCAGAAGCAGTCAAACCTGGAGTGTGGATGTGTCATCCTTGCTCGCAATTTTCGCTCCTCCGCACTGGGTAGTTTGGGGTGCGGTTTCAGTGCCCCGAGATGGGGCTTTACCATGACCCCTTTGCAGATGACCATTAGGTCTCTTGACAACACCACTGTTCACCGCCAAGAAACATGTGTTACTCATTGCGGACAGCATCGCCGTCTCGCAGCTCTCTCGTGGCTCTTCTCTCCTAATATAACCGGAGAGAATGGTCCGGGCGGATAGGCATCGGTTCGGGTGGTCTGAAATCATCAGGAACATAGTTTTACATGGCAGCAATAAAGCTTTGCTCCTTGAGGGATTCCAATGATTTACGGATCGTGCCATTCTCGTGGTTGCGAAGCGCTTCGCGATGTACGACGACCGGAGGTGAGGGCGAATGTCTGTTGGGCGACGGGGTTCGAAGACGGGAAACTCTTCCATTACGCGAGAACATTTGACGGCTTTGGCGTTTTTTTACCGGTGGGGATGTATAGTCGATGCGTTCAATGCATTCTTGCATGGTTTGCAGTGGCTTTGAGACTTCTCGGAAGGCTTCACAAGAACCACGGTCGGAAGTATCATGTGTTGCTGGGAGACACATAATGTGGTTGACAAGTTGAATGACAAAGTGTTATCCACGGTTGACCAGGCCGCCGACGTGGGTGAGAAGCGGGTGGTGGACGGTCGGTGTTGCTCGCTTCCTCCCCGGTCCCGGCCTATGCCTCAGGCTCTAGTCGCCGGATGACGGGAGTTGCCTTCAAGCTGTTCACTTCAGCACACACGGACTGGGAAGGATAAATGAAGATCCATCCCGTAAGGCAACCCTTGCGTCAATCACTCACACCAAATGATGTCAAAGGGAAAGAGAAGAAAAGACATCAAGGGGGAGGTTGACCGGTGTGGCCCATTAACCCTGTCGACTGTTGATACCTCGTGCAGCTGAGAGTTTCGGTGGTGGAAAGAGACTCCTCTCCGCGGCCAGATTGGTGACATGGATTGGATTGGCGGGCCCGCAACGGGGCATGCAAACCGCACAACAATAATAAGATCCCCTCCCCGGTATAGCAAACAGGTAGGGTCAAGGGTAGAAGAGGTCACAGAGGGATAGAACGAAGCAGGTGGGACACGCACGCACAGGGAGACAGAGAGACAGAGAGAGAGAGAGAGAGAGAGAGAGATAGAAAGAAAGAGAGCGTGCAAACGTCCGAGTGCTGGGAGTTGGTCTGGCCAACTGAGTTTTCGCTTCACATGATTCAATCATACTTACTACTTCCAGCAGGTCGTTGTCTATCAGTCATTCTCGGCCCAAACTTGCAGCCATTCATGTCGCTTGCACTTGACAAGCAAGCACTTCGTCCAATTTTTGCGACGGAGCTTTTGCTTACTTGCCAATTGGCATTCGGGTATCCTGGGTGTTTGCAGACGTTGCATCATATTCGGGAGTTTGCTGCCGAGCGGAGTGTCAACCAGGACCATCTTACTCAGTCACCTTACTCCGTACGCATTCATGGTCTCTCCAGTGGCGGATTTGGGCCTCCAAGACCTGGGGCAGGGTTCCAAGTTGATCTAATTCCCACCTGATTCTTGTTACTCATACGCATCTCGAACCAACACACCACCTGACTGCCGGTACTCTTTTCCATGATCGGGATGGTTTACCTGTCCTCACCTGTCTCTTATCTCTCTCATTCTTGGTCTGACCCTTGGCGGTCTGGCACTATTCGTCCCTAGCGCTCTATGGATACAAATCCTGGCTGCTTGTCCGGCTTCTACCACTTTCTACCGCTGTGCTGACAATTAGGGGATTCTTGCCGTCTTGGGCTGGGATCTACGGGCCGCCAACCGGCAAAGTTATCCAACCAGCCAAAACCCCAACATCAGACTGGCATTGTTCTTTCTGTCATGAGTGTCTCAATTCGATGAATCCTTTGAGATTCGTCCACATGAGAGGGTCGAGACTGATGATGATGATGATTTGTTCTGTTCATCTGCCACCTGGAAAGGCCAACATGGGGGGACAGTTGCCTCGCCCGATACACAAATATGGTCACTTGGGTCTGGACCATTGCACCCGGCAAGCATCTCACCTGGCCTGGCGTCAGGCGGTGCGATACATCACCTCATCATGCAGACTCATCTCCATGCATGCTTGACTTCACAACCTAATGATCATCGATGGAAACCGAGCAGGAAGAGTAAAATCCTTACGTGTCCTCTCTCGGTAGCGGATACAGAAGCCCGCTAGAGAGGTCTTAGGTCTTCTAGATCGTCAGTAGTTTCGCAAACCCCGTGCGCAGAGTCCAAGGTGATTCGGAGAGGCCTCCATTTCAGGCCTCCGACATTTGGTGGAACAGCTCGGTCGCCTCTGCGGTCGATAGACACGAGCCTGTTTCCGGTCCTAGTCCCATGTCTGCTATGTAAGACACCCAGCTGTTGGGTGTCGTGGAAATCGTATTGCTCGCCTCCTTTGGGTCTGCAGACTGAGGTGAAATTAAAAATGATTGACCGTATGAGATCTTGAGTGTGACCCACAAATTGTTTGGGAAAAAGTGCCGCACGGGTTGACATGAATCTGGGCCGGCTTTCGGTAGCCGGTCTATGATGTTGGCATGCAGGCGTGGGAGGAGTGGGTGGGTGGGTATAGGTTGGGAGAACTATTCGAATGTTCGAATACCAAAAGGGAGGAGAAGAGGCCCATTGTTCAGCAATGACAAAAATATTACGCCATAAGCATAAGCTGGAAAAGTGTTCCGACCGGTCAATGGGATGAGAGATAGGAGATGTGCTTTGGTGTTTTTTTTTTTTTTTTCTTTTTTTTTCTTGTTTTTCCTTGCCCTTTTTACCCTTTTTGCCCTTTTTTCCCACGGGACAAGCAGGATTGACTGGCAACGGGAATCAGGTGAGCTTCAAAATTGACTGTCAACTGGCAGGTAAGCAACCATGTTTACAGTACCTAGTAGCCGTGTTTGTCTCCCAACCAAACTCGGAGGGCGATCGACCACAGAGTGCCGACTCGGTCCACTTCCACACCACGCTATGACGTTATCATCCGTTCGTCCCTGCTCCCATCCAACCTCAACTCTTTCCAACATTCTCTCCCGAGTCCCCTTCACAACCACCGTAGCCACTCACGCGCTCCTTTCTCTCTCCCCCCCCCCCATACCAAACGCCACACCACGTTTTGACCCGAATCTAGGGGATGAGAAGAAAAGCATGGGTGCACGGCTCCATGGGTTCATGATTGGGGATTGGGGTTCCTAGCATCCTGACTGGATGGAAAAAGGTACCTTTCTGTGGCTCGTCCCGGATCACCAAGCTAACCTGAATCAGGTAGTGAGAAAGGTACCCAAGTTCCCCAAATTCCCAAAATCCTCCCTTCCGAATCCCAAGAAATTATTGTTTCCAAATCACAAAAGGCTTGAATGATGGCTGCTGGGACCCGCCCCTCCCCAACATGGTCCTCCGTGCACGCTTGGCCCCTCGCAATTCCTCTTTCCCAAACCAATCGTACATCAAAACATTGTGACTTTGTGAGAGACAAAGAGAATATCCCGGCCCCGAAAAGCCCAGTGGCGGCCGAGGACACTGAAGGGACCCCCCCTCTCTTCCCCCACCCCTTCCTCCTCCTCTGGGCTCTCCGGCTCTCTGTTCCTTTCTTTGTGTCTTTTCTAGCCCCAAAACGAGGCTAATGCGAAGTCCAGGTCTGTTCTGGACCAGGCCTTGATTGGGTGGGAGTTTCTGCCAACCATCAGTAACCCGCCGTCAGCCCGGCACGATCCCCCCTTCCCCCACCCTCTCTCTTAGCCTGTCTGTCCTGTCTCCTCCCTCCCCTTCCTTCCATCTCGTCGCTCCCCCGACCCGGACAGACCAGTCCTAGCTGGTTAGGCCCGCAGAGATTCAGTTTGGAGCCCAAGATTCCAGAATGATCAGACGTCTTTCTTCTAATTGGTGAGGATTTTTAAGGTTCTTGTTCCGGTTGTGCCCTTGCTCTAATACAGGGGGCAAGCAACAAAATGGTGGGCGGGACACAGAATAATATTATTATTGCAATAATTCCACATCGACAGTGACGAAACGTCGGTTACAGGCTATCCCTCGGCCTCATTCCTTATCCGACCTATATAACAGTATCGTCAACACGATTGCTGCAAGGTCCGTTTCCCCCTCCCCTCCCGCCCCGTCTCATTTTGCCACCCGGTGCGCTTTTCGTCCCAGGACAACCTCCTCCTGCTTGTTGTCTTGACCTGGTTATCATTCACCTGGTTCAGTCTGTATTAATGTCCGATCCGCAGTCCGCCTCCCGCTCACTCGCTCCTGCTCCCGGCCTCCCGCAAAACTCGAAGAGTCCCGACAATGTAGTTCAGGGTCGGAAACATAAAACCACCGCCTGCACGGCGTGTAAGCAGAAGAAGCTCAAAGTAAGTGAACCAAAGGAAGACATGACTCTGATAGAGTACGAATTTGATTATTTTTCAGTGCAGGGGAGATCCACCATGTCAACACTGCGTGGCCAACGGCATCGAGTGCCATGTCGACGAGATGGCTGATATGCGTCGCAAATTCGCCATGAAACGGAAGCTGGAGCGACTCGAACAAGCCGAAGAGACTCTGACGCGGCTGCTCGAAACGCTCCGAGATAGCGAAAGTAAAGATCTAGCCCAGGTGCTGAATCTCATCCGAAGCAACGCCTCATTCGACGAACTCCAAATGTATCTCGACAAGCAGTTGTCCGGGGATGGTTCTGAAATATCACCGGGCCTGCAGCAAGTTCGAAACCAACTTACTCGCCCATCCGAAGAAGCCGATGAAGTTGGTCGGTCTGCGCGGAGTGGCAGCCGCCGGATTCTGGATGTGCGCCGCCTCGCAGACACCCCGGTCTATCGAGTACCCGCAAAGCCGTGGACGAGGGTCACCGACGACGACGAATTGGTATCTCATTTGGTTTCGCTCTGGTTAACGTGGACCTATCCGTTCTTTGACTGGTTGGACAAAGATGCCTTCATCCGAGATATGCAGGCAGGCCGACTCAACTGCCAATCCTGTACACCATTCCTGGTAAATGCCATTCTCGCGGAGGCTAGTGTATGTTGCCTATCTTAACTTGTGCTTATAGCGTCGCTTGGTTGAGGTGACGGCTCATTCATGATTCTTATGCGTGGCACAGTATCTTTCCGACTACGCCGAAGTATTTACCGTCCCAAACGACATGTTTTCTCGGGGTGATCACTTCTACGAAGAGGCGCGTCGGTTGTTAGAGGAAGAGGAAGGGCCAGCCAGTCTACCGACCATTCACGGCCTCCTCGTGCTATTTATCCGGTGAGTGTATTGCCTACCACCTTTAGTCATTCCACCTAACGCCGCGTCGTGTCAGCCTCACTCTTATGGGAAAGGATAGATTGGGTTGGATGTATCTCGATCTAGCCATCCGAGCGGCCCAAGAATATGAAACTGCGCATCCACCTAGGTCGACGAACTCGGAATCTGATCGCATTCTTGAAGATGCGGCCAATCGCACTCTCTGGGGCGTCTTCAGCATGGCTTCGTATGTACTTCGCACCTGCTGGTCATGCTCTTGACTGACCAAGCCAGCACGGCCAATGTTTCCCTGATGAAGCACCTTAATATTGATCCCCCGCGGCGCCCACGCATATCAATGCAACACGGCGATTCTGAGGACATTTGGTATCCGTATCCTCGCGAAGTGGAATCCGTACCAGGGCACCATACCTGTGTTTTCGACCGCTGGTGTGATCTTTCTTGCATCCTTATCACCATCAGTCGCGCCTTTCATGATTTCGAGCGTCGAATTCCCCGGTCGGAAATTGCGACATTTGTGCCAGCCATATTTACACAGCTCCAGGGTTGGTATACCAATTTGCCGGAATGCTTACAGGCGGAGACAGCAACTGTCCCCCACGTTTTAAGTCTGCATCTGCTCTACCATACGACTGTGATGCAGATTTTCGGGTTCATGCGCGCCAGCAATGACCTGGTTCTGGATCCGGCTACAGCCAGTCATGCCCGAGAACTCTGCCTCGCCTCCGCCCGCCGAATCACCCATCTGTTGGGGATTCATCGCGCCAAATGGGGCATTGATCGCATGTCACCCTCGACGATCCAGTGGTGGAGCATTGGGCTCTTTACCCTCATGGAATCTCTCGACTCCCAGGAGAATAGGAACGCTTTTGTCGAATTGTGTATAATCGCCCGCGCATTTGCTCGTCGGATGCCTCTTGCAAAGGGGATTCTCCGCATGATTCAATTATCCGCCAATCAACTGCAGGTTGTTTTACCGGAGGAAACGGAGGCGCTCTTTGAGGACTTCGGGACTTTAACTTGGAAGGCAAGCGATCTTCAGGGATTCAGCAGTTTCTACCCACACTTCCATACGGTGGTTCAGCAAGGGTCTCTGCGGCAATCCGAGGTGGATTTGGATCAGTTTTTGGCTAAATGGGATGCACTGAGTATATCCAAGCTCAATTCCCACGATTATGACAATGGTCACGACGCTGACCCTTCTGGTGGGCCATAAGTCTCTTTCAGTATCATTATACCATAATTGGACAAAAGTCGTATTGGGGCCTAAACACAAATCATTTTGGGTCGTTCTTGGCTGGATTTTCCCCGTTCTGTCGGTGTAAAATTGGAGAAGTGTTTTTGGTGGCGAAAAGTCGCCCGGCGGATACGTTGTTCGACATTTGGGGATCCTCGGTCGATTTCTGCATCAGCCTCTCGGAAACGACTTCCTGTGGATTTCACAGGAAGCAGGCCACGTAGAATAATAGGCAGACTAAGCTGGCGCCGAGTGTCGTGCTGCCCATAGCGTGGGACTAGGCGGACTGGCAGCAGTACAGTACAGTACCCAATGCTAGCCTCGGGGCTAACCCACCCCACCGGTAGAGTGATCACGGATCACGGATCATGGATCATGGCTCTAGACCGTCGAGTGGCATGCGGCTAGCCCTATCTCCCTGCATCAAGCCACCCTAAGATCTGCCGAGACGTTCCCCCCGGTGTCAAGCGGAGGGGAGGTGGCGACATTTGGCGAGCCACGCGCCCACATACACCGTACTAGCACTAAGCCACTCTACATTACTCGTACTTGAGGACGGTTTAGCACACCTGCATATCCACCGTCCCAGACCAGATTGACTCCGACCTGCTTAGTCGCCGCAAACCGATAATCGGTCGTGAGATTTATTTACTCAAGTACTCCTCGGTCGATCGCGGTGGCAAGGCCAGTTGTTGTGGTCGGTACGGAGTACTGAGCAAATTGGAACTGGAGCCGATCAGCAGCAATCAACCCAGCACGGGCCATGCATCTCCCCTCCTTGCATCTAGTCTACACACATGACACTGACAGCCTGACAGGCGCAAATCGCCCGATAACGCCCCAGATGAGGAGCAGATCTTCGTTCGAACGTTCTAATCCTTATTGAGTACGAGTAAGAGGGCGGGGAAACTCTCTCTCTACTCCTAATTTTCTCTCTTTTCGTATCTATCCGTCTCGGCGTCGTGTCAGACAAGGCGGTGATCTCTCCGCGGGTATTCGCACTATCAATGCACCCAAGACCTACTCCGTACTCAGTAAGGACTCATCATGTGTGGCGAATTTGACACCCATCATTTCCCACCCGTCTCGAATCGCTCAACAATTGGCCTATGATATGAAACCGCGGTCGTGATCCGCTGTCGGTGTAGGGCAGAGATTGATCATAGTGCTTAGCTCCTGAGCTTCGTCTGCGACCGTGCCGAGCTCTACAGAGTAATGTACATACGCATTTGACCGGACCACCACACCACGGTTGTTCTTCGCCCGTCGCATGACTTTTCTTATCGGAGCTTCGGTGACCGCCACTGTAAGAATCATTCCACATTTCCGTCGTTAGGCGCACAATCCCTGGCCTGGGCATTTCCGCCATTCTTGCTGCTGTTGATACAACAAACATGCATGTGCTTGTTTCCCGGCCGTGCCCCCGATTGGCCTACCGCCCCGAAGAGCGTGGTATTGGGGAATCAGACTCTCATAGGTTGGAATTGAGTCTGACGCCCTCACAGTCGCACCGTTCCCATTGTATCCTAGCCAGAGATGTATCACGGCGTGTTTAGTTTTAGGTCAGTCAGGCTCGCAGGGTAATTCCAATCCTTGCCGTGTCGGTCTTCATGCGTCTGCAGACCTCATCCCCTTGGTCGGCCGGAATGACTATCTTTTCCCCTAAGCCGTGTGCCTAATACTGGCATCGTGCTTTCGTGTTTTGTTTCTTGATCAATCGGGCTACATCTTCCCTTAGATCGCTTTCCATGATTGAGCTATTCGCGGTGTTACAATGATAAACTCGCGTCGCCCCGACCAGTTCCGCATTCTTGGTCTCATTTTCGGAATTGCATTCGTGGGTATAGCTACTGGCACAATCAGGTAACGCATTCCCTTGAGACTGTGATTTCATGCCCTCATGGTTGCCGGTGCAGCTGTCGGCATTATCGTCAGCTATTTCCACGGCTTCTCCAGCTATATCCAGCGGTGTTTCGCTCTGGTCGTAGGTTTGTGTCTCGGCAATCTATCCCGGCCGCTCAAGACTTTATCGTCGTGACAGGTGCTTTCATCGCTGTCATCCTGATATAGTTTCCGGGGTACATTCTCACTAGACGGAGTGTGTTCTTGGTCCGGCCTATGCCGGGGTGGTGTTCACTTGCTTCAAAACGGATACCATTCCCTTTGTGAATGCGAGTTTGGCTGAGACTTTGAGGCTGGATCTTTTCGCAGACCTCCCCCGAGCATTAGAGGCTCCACGGTGCTTGTGTTCTCCATGGGGCAAGACGAAAACTTATATAGTATGATCCGGAGCACATCCTTGCCCGGGCAGGCTACCACGTAAGTCTCGTTGCGCCTTCGCCTCCACCTTCTTGATCGGTTCTCCCTTCTATTATTCAGACATCTCGCTCCATCGCTTCCTGGCGTAGAAGTTGCCAAATTTCGTGTAGCCGAAGTTGGGAAGAACATGGAAACTGTATTTGTGGACCGGTCTGCGTGCCTGGCACAGATCTCCGCTGTTACAGTAAGCTTATTCAATTCACCGGAATACGAATAGCATAAGTCAATGCAAACCTTGTCATGCCATATGCTATTATGCTCGAATTCACGCTGAGGGAATGGGGGATTTACAGTACCGGCGAAGTTCTCCGAGCGGGCATCTCCAAGCTGCATGACGGTACTATATAACAATATACCTCCATAAATCGGCGATGCTAGATCTCACATATCTCACACACCTGAGGACCGTTCCTCCGGTGAAGAATCTCATTTATCCCCAGTGACATTTGACGCAATGAGTCACCGAGATATCATTTTATGCAAAACCTACACCCAAACTCAGTTACCAACGAAAATGCTCAAGAAAAACCAGCTTCGGAGCGATGAAGTCCGCGGGTAAGCAAACAGCAAAGACCAAATCAAACGCTTCCCGACCGCGCGGGATTTAACTTGTTTGGTTCTCCGCAATCGGCGGCAGAATTTTTTTTTTTAATTCACGAGCGATGATCTTATCTATACATCACTCCAACAATAAATCCCCGGCACTTTCAGAACTGTTGATTCCTTTTGTTCGTAAGAAAGAAAAAAAGGATGATTCAGGTCCCCGGAGCTGGGGGCGATGAAGCCCATGACCGACACAAAGATGAGGCTTTGGAGGTAGTCAATAGCGAAGAGGGGTTGGAGATTGACCCCGCGGTGGAGCGACGGGTCTTGCGCAAGATTGATCTGTTCTTCATGCCGGCAATGTTGGTTGGTGCGTGAGATCTACATCTTCCGTGGAAATCTTGAGAAGGTTGGATGGTATACTGACAGGCTGAAAAGGCTATGGCTTTGTTTACTGGGATAAGGTCCGGTTTAACTACTTCTTTATGGCAATGTGATTCTGACTAAGAACCACAGGCTATCCTCGGTAGTGCCTCGTTATTTGGCATGACCAGCGACCTGGCTCTCTCGGTGGTCGACTACAGCACCACCCCCCCGACCAAAAACACCTCGCGACTGAGCTGGGCCACCTCCATCTTCTACTTCGGCATGATGGCCGGTCTGTACCCGATGACGCTGGTGCTGCAGCGGTTCAAGATCCAGCATGTCTTGGGTCCGATTGTCATGCTGTGGGCCATCACCTGTGCGGCCACTGCCGGCGTCACTTCGTGGCGGGGTCTATTCGTCCAGCGCTTCTTTCTTGGTACCTTTCTCGTTTCATCCAGTTCAACTGATCCGTGCTCCTGACACCGTAGCGTAGGGTTCGTCGAAAGTGTGATCCCCACCGGCTTCATGACTGTGATCAGTGGATACTACACGCAAAAGGAGCAAACCTTGCGCCAGGCGATCTGGTTCTCCGGGACGGGGTGGTTCACCATCATCGGCGGCGCGCTCAACTACGCCTTCGGCCAGATCACCACGGGCGCGCTCCGGCCGTGGCAATACATCTACATTTTCGCGGGGGTCCTCACCTTTCTCTTCGGGATCTGGTGCTGCATTCTCCCCAACTCCCCGGTGTCCGCCTGGTTTCTGACGCCCGCGGAGCGGGTGGTCGCCGTGGAACGCCTGCGACGCGGCCAGACGGGCGTGCGATGCCAGACGATCAAGATGTCGCAGATTGTGGAAGCATTCACCGACGTGAAGGTGTATCTGATTGCTATCATGATGGCTGCTGCGTGAGCTTTTCCCCTGTCTGCTCCTCACCTGCTTCGCTGCTAAATGACCTCACAGCTACACCATCAACGGCGCCATCTCGGGCTTCGGCCCCCTGATCGTCTCTACCTTCGGCTACAACACCCTGGCCTCGATCCTGTTCCAGTTCCCCGTGGGCGCCATCTGCATCATCTTCATCCCGCTGGTCGGCTACATCCCCACCGTCCTCCCGAACACCCGCATCCTGTTGCTGGTGACCTGCTGCCTCCCTGTCATCGCCGGGTGCGTCATGATCTGGAAATCCAGCTGGGGGTACCGGCCCGCCACGCCGGTGGTCGGCTACGCGCTGACGGGCTTCTTCGGCCCGGTCGTCAGCCTGATCATCACGCTGGGCGCGAGCAACGTCGCCGGCGCCACCAAGAAGACCATCATGGCCGCCACGGTGTTCGTCGCCTACGCCGTCGGCAATATCATCGGCCCGCAGCTGATCAAATCCGAGACCGTGGGGCAGCACTACCCCGAGCTGTGGACGGGGATGGTCATCTGCTACTGCATTGTGATCGCGGCTGCCGGGGCGTTGTGGGTGGTGCTCTGGCGGGAGAATCGCCGCAGGGACGCGGCCGGGCTGGATGAAGGGTTGCGGGATAAGTTGGGGTTCCAGGATCTGACGGATCGGGAGAATGGGTGGTTTCGGTATGTGCTTTAGTTGGACAGTAATGTTGTGGGATTGATGATGGCTGGTTCTGGCTGGCTCGAGCGATTCTTGTATGTGGAAGCTGTAGGCTTGATCGAAATGATGGCCTCGTTAGGGTAGTCCTCGGGAGCAATGATTGTGTTGTTCGAGGGCTACCCTGTGCCAAGGTTTGCCTGTACAACATGTGGCATTGTCCTGCACTTTGGGATACTGGTAAGAACACGTTTGACATCCATTGCCCAGAAGTCAGTGACTGGCGTCCGAGCTACCAATCCTGCTGGGAGGCTCAATCCAGAATCATTGGACAGACACTAAGACGTAGCCTGTTCAATGGACTTTCGACCTTTTCTTGAATGAGGAGTCTATGCACCATGCACAATAAGCTGTACAAATAGACGAACTGCAACCACGGAAGCATGCTCTACATACCCTGATTGACCCGCCTCTTTAGTGTGTAATATATCCAGGGATCCATCTCTCTTCCGTCAACGAGTGAGCATCCAGCCACCCCGCCATTACCCCCCCCCTACACCCCCCTCACCCCGCTCCACCCCGCCGGCTTCGGCTGCCCAGCTCCCGATGAGTAAGCGGCTATTGCCCATTACCCCTGCCCTAAATCAAGTTCATCAGATGAAGATCATCCACTGGAACAACCATAGGGGCTTGAATGATACAAGAAATTGACTGGAAAATGAGAGTAGTCAGTCCGCTATACCAGTATCAGGTTTTTCGTTTAAAGAAAGCCAAAAGACTCACCCCTTGTGTTCATCGCACTGATATCTCAGTAAACACCCACCCTGATCACTCTGTCCTCCCAGCATGGCCACCACGCACTTAGGAACAGGTTTATACGTCGACGACACCCTCAACCTCACAGTCCGACGAGACCTCCCCATCCCCAAGCCAGCGGCCGACGAGATCCTCGTAGAAATGCTATACTCCGGCGCGACCCCCGCCGACACCAAACACGCAACGCAGCTGGACATCCGCCCCGCCGTGCTGGGCTACGACTTCTTGGGGAAGGTGCTCAAGATCGCACGGCAATGCCATCGCTTCCACCCGGGCGAGACCGTCGCAGGCTACACGCCCACGGGACTGACCCGTACGACTAAATACGGCACCCACCAGTCGTACCTGGCGTGTCCGGAGAAAATGGCGTTCCGCGTGCCCGCCGCCCTCCCGTTCCCGGACGCCGCGGCTCTCACCGTGGACGTCATGACGGCGGCGGATGCACTGTTCAACTTGTTTGGGATTCCCCTTCCGCAGGAAGAAAGCCGGTAAGGCGGTGCGCAGGCCAGCGGCAAGGGACTCCTCATCTGGGGGCGCCTCCAGCAGCGTGGGTCTCTGCGCCGTCCAGCTCGCGCGAGCCAGCGGCGTCTCCCCCATCCTCATGACGGCATCTCCGCAGCGCCATGCCCTGCCCACGGAGCTGGGCGCCACCCGTTGCTTTGATTACAGGTCCCCCCATGGTGGTGGACGAGATCACACGAGGAATCGAGGAAAGTGACACGATAGTGGCTTACGGAACCGACGCCGTGGGAAGTGTCCCGCAAACTGAAGACTTCTCGGCGACGCTGCTGGTTCGCTGTCTCGCCCCCGAGGCCGACCTCGTCTCGCTGGTCGTCCAGGACGCTCCCCGTTTTTGTGTGCCGATTGCGACCCCTAACCGCGACGTGACTGTTAGAGTTGTAAAGGTGCGGCCCATCAACATCTCTGCGAGGCCGGCGGACTTTGAGCGCGCGTGGCGGGTGTTGGAGTGGGCGATAAGGGGCTACGGTGTGCGCTTCCGGCTGCCTCGCGATGAGGTCTTCGGGGAGTCGACGGAGGATGCGCTGGAGGAGTTGATGGGGTTGGCGGAGGGTGGGAGGCGGCTTGGGAAGGTGGTGCTTCGCCATCCGTTGGCTTGAGGGAGGTTTAGTTTAAATCGTAGGAGGGGGAGGAATAGTAGTGATGGTGAGGGGGTAGGTTGATGTTATATGAGTGCATTCTTCAGATTTGATTAAGGCTATTGTTCCAAACTACATCTAAACCCATACTGGCTTTTCCCCCGTTGAACCAAGGGGAAAAAGGCATTGATACTAAATCTGTTCACACAAAAGTTGAAGTGAGTCTGGAAAGGCAAGAGATACCATGACAGCTATTTATCACCTACCCAACAATCCAACAACCAAGCATAATCAATACACCACCACAGAAGGCGGCCCAAACGACCCACGGTCATCCCGGGGCCCTTTCAGCGCGGCCAGCTCCGTCTCCGCGAGCAGAAAGACCATCAACTCCAACTCCGACTCCTCATCCACAAAGTGACAGTGGTATCTTTTCAGCGGGAACGTACAGTCCAGACACTCGTGCCCGCCCAGATCGACCGCCAGCACGTCGCGGGCCTCGTGCCACTTGGCGTCCGAGACGACCACGACGCACCACTCTATCCCCGGCGGGGTCTGGCCGTCGAAGACGAGCTCGCGTTGCGACACGTACTCGTAGTCGAAGGGGACGTCCTCCTCGAAGTGTTGGATGATGGAGGTGGCTGCCATGGTGTTGAGGTGCTTTTGTATAATATATGACTAGTTGCTACTTGCGAGTTGGGATAGCTGTTAGTCTCAGGTATGGGTGTCTTGGGGAATAGGGGGGGATCTGGTCCGTTTTATATGTTGCGGATTTGGCTACAGTGATACTGATGCCTACAGCTTGTTGTGGTTTCTTTGTGCTACTGCTTTCGGCATCAAAGCTGATTGCTAGCATTGTTCGGCAGGCTTTGTGGGAGGAATGATCCCCAGAGAATCACCTTGTTGGTCAGACAACGGGTGGTCGGTTGGCACTTGAATGCACTTTATTGACGGATGGGCGGTCTTTGTCTATTCACGTCTAAGGAAACTGTTCTTTCGGCGTCTTTACGCCCCTTTACCCCCGTGCCCAAAGGTCGGACAGAATGCTTGTGTCTTGAAAGCCAAGGGCTTTCCTGACCAACTGACCTTCCATCAATAAACAACCAGAAGCATAACCCAACCCATACTTGTGAGTATTTCTGATTGTGCTGTACGTAGTGGTTCTACTGAAGAGGGGAGCGGCTATCACGTGACTGGAGATCCCCCGCAATCGGACCGACCGAAGATACATTGTAAATCCATCCTTCTCTCGCCATCGCCCTTTTGCCATCATCAATTAGATCCCCTTAACCGTCCTAAAATGAGTGCTACACGGAGCAGAACATGCTTGAGCTGTAATAGGACCTTCTCGAAATCCGAGCACCTCACGCGACACTTGCGAAGTCACACTAATGACAGGCCCTACGAATGTCTGATCTGTGGCAGGTTGTATTCCAGGAGGTAGGCACCTGCTTTTCTACACCCCACAAGGTTGGGTCTGCCAGAGTCTAATGTACTTGCCACAGCGACGTGTTACGTCGACATGAGAAGATTCATCAAACAGCCTCGCCTCAGTTTCAAGGGCGTCCAGTAGCCGAATTAGCAATGTCGACGCCATTGTCTCAGCAGACATCCTACCCCTCAGATGCACCAACAGGCACCTACCTGGAACCAGAGCATCAGCTGCATATCGTCAACTCCATTCAACAGAGCGAATCCAGCACCTCTTGGCTCCCAGGAGCGCTTCTCGATGTCGATGCGTTGGATTTCACCTTGACCTCGGCAATTTCGGAATGGGCGCAACTGCCTCCCATCCCGTCCATCCCGAGCTTGACTGACAACGGCCCGTTCCTTACCCCAACTTCGGTGCAGACCGCGGAATTGCCAGCTGACATTATGAAGCGAAAATGGTTTACGCGTCTCACTGTACCAGAAGGCACACCGGCCCCCCAGAAAAGTTCCGGCACTCGGAGCAGGGAGGTTGGTCACGGAAACCTCGCGGCCGATGAAAACTATCGAGCAGGCCTCTCGCAGAGGCTCCAACCTCGGATGCACGATGAGGCCCTTCCTTCGGCTGAGCAGCTCAATCTCTTCGCCAACCAGTTCTTTACCCGCTTTCACCGACTTCTCCCGATCGTTCATGTGCCCTCATTCAAGCCCACCACCGAGAACTCGTTACTGTTTATATCAATCTGTTCGGTTGGTAGCCTGTTTATAGGGTCATCACACGCGGTCGCACAAGGGACTCGTCTATTTGAGAGGCTGAATAAAGCGATTCTGGCGTCCTGGGAGTCAGTTCTGGCTCGCAGCTGCTCCGACGCGTTGTCCATGGTCCAAGCAGCCATTATCGGCCAGACGTTTGCCATTCTCTCCGGCCGTCCCAAGGACCTTATTCTGGCGGGTGTTCTGCATGGTACAGTCATGGCCTGGGCGCGGGAGTCCGATAGAAATGCACTGCCGCTACCCGCCACCCCTCGAGACCTCGATCTCGATGACGCTCGCTTGGACGAGCAGTGGAGTCAATGGATTGATCGCGAGCAGCGATTGAGGGTCAAGATCGCCTTGAACATCCATGACGCAGAGCTTGCAAGCCTACTACACCATGAGCCCATCTGCAAGCATCGGCTCACGCATTACCCTCATTTGGCTTCGGATGCATTGTTCACCGCGCCGACAGCGGTGAGGTGGGCCAGAGCTTACAAACTTACGGCGACCCCAACAAGCCCTCAAATGTCGACCACGTACCTCGACAACATTCTCCCAGGCGATTCTAGGTTTGCAGCCTACGGACTACTTGAGAGCATCAGTGCCCACGTCAGTGAGGCTCGGCGGTCGAATACACTCGATGACCAGGAAGTGGGGAGATTATCCCACATGCTCATGTGGTGGTGGGGGAGCAATAGCACCCAGTCCAGCGTGCACGACAACGAGGACGACCCCTTTGCGTTGCAGATCCTGTGGCACTCCACCTACATAGCCATCTACGCCGACCTCGACCTGCTGGAACGAGCCAGCGGCCGCGATGGGGAGCCCGCTGCGCAAGCCAGCTACCCGCTTGTGCGTTCGTGGTCGAGCTCACTAGCCGCAAGTAAATGCTTGGTTCATGCTTTCCTACTGCAGCGCTACGTGGAGCAAATGCGTGTCGCCGCTGAGCCGGCCATCCACATTCCTCGAGGCCTGTTTCACGCCGCCTTGTGCTGGTTCGCTTTTACTCGAATTGGAGGCCAGCAAGGCGTCGATGTTAAGGCATTCGAGGCGCCGGAGGTCCAGCTGTCAGACAATCATGCGGCGCCGCCTGGAGCACTCGGGAAGACAGGCAGGGACTGTATTTTGGCAGACGCCAACCAGGTGCACCGTTTGATCGATATGCTGAATCGAGTCGGACGATGGGGCATTTCATCTTCGTTCGCATCGGTATTGTGTGCCGCGATAGATGGTCACCATGGTGCATAGACCACTAACAACCACGGAAGAAAAGGCTGGTAAGCATCTTCGTGACCACCAGCCTCCCACCCAAGGGGGGCTGATGGTCTCTTCGCAGTCACCCCGCCTTGCTCGGAACGGCGTGGTGGGGACGCGGCGGGGTGGCCGGCGGGGTGCGCAGACAAGAACAAACCGAGGGAATGGCTTTTCCCCGGTGTCTTACAGCAAGAAATGGCAATAGTACAGGCCTCACGGTTCACAGTAGCCGTTTTCTTTGCCGAAGGCTCAGCCGGGTCGCGGGGTCTAGTCTCCTTCCTCGTGCTTTCTCCACGCCCAGCCCCCGCAATAGAGATATAGATGAAAGCTTATGTACCTTTGTTGCCGACCAAAAGTCCAAGATTCTGAATTCACATCATCTACCGTCTTGTTTAGGTCGGCATATAATCTCCATATCTCAGCAAGTCACACTATGCCACTCTTCACCGAACATGCCTCCAGCTGGCGTGACCTGAGGGTCCTGCCGTCCTTGGCTCCCCCATTGCCTCGCTTGGCACCAGCATTCGTATCGTCGACAGAGAGTGAGGTAGAACGATACGAGGTACTCATTGTCGGAGTAGGTTATCACTCTCCCCATATCAAACAATAGGGCTCAGCCCCGAAGAGTCGAGCTGACGATAATATACTAATTGTTGTGACAAACCGATAGGCCGGACCCGCCGGGCTGATGCTCCAACTACTCCTTGCAAGGTACGGATTGACTGACGAGTCTCTCCTATGCATCGACTCCAAGCCGAGCACGCTCAAATCCGGCCAGGCCGACGGGGTCCAGCCGCGCACATTGGAGGTGTTCAAGACCCTGGGCATCTCCGAGGAGATCGAGCGAGAGGCATGCCAGATGTGGGAGTTTGCGTTCTGGAACCAGGCCGAGAATCTTGGCGGCAGTCAAACCATTCAGCGACAGACCGTCGTACCCCAGGTGATCCCGCCGGCCCGGTTTCCCTACGAAGCCACCATCCACCAGGGCCGCATCGAGCGCATCATGGACCAGGACCTGCTGCGCTACTCGCGGCGCGGGGTGCTGCGCAACACCAAGCTCGTGTCGTTGCGGATCGATGAGCAAGGCGACGCGGAGTTCCCCGTGCTGGTGGAGATCGAGGTCGAAGGCGCCCAGCGACGGACGCTTCGGACGAAGCACCTGGTCGGGGCGGACGGGGCGCATTCGGTGGTCCGCAAGGCCGTGGGTCTGCACCTCGAGGGCCAGTCGCTCGACCACATCTGGGGCGTAGTGGATCTCGTGATCGACACGGATTTCCCGGACATCCGTCGGCGTTGTGCGATTCATTCTCGGGCCGGTTCCGTCATGGTCATCCCCCGCGAGCGCATCTGTACGGGTGAATATATCACTCGCATTTATGTGCAGGTTCCGGGACTGGTGGATCCGGAGGGAAAGGTGGCTGACGCAGACTTTGGGAAGGGTGCCAGGGGCCGACGGGCGCAGGTTACGCTTGGAGGAATTCTGAAGCAGATCGAAGCCGTGTTCCAGCCGTACTATATCCGGCCTAAAAGGGACGATGCGATCGATTGGTGGGCTGCGTACCAGATTGGGCAGAGGATCTGTCCTGAGTTCATTGTGAAGGATGCTACTGGGATTGGTAGGGTGTTTATCGTTGGTGACGGTACGTCTGGATCGCTCCTAGTGGAGAGCTTGGACTGACAACCATCAAGCTTGCCACACACACAGCCCGAAGGTAAACTGCCGCATGCAACCTCCTGCAATCATGAGACTGTACTAGTAACTAAACAACTGGATTATGCAGGCCGGCCAAGGCATGAATGTATCAATGATGGACTCCTACAACCTGGCATGGAAGCTCGCTTATCACGTCAACGGCCTCACCCCGTCTACATCAGGGAATGCGCTACTCGACACCTACCACATCGAGCGCCACGCTAACGCCCAACAACTAATCGACTTCGACAGGAAGTTCGCCACCGGCTTTTCGGATAAAGTGGGCACGGAGGACTGCAAATCCGGCATCTCTCACGCCGAATTCGTTGACATTTTCAGCACCGGCTGTGAGTTTACCAGCGGCTGCGGTGTAGAGTATGGGGAGAACCTGGCCGTCGACAGGACGCCTGCGACTGGCGCCACGAGGCCCGTCATTAGCGGCCACGACTACTTGTCTGGGATGCTCCGGCCTGGGCGCCGCTTGCTCAATGTCAAGATGAAACGGTTCGCGGATGGAGCGCACCGGGATATCCATGATGGTAGGTCGACTCGTGTGACCTGCAAGAGCTATGATCATCTCTGACCTTAGATCGATTTTTGTTCTAGACCTGGCATCCACAGGGCGCTTCCGCATCCTGTCCCTCCTCTCCGTCGACCTGCTAGACCCGAACGGCGTATCCGCAACTGCGCTACAGGACGTAACGGGCCTGGTTCAGCAGTTTCCCCCGTCGCTGCTCGAGCAGATTGTGGTGTATCCCGAGTTGCCGGGTGCGATATCCTGGGCTAGTATTCCGACGTGTGTGAAGGAACACGCGGAGATGGCGTTCTATAGTGGCTATGAGGTGGCCGATGCGTATGGGATCTATGGCGTGGATCCTGCGCAGGGTGCGCTCGTGGTGGTGCGGCCGGATGGGTACGTGGGCATAGTTGCGCCGTTGAGTGAGGTTGCTCGGGTTGATGGGTATTTGGGCGGGATCATGGCGCGAATTGCTTAGGAGAGACTCGAGTCTTTATCGGTGATGTATTTGGTATATATGGGTGGATGGGATTAAGGATATGTCAATGGGTCACATGGTGTCTTGTCGTCACAGCCTGCTTGTGGGATGTGTGGCGACGAGGGGGAAAGAGACGCAGATCAGTGGATCAGAGCTATACCAATGTACTGTAGAGGTGCCTTTTAAGTTTACCACTGTACTGACCTATGTCCTGGATTTATGTCTTTTTGATATATTATCTTTCTGGCTCACTCAAAATTTTGTATAACTTTACAATAAATGAATGTAACCCCTGTGTGTGTGACTGTGAGTGTGTGTGTGGGGGGGGGGGAGTCGTTTTCACTTCTGGCAGCTATATAGGCCGTGTGGGGGTAATCACAGTGCATAGTCTTGCCTCCTGGCTGATCCGACAAGAATTCCTATTCCAGAGCATCAAACAAGGCACAATAAGTAGCATTGTCGGCAACCAGGCTACACCTTCGGAGTTATATCAAAGGCATCTACCCGTCCCGCCTTCTACCGGAACATTGAACCAGCACCCTTGATTACAACAAAAGCTTTTGAAGTTATCGATCGTGCAGCCGTAAGTATCGACGGGGTTGCAACATTTGCCCAGGGTGCATTTCCCAGATGCACACTGCGAGGGTCAAGGTTATCCCGATGATGCTTGAATTTGGGGGGAACACCCAGAGTCTTGACCTACAGTGGTACCACACTTTCCACAATTCTTCGAATCGGTATTCGTATCTGTGCAGGCTCCGCTGCATACTTGCTGCGATTGCGAGGTTTTGAGAGGGCCACAGACATAACACGGGCCCTGTCCGGTTAACGCGGGGAACACGCAGGTGGACGATGGGTTCTGGTAGTTCTTGTAACACCAGTCGGTGCACTTGGCTAGGTTGGTCACCGAGGTCTGTGGCGTTGACCAAACGGGGGTGCCTGGAGATGTTAGTCTCATCTCTTGAGCGGAGTGTATGGCTGGGTGCTATCGTACTTAGCGCCAGTAGCGCGAGGATTGTGGGCTTGACCATGTTCAACTGAGACAGATATAAAGCAATAGTTGGAAGGGCTATGCTTGTTGCTGTTTCTAAAGTCAATCATCGGACTACGAGGACATTTATGTTTAGCATAGACTCTTGCCATGACGTCCTTGATTAAGAGTAGCTATGGTGGTGAGGATAATGTTTCTGCTGCTTTGATGCGCTGCAGTCTCAGACATGTGATCTAGACTCCGCGCCAAGTATCCGCTGACCGATGGTTCCTTGGTACGATCAACAGACAATGGCCGGGAGGATTTGGGTCGTTTGTGGGGAGGGGGCGGTGCGGGAACTTAGGGGATTTGCGGTTGACGATTAAGTTTGAGAATAATACTCTCAGGCTCTACTGGCTGTTGAAAGGTGATTGTTGAAGGAAGTGAAGATAGGCTTTGTAGAAATCCCTGCTTTGATAGATGGGCATGTCCCAATAATTTCAAGCTGGTCTGTAATGACTTCGCAAGTCGTCAAGTAGTCCAATGCTGATCATGTTGCAAATTGACTGAGAGATCCCGCCATAAACCTCGCGTGGGGATCTCAAAAGTTGCATTGTGATACGGCAGTATCCGAGATTGAATACAAAGTGAACAGCGTGGCGCAGTGCATTGTACCAGCATTGCGGTCGGCCACCTCGAAGTCTAGACCAGACGGTGCAGAAGTGGACTCTCGAGCCCAACACCATGACAGCCCAGCAGTATCAAAACGATGACGGTTCGATTTCACCTTAAGGATGTGCGCGATTTCTGGATGTCTTGCTATTACTTTCTCAACCACAGACATGCAGTGGAGGTCGCCGTGGAAATATGCTGCTCAGATCGATCGGATCGATCAGTGCTGGTCGATCTCGATCCCACAAGGTGGGCCGGGCCTCTTAAGCTTTCACTGCTTAATTTAACCGCAAACGGCCCGGACCCACCTCCGATAACCTTATTTAGTACCCGATCAATTCTGCGCCCACTGCAGATACATACAAGGAATGAAGATTGACTCGGCCAGAACATTCTCACGTGGGCGAACCAGAAACAAACCTTGGGTCGGGTTTGAATCAATGCCAGAGGACACTTGAAAGCCTAGACACAAAGTTCTGTCTTCCCCGGACCCTAAGCGCACCCGACCAGTTCATCAGATGGTATCCAATGACATTTCATACCCCACCTTGTCGTACATAGTAGTCCCTTCGGTATGATCATCTGCACCTTTGTTTCGGTATAGAGTCCTTTGATACTGAAGTTAATAATGTGGACTCTGCGCGTCATAGAGATGCCAGACAGCCAATAAAATGCAGCTTCAGGGGGCAAATATTACTGGTAAACTCTCTGAACCCTCGACCACACGATGAATCTATGTTATCTAAGCTGCGACCTCTATCGTGGCGTCTGGGGCTCCGCGAAATAAAAGGGTATAGATATCGAGCCGACCCTGGCCTGGTTGCAACCATAGATGGTGCCATCTTCGAAGATTTAGATTCCGCTCCAAGAAACTGTTCAAAGATATACCACCACACAAGATGAAGCTCTCGCTATCAATGACTTCTCTTTTTCTTTCCCTTGTCCTCTTATCTGACATCGCCCTTGCCAAAATCGTCACAGGAACTGCGTCGGATGGGGCGATTAGCTGGGTTAAATATGTCCCCGACGAGACTCCTGCTCCCGACAGTGCCGCCTAGGGAGGGAGAAGTCAAACTTGGTCAGATGCGAAATGATTTGACATCTGATCTGACGTGGTATGTGACGAGACCCCATATTTTGTGCGGCTGCGGTCTAAGTTATATTCAAGCTCAGCTCAACTAAACTGCACTGTGTTCCAGATCGACACGAGCATAGCAAACACAGATTTATGGCTTTTGAAAGCCGGCTAGATGAGATTGGGAGTGGAGACCCCGGGTAGATTGACCCGTCTTGAGTTCTGGAGCATTATCCGGTGTGGAGGCCAGAGAATGCTCATCAATGCACAACCCATCCGATATACTGGGCACCAAATTTGACTCTTGCCAACTTTGATCTTCTCCCGAGCGGTGGTGTAATGTTTGTAGTCTTAACCATTCTCATGGAAACAGTGGCTTGGGGCTTGCTCGCGATATTCCAACAAGTTGGTGTCGGGGTTAGTAGCACCTTCCCAGTCTACCATACCATTTAATTTCATATATCGAAGGTAGGGTGTATTACAAACCAGACAGTGACCTTATCAGTTTCAAGGCTCAGTACTCACAGATATTGTGCGACCCGCAACAATCAGGATCTTGACAGCTTCAACATCAAGGTGACCTTTTGCATAGACAACTAAATATGGATCCCTAGCTTTCTTCATTCTATATAATACAATCATTGGAAGTGCACGTTCCAACAATACAATGTGGCCATCTGAATTGCGAATCATATTCTTATCGCTGTCAGGGTTACAGCACAGACTCCCCGATCGCATTCAAGAACTTCACAATCGCCGATATCTTATGCTTTTTCGGAGCTCCGGGTGTCAGATGAGTACTGAGTGGTGGCCTAATAGCGATTACTCCATCTACCTCGTTCGTTACCTTGACCCCCGGGCCCGAAAGACGGATAATGATTATTTGAGCGCGAGTCATGACGCGGTCCCGTCACAAAGGGCTTATCTTATCAGCATACCCGGGGCCCGGGGCCGGCTTGCCCGCCCGGAACCGGCCCCGCAACCACAGGTAGTTAGTCACTCCCCGAAACCGGCACGGATGGCCACATTTGGACCTGCCAGAAACTTCCACCATCCCTTTTCACTCCCGACATCTCAGCCCACGCATCAATTACTGGTAAAATAATTCACCGCCACCACCTCCCCCAACTGCACCTCCTGCACCCATTTATCCCAATCGTACCGCACGCGCGGCCAGCGTCCCACCTTCTGCCCCTCCGGGGACGCGTACTTCTCGACGTCGAAGCCGGCCGGCTGCTCGTACAGGAAGAAGACGTAGCGATGCGGTGCGCTACCGGGCGGGGGGCCGGGCCCGATGTAGTTCGCCACGAAGGGGGCGGTGACCTCGAAGCCGTAGGTTGCCCCACCCGTGGGCGACGTCGTCATTGTCGTAGGGACAGGACGAAGACCGGGTTGCAACCAGTGCAGAATCGGGCCTAGGAAGCTGAATGCCGGGAAGGGGGCGTCCAGGTCTAGGTTGACGACCATGTACGTGCGGTTGGGGTCGGGGACGGTGAAGGTGAGATCGGGGGCGGTGCGGGCGTCTGTTTCTCGTTTTGTTAGTTTAGATTCTGAGTTGCGCAGACAATGCGTGGTCGAAGAATGTGGGAGCTCGAGACAGACCTGCTCGTGGGATGTATTGGCCTGGTTGGATGTTGCGGTGGACGCCCAGAGTCAGCCCTAGAGTTTTGGATGGATTTTGTTTGAGCAGGGAGAGTGCACTCTCGATCGTCTTGCTGCCGAGCATCTTGGCTGATTGAATGTCTGATCTGTTTCCGGGATGTGGAGGGAGAAGAGAGAAAGAAAGGAACGAAAGTGTATGCATCCCTTGCGGAATTTGAGCGAACTGGGGAATGGCATGGCCGGGACCGGAGATAATGGGCGGTGATAGGAGGCTATCACCGGCCTTATCGCTCTCGTTGATAGTGAAGACTTAGAGGACCGGACTATAGCTTCCTTGGGCTTTGGAAGCAGCTAATCAATACTCTAGAGTTTGGTAGCTATGGATTATATCTGTTCAAGTTACGGCCCGTGAGAATAGATCAAAGTTCATTGACAAAGCTGATTCGAAATGCTTGTGTGAGCTGTTGCCTCGATACCAGCGGCAGATATCCGGGGGTAGTATGACATTGGCACTGCATTACACTACCTAGTTGAGGAGGAAGCCTCTCAGCGCGACCAGATCTAAATTAGGGATAAACCTATCCCCAGAGAAACTAAGATATATGAGGTAGAGCCATCGTGCTAACCCATCAGTCTGCCATCTTGCATCGCTACGGAACCAAGTCCGTTTTGTAATTTGATAGTTCTGGTCAAGACGAGCCAGCTAATCCAACAAAAGCATATGATTCAAGTGAGAATCCACTATCCACGACATACTTTCAGACGGGTGGGACCGTCGAATACGGGCCAGGGACTCAATGTGATAGAGAAGAAGGCCCTATCCGATATTCAAGCTGGTCCCGGCTGGTTCCCATTATCAGTTTTGCACACCACAAAGATGGGCAGCGGCGTCGGGCAGAATAAGTAATTCTTCTTGCACGAGTCACGGTTACAGCCTAGAAGGCGCGATTGCCGTTTAGCTTATATCTTGTAGAAACAATACAACGACCATTCCACCTTTTATATCTTGACAGTTTTCGACCCCTATGTTCTACAAGGCACTATTAGCAGTTGTCTGGCTTCCAATATTACAGCAATAGTATGACCAGTAGCAGTCACGGCATTAATCGCTGTGGGTAGACCCAAAGCAATCTCGAGACGTATATTGGACTTGTGAGCGTAGAGCGACCTTGAGTGTCGGAATCACAGTATAGTTTAGGTTAAGTTTGGTGTTGTAAGAGAGACCTTAGCATACACTTAAGGAGACCGCCTGGGTCGATCGGTGGTTCGTTGCCTATATAACAGTTACATCTCACACTGGAGTATCAACTCGATCCGGAATTTCCGGTATCACAAGATAGCCAGCCATTGAATGATCCGGTCCGAAGAACCATTCTTGGTTGGATATAGTCAGGGACCCTATAAGTGGAAAACTATGGGTTATGTGGAATCGGAAGCCTCTAGCTTTGGCATCGGAATCACGTGCCCGTGCCTATACCGGTGTTTGAAGGGCGACTCTAAATGGCTGTGTCTGTTTAAGGATGATGTGTGACTCCAGTGTACGAGTACGATTGCTGGGAGCCGGTATTTGGAATTGATAGGTTGGCCTATGGAGTGAGCGAGTGAGCATGACTGTTGATATGCTTGGCGGTCCTACGGCCTCACCCAGGCTGCCGCCCGCCGGTGGCCTTAGCTAATTCCTCCAAGATAGCCTGACGTAGCCAGAATCCGAGCATCTTCCACCTCACTCTGCAATAAACACACTAGCATACTCACCCGACGGGGAAGGGTATACAAAATTCCATCTCGATAGAACTGGTATGATGTGTGCCACGCTAGCCTGTATCCAAGTACTACTGTACTGTACAATACATACAATCAATGATGGGAATATACGGTAAAGTAGTTAGTTCCGATGGGCAGGGATAAATCCTCAAAGTGGCTAGTATCATGGCCCCTGAACTAGTGGCGGGGGATTAAATCAGGTGTCTGACTTTCACCAACTCACGGGGGCATAATATAAATTGCTTCTTCCTATCCACCCCACCAACTTAACACTTCTTAACAACCCACAGCTACTACTTCCAATCACTCACCCACCCCAAATATTGTCCTCGAAGATCAATATGCCTCTCTTGTCATTGCCACCTGAACTCTTCCACCAGATAATTTCTACACTATCAAACAGTGACATCAAATCGCTGCGCTTGACGTGCCGCCTTCTCTGCGACGTTGCTCGCCTCCGTCTCTCTCGCATCTTCCTTTCTGCAAACCCGCTGAATATCCGAGTATTTTGTGCGGTCGCAGAACATCCATTATTTCGCCAGCAGGTAACGGAGATAGTGTGGGATGATGCTCTTCTGATCGACGATCCATCGCCAGAACCTGATTCGTATGGATTTGACGCAGTTATCGGATCGGACGACGAGGAGGAGAACAACGACTGCCCGAAGTGGTTTGTCGCAAGATGTAAGAATAATCTCGATGAGCTGTCAGTGCGGATGGACCGAAATGAAGATGGATGGTACAACGCGGAGCGTTTCGCCCAGCGGGATGCGCGACCGTCGCTGTGGACCTGTTGGCAGTATTATCAGAACCTCCTCGCGCAACAAGCCGAAGTCTTGATTCGTCAGAGTGACGTGGAGGCTCTGGTTCGTGGCCTTCGAAGGTTTCCTGCTCTAGAGAGAATCACTATCACCCCTGCCGCTCACGGTTGGTTATATCAGCCACTCTACGAGACGCCGATGATCCGGGCATTCCCCAACGGCTTTAACTACCCAATCCCGCGTGGGTGGCCGACAGCGGCGGAAGGGGAACCTATACCAGAGGCTGAAGACTGGAGCACTTTATCGGAGAAAAGCCAAAAAGCAGTGGCGGGGAGTCCGGCTTGTTCTGCGTGCATTGGCCCAGCATCCTGGTCATCGCGTGGTCGAGCTAATCCTGGATGTTAATCAGCTGGATACGGGGCTCAATTGCACCATCTTCCACCAGCCGTGCGAGGAGGTCGAGAACCTGGTGGCCCTGCTGCGACGCCCCGGGTTCCGCCGCCTGGACCTTCCCCTAATTGTCCGTGGCCAGGAATATGAGGAGTGGCCCGCCTTCCGCAACGGAAACCTGCGCCGCGCCTTGGGTGAGGCATCGAGCTTGGAACATCTCAGTCTCTATACGACAATCGAGGTCGACTCAGTGACTAATCTAAGGTGGCAGGGGCAACAATGGAGAGAGCCCGGGCAGAGATCATCTCGCTTTCATTTCACCTCTCTTCACACTATGTTCCCAGTGGCAATCTGGTCGGGATTGCAAACCTTGAAGCTATCTCGGTTCATTGTGATCCAGGACGACGTGATGTCTCTCTTGGAGCAACTGCCGGCCCTCCGAGTGATTGAATTGAGCTTCTTGGGATTTCTAGATAACGGGGGCAATTATAGGGATCTCCTAATCGAGATTCGCAAGAGGTTTCGGTGGTCGGAAAGAGACCCGGAGTCGAGACCCAAGCTGATAGTTGCGGTTGCACCCTGGCCCCCTCGACCGGGCCTGGGAATTTGGCTCGACGAAGAGGTACACTCCTTTCTCTAAGACCATGGTCAAAACCCTTTCTCCATCTTCCGCGACGCTCCGAACCAAGTACCCCAGGGAACAGGGACACTTCGGGATTCCTTCGAGCCAGGCCATGAGCGCCCTTACTTTGGCTCATGCAAGTTCCTGAGTACCGCGGGAATCGACAATCGTCGCAACACTCGAGTGTTTAGAGAACTACATGCTTAGATAATTATGTAAGAGGTAAGAAAATGGTTGATTACCAGGATGGCTACGAAACACGAGCGTACCCTTTCTTTGGGGGGCTAGAACAGAAGACGCATCCAGAGGTCAAATATTGCTGAAGTGGAAGAACCCGACCGAAAATATGCATTGCATCGAGATTATACCCATATATCCCGACTGGCATTTGAAATAGATATAGGACGCAGTATCCCTGTAAGCAAAGTACCAGGGCGATTCTTCCAGCGTGTATTCCCATTGGCGCGTAAAGTACCTGACACCGACGACCGCCACGCAAAGACAGTACTGCCCTAAGGAGGACCATGTCATTAACATCACAAGATCATATGAGGTGTCAAGATCTTGGAAGCTCATTAGATTACCTAAGCGCAATACTACACTCACGTGGAATATGTCCTCAGTCAAATAATATGCTATTTCGAAGAACGGAGTGGATTACTTAGTAGAATAGATCGAGAATGTGCATTATATTTAGCCCAGCCAAGCGAGCCCTAAGCTTTTGAGGAAGTTCTGCCATATGCTTGAGGGCTTCCCGCCCAGAGACCTTAAGTTGACGACCGTCTCCAGATCAGCAAACAGCAGTCCTCGCTCTTGATCCCGTGCCAAGAGATGCGCAGTCTTGAGCAAATTCTTGATCTGCCGACCGTTAAGTTCCAACTCCGCTAGGCTATCCAGCTGCGCCTCCGTAATATCTGCGGTGGAGGGAAGGAACTGCGCCCAGATCTGCCGCCGAGACACAGCATCGAGGTCCGGGTATAGGAGTGAAATATGAATACGAGAGTCGAAGGCCGGGTCGATGTTCTCGGCGCGGTTACTCGTTAGGAATAGGATACCCTGTTGACACGTCAGCGTTGCTCCTCGCCAGACTTTAAGTTGATGCATACATACCTCGTAGTACTCCATTTTTCGCAAGAAGATCGAGACCAATTCATTTCGGGCCAGATCGGATACCGTGCGGGCCTCGAGGAAGACATCGGCTTCGTCAATCAGAAGCACTGCGTTTCAACGAGGCACGAGCTCGAGGACCTCCTCTAGCTTTGCTTCCACGTTAGCCACAGTTGTCCCGAGGTCCCCGGCCCCCAGCACGTATAACGGGACTTTCATAACCTCCGCGATACTTTCCGCTGTCAGCGTCTTACCAACGCCCGGCGGGCCACTTAGAAGCAAGTTAACGCTCTGGCCCTTGCCTTGAACCACATCGTCAAACGAGTCCTGCGACTGGGCTTTCGCGACAGCGAGAATCAACTTCTTTAGATCTTGTTGCCCGCGGGGGAGGACCAAGGAGTCAAAGGCATCCTTGTTCCAGGCAATATCCTCAACCTCATCGACCATAAACGCCCGCCACTCCTTCTTCCGCAACGAGAAACCGCGCACCCACGGGGTGGCCAGCAGCCGATGCTCGTCGGTCATGGCCGTCGCGATTTCCGTGGCCCCGGTCTCCCATCCATTCATATGGCTGTTGTGGTGCTTCCTGTATCCAGCGGGGTCAATCATCACGCGCCCGTAGTCCCGTACGTGCTTGTAATGCGAGCCATCGTATGATTCCCACAAGTTCCCGCGGTCAATCAGCCGCTGTCGCATGGCTTCTGCGTCCTGGTGATTTGCCGGAGGGAAGATTTGCAGCGCGTCGAGGGCCATCGTGCCCTTGAATGGGCAGATATTAACCACCTCGTTCTCGTAGTGGTACTTTTCCCCGTCGTAGTCAATGTACCGCGTCTTAACCTCGACAAAGCCATCCTGTCCGTGCGTGTACGAGTCTACGCACTCGTACGCCCGAGGGGTGTCGCCCCCCCGCGCTGAAGAGAACAGTCTGCGGAATGAAGACCGTCCATAGGAGGTCGTGGGTAATGACGCCGTTCTTGAGCAGGTCCGCCCGACGGGTGAGAATATCGCCAACCTCGTTATCCAGAATCTGATGCAACAGGTCGAGGTAGGAGCGGATTGTCGGGTTCTGCGTATCCTCGCGTGTCTGGCAGAATTGCTGCCACTGGCGTACGAACGGCACGTACGGGTATTCGAACGTGAGAGTCTCCAGAGTCATGGTGATGCCGGAGTAACCCGCGAACGCTGGCGTCAGAGCCTGCCTGATTTCCTCGCTCTGCAGGGTGAAGGATCGGGCCTGCCAGCGGGCGTCTTCACCCTTGGTCCATCGGACAATCAGCGGGGACTTCACGGGTTCCAGGCTTTCGACGGGCTCGGTCAGGTCTTTCGGAATCTGCTTCGTCCACGGCTTGTCGGGGCTCAACCGGTAGAGGTTAAGGACATCGCTGGGAGCAGAGCCTTGTGTCGAAGGCACAGAGAGGTTCTCTTCCGTCGTTAAATGTTATTCGACTTTTTCTACTCCGTGCACGATAAGGTAATTCGCCTACCTGTCAGCTCCGTTACATTCAACAAGACTTCATCACCATTGTCCACGGGAGACGCGGAATCCCAGAGCACGGCCATAGTGATGTGTGCTTGGTGGCGGCAAGCTCGGAAACGAAAGAACATCGAGATGGAAGAAATCAGTTGAACGGGTCTCCCAGCTGTTAAATATTTTCTTCCAGCCTCGTGGAAAGCTTTGGGTCATTGAATTGCAAGACCCGATTATCCTCACCTTCAGCTCGAACGTAGCTCTGTGTTTGATCCGTACAAGCCTCAGTAACCCATTGGGTCCCCACTTATCGGGGAACGTCTTCGCCTTAGTTCAGCCAAAAGGGACTAAGTCTTGCCTGTGGCTGACGCGCAACTTACTTTTCGACCGTATCCGGCTTTCTGAAAATCATCGATATGGTCATATTCACTTTTGGCTCATTAGTAATTCACATGTTCTGAGAACTATAACAACAAAAAAATATAATCTCTGGGAACAGGGGTGATTCGGTCAGCTTCTCAGCCAGTTCATCTGGAGTCGAAGATGACAGCGTAACATTCAACCAGGTTCTCGCTATTAGATGGCAAACCACATTCCTGGACATGGACTACTTACTATGGTCGAGCCTCAAACTGACCAAACGTCATCTCATGTCGAGAGTAATACCGAAGGGCTGGGTCAGCCTGCCGGGCTGGCGGCCCGACCCCACGCTTGGTGAGTCACGGCGATCACTGCGCCTCAACGGAGCCCTAACTACCAGGGCCATTCTCAGCCAGCCTCATTGCAGACCGTCAAACCACCGATCTCGCCCAATCATTTGGGCAAATCCCAGTGGTGGTCAGTCACGGGTATTGATTTGATTTCTCCTGACGCCGGTCCATATGGGCTTCGGACTAATGCCTCAGGCCGCGAACCTTCTGGATGATGGTTGCCTCGGCAATAGCCTTCGCTTAGAGTAAGAGATTCAAGACTTTTCTTGAAGCCCTTTGGGAGTCTGGACTCCCGGCAAATTAGCACGGAGTTTACTTCCGTTGCCCTGCAGCACTGCCACAATCGTTCCACCGTTTGTCCGGGCTCGATTGAAAGCCCCGCATTCGCATCCATTGTCCTGTCACCGATGTGGCGGAGAACAAAAAGGGATTGGTCGATCAGCCACCCAGTCCACTCCGAAGTATTTTGTTTTCAATGTAGCTAAAAAATAGCTGACGGGCAACTGAAGTCCGTAGCTATTCGCAACGGGTTGACTCGCTTGCGGCCTGCATGCATGTCGACTTCGGCTAGAAGATTTACCTCCGCAGGAAAATGGTTTGTGGATGAGATCGATAGACAGGGTGGATCCATGCACAATAGCCGAATGCACAGGTTATTACAGGGGGGCGAGGCTGACCTGATGCCTGATCTCATCAAGGTAGTCATGATATGAGAAATACTACTAGTTCATCTCATCAGGAGGCCATCTAGATATCCCCGACATATACAAACTCTACCGCCAGTTTGACCATCTGCTCATTGGCCTCCTTACCCCGACTGGAGGTGAAGACCGCGGCATAATAATTCTCGTCGAACAACGTGTTAACAATCAGAGTTTCACGAGGTGCAACGTGCCGCCCATCATATCCCCCAAGATGATCGTTTCGCCCGTCGCGGTTCGATGACCGTTCAATGTTTCTCCCAATCTCTTGAGATGCCAGTAGACGGCATCCACGCTAGGCGAGATCCCGTGTTCCTCGGCGCCCCGCGCGCGTTGCACGTTAAGTCGCGCATCCTTGTCGTTGATCCAAAATTCGTTATCTGAAATATCCCAAATGCCCAAGCCCAGAGATCCACTTGGTCTTGCTCGTTGGGGTCCTTTTCGACTGATAGTGTTTCTGTTGTCGGTTGCGCTCGTTCGATTTCAGATGGTGGCGAGACCAGAAGTGCAGGCCCGGTTATAGCATCAACTGCCACAGCCTCGGGCAACACATTCGCTTGTGAATCTCATGTGTTTTCCCATTGGCTGTTTGCTCATTCCTTCTGGAGCCTCCTACGTAGCGCTTTAGACGTCGCACCAGGAACGGTACTTTGTCAATCGCTCGCCAAGGGTCAAATCCCGAACTTACACAGTAGATTGATTTTGTTCCTTCAATATAATCCCGCTGGGCGATGACCAGCTTGTATATATTTACGTTGACTGCACTGCGGGTCAAATATCAAGCGCAGCGATCACCCCGGTCAGAAAGTGGTTTCTGTGACTTGTCTTGCATTAGTGCCGCCATAGCCCCAGGGTTGCTTGTAATGCGATTGCTTAAGTCGCTATGCTCCCCTGTCACATTGAAAAGTAGCTGTACTTTCAAGGTATACCGGTACCACAATATATCGTACTGTAATTTGCGACGTTACGGAAAAGACCCACGCTCTGGACCGCTTCTATTTACCACCTAGCCCTGAGTGAAGTAGTTTGTGCCACTTATGCCCCAGGATACCAGGAGGCATTAAACAACATTAGTGAGAAAGCAAGATTGTAGGAAACGCAAGATCTTGCTTGTCGAAATAGGTTGATTACTCGGAGCGAATAGAATATAGGAGCATAGAAAAGCATGTTGACACGGACGTAATTCAAGATGTGAAGTTTTCCGTGTCCCTAGCAGAGCTGAATAGGCCACAAGCCGCACAGAAATAGCAACGGTACCTGAGCTGTGTGGGATGACCCAAGTAGGTTTGCAAGATGAATCCCTAAAAGCAAATATCCGAATGAAAGAAATGAAGAATTAATTGACAAGTGTTTTGAGGTTGGTAGTGGCAGATGAGCCTGCGAATCGGTCGTGATGATTCAAGTGAGGGAAAAGGCAATGACCCGGCCGCGTTCCACAAGCCCATAGACCTGCTTCGTTTAGTCTAGGACAGTAACAGTGTCCGCCAATGCCGTGCAGTTGATTGGAATGTTGATGGGGGGGAATTGGCCCTCGGGGGTGAACGCGAGACTACTGTAGTTGTATGTAGGGCTCAGCATCATGATCTGCCCGACAGTGGTCCCGAAGTGGTCGGCGAGATCCTTGTACACACCCCAGCTGAAGGAGTAGGGTTGAAGGATACACTGGCTGGGGTCGCACTGGGGCACCTTGATGAACTGGCCGACGTCCAGGAGGGCTGTGGGCGAGGTCGGATTGACCAGAGTTTCGTTCGAAGGCCCATCGACATGCATGAGGGACTCGACAGTGATATTGAGACGCCTCGCGATGATTTCGTAGGTGTCGCCCCGCACCGTGTAGTAGAGACGTGGTCCGCCGTAGATACACGTGCGGGTGGCGGTGGTGTTGGGCAGCAGGCAGCTGGTGTTGTCCGGCTCGCACGCCTCGGCTGGGATCAGGAAGGACTCGCCCACGTTGGGGATGATGGTCACGTCCGCCATGAGGTTCTGCCGGCCAATGTCGCACACGCCGCGGTTGGTGGCGCGGGCGACATCGAAGACGGTTGTGCCGTCGACGGTGATATCGTACCAGGACGTAGTCGTGTTCAGCGCGGTGGTGTTGCAGGTGCTACTGACGGCTGTAACCAGCGGGGCCAGAAGAAGTGGCCAAAAAGAATGGATATAAGAAGGCATTTTTGAATGATGGATCCAAGCAAAACATACAAGAGAATGAAGAAAAGCTCGGAGTTGGATAATGAAGGAAAGACTGGATGTGCTCTGCTTGAAGGTAGCATTGCGAGCAGACAGACCACGCTTTTATATTATGCTGCTGAGCTAGGACTGGGGCTTTTCGTGTCGAACACCCATGCAATAATGCCTCCCTGTGAGACAATGTCCGAGCAGTTCCAAAGGACGAAGGGCGAGTCCGGTGTCTGAGCTAGCTGCAACGTCAAATTGCCCTTCAGTCGAACGTTATCAGAGTCGTCCGATGTGATGACTGACCAACGCTAAGGTAAACTACTGTACCCTAGCCAGAACGCGTGAATGCCCCTTTCATTTGTGGAATTGGCGTCTTCGCAGAAAGCGGCGTCGAAGTGGTTTAAACCATTTCGTTCAATGTACAACTGTGTCGATTTCCCGAGTTGAATCGATGAATTGCAACATTGGTGATGAAGACCGAAGTCGCTTTGGGCCTCAAACGGGTATGTCGATTGTGAGCCCACTATTCCGATCAGCATTCACTGTGTTCGCCCATAGTCGTGATTGTAGTACCAAGAAATCACTTTCTCCCTGTCAAGTTCTGTGTGGTAGTGCGACGCCGCTAGCGACTAATGCCTCACACCATAACCCGGAAACACAATACAGCAGCCAATATCAGCAATGCAATTAGTTAGTTGGTAACTGGACGGACGCCGCGGATGCTGTATCCCCGACTCGAGGCTATTTCGCTTTTGCACCGTGTCCGATATCGAGGTATTTGTCCCAATGGGAAACACCTGTCTGCTCCAACCGTGCAGCTAGTGCGAATTAGTATCTGGACTTCCCAAGTCGCGTCTGCAGTCGTCATCACCTCAAGCTTATTCCTCGAAGGTCCGAGCGCAGGACAAGAGAAAACAAGCTTTGTACGAGATCTATAATTATTCGCGCCTTTACTAGCATTTGGTTCAAGCAGCAAAGTCGACATCCACTGATCATCCTGCCAAGATTTGGACTCCGGGTTGAGTTCTTCAGTGTTTGCCTCACCAAGCACTGACTTATTCCAGGTTACACAATAAGCTCAGATGCCTGGCAGATCGGCATGACTGTACATGTCATATCTAGAGCCCTTGTATTTGGGTTTGTGCCGACCCGACTTCCTGCGGAGAAGAAACTTACCCTAATTTGGTGTGGGTTTGCGAGGTCTGCTTCGGACATGCAGCTTCCCCACACAGAGGCCGCGTACTATCGGTCTTACACTTGACTACATGAAAGCTTGAGATGGTATATCTCCCAATGAGCTCGAGTTGATTGCAAACTGGGCAGCATGTCGACTCCGCAGGAGAAGACTGGGTTGTTGTGTGGTTTGCCGTTGAGAACCGGGATTCTCAACCATGACCATGTCGAATTTTCCGCATGAAAAGGCACACACAAGCAAGGGGGAAAAAGGAAAAAAAATACAGAAGAGCTTTCGATTCCGAGCCTTTTCCTAGGAACTAGATAGCCCCAGGCATTGGATGTTGTTCTCTGCACTCCTTTAAAGCTTCCTTTTGCGCTTTGACCCGTTTTCCTTCTTGGCATTGGGCTTCTTTTGAGCTCCTTCCTGCGCCTTGGTCCGCATTTTCTTTTTCGCTTTGCGCTTCTTTAGAGCTTTCTTCTGTGCTTCGGTCCTGTTTTTCTTCTTAGCATTGGGCTTCTCTTGAGCTTCTTCCTGCGCCTTGTTCCGCATTTTCTGCTTCGCTTTGCACTTTTCAAGGGCTTCCTTTCGTACTTTGGTCCTGTTTTTCTTCTTGGCATTGAGCTTCTTTTGAGTTTCTTCCTGGGTCTTGGGCTGAACTTCCTCTGCTGTGCGCTTTTTTTGAGCTTCCTGTGTTGTATCCCAGGCGCTCTTATCAAATTCAATCTTGTTTTTTTGATAAATTCTCAAGGAACTGTTCCTGCTTGATCTTATTGTCAGAGCAGACCCATCTTTATCATTCGAGTCAGGTCTCAATTGGCAACGCTTGCTAGCTCCGTTTTCTTGTCGCAAGGTTCTGTTAATCACTATAAAAAGAATACAGGCCGAACTCAAGACTGTAAATCTGACTAATATGACGAGTAATAAAGACCACAGAATAGGTGAAGAAAGGCTCTCCGGGGACACCTATATATTTGTAAGCATCAATGCGACAAAACAATATTTCCTGCCAAACCTTTGCTCTTTCGCTCCCCTCAGTGGTCCTCTTACTAAGGATACGCTGTTCTGATTGGGTAATCAGATCGTCTATACGTAGCTTGTCTCCGGAATTTCCAACGGGCCTCCATCTTCTAGAGGTATATGTCGTTCCGAATTGCATAGTCCATTTGAAAGTTTCGTCATTAGGCCATATTTCGTATGGGCATTTCTCACCGCCCAGAACAGTAGGATGAATATTTATGATCTTTTGAACCGCGCAATGACCAAGAAGTCCTCGAATTATTGGCTCTTCTATCAATTGATAGTTTGAAAGACCAGTGGGATGTAATCGTTGAGGTGGTGGAGATGAAAGCAGTATGACTTTCTCGAATCTAGCGATGTGCCAAGCAAAAATTGCCGAAGCACCATGAATATACCGACTCCATTGATTCTTTGATTTTCTTGTCCTCAGACATTCTGGATTTTTCTTATCCATCAAAGGGCCCATGGCTGTAGTTAGCGTTTGCAGGTTTCTTTTCTCGGCCCATGCTTGGGCATTGTCGAACGGTATGCCACTCCAAAGAACTTGACCATTGGTGATCCATTTTGACTGGAATTGTTCAAATATTCGCACTGCCTCTGGGACAGTCACATACTGGCTGAAGACCTTAGTAAGTGGGACACCAGGAGCTCGTTGGCCAGAAAGCCATTGAGAAATATCGTCAAAATCCATCGTTCTGCTCAGGTATTTCAGTGGCTGATATGTTTAGTATGGACATCATAATAATGTCGAAAAACCCAAAAAAACCGAATCAGCCCTTTCTCTGGAAGGGAACTGTGTGACAATAAATATAAGATGTCATTGATGCGGGGTAATGTTGACGGACTGGATCTAGGCTCGTATCATTATTGGATTACTATCTATTTTGGCTAGATCGGAGAGACTGCATGATTCTTGGTGGGATTATAGGCTCTCTATTCATGCCCAGTCAATGCCTAAACTACGTTCGAATTAAGACGCAGTTTCAAAACGGATCAGTTGTGAAGTATATGTAGCATTGCGGTTAAATCTCACGGTGGAGGAGCATCGGGTCCCGGTTGTACGGTACTTGAGCGAGAATAGTGCCTCTTGGACACAAGTACCAGTACAGTGATAAGGTGCAGAGAATGTGTTACTTTTGGTAGTCTGGAACGAGGCTTAATTACTATGCTAGCCCTTGGAACCGAGACCAAATATGATCAACACCCGCGAAAAAGCTGAATGACGCACTAGAACATCCCTCGGCTCTCAAACAAAGAAGGAAATGGCAGTGATAAATACATTTTCATCATTCATTTTGCTCAGCCCAGTTCCTTCCACAGTCCTCACTTTACCTCATGTGGTCACGGACTTCTTCATCATCGCAATCAGCAAGTCACGTGAGAATTGTGGAACGGAATCAAGAAGAGTGTCTTGGAAGATAGCATCAGCTGCTTCATCTTTCCGTCTTAACAGAGATAGGTTACGCAAAGTAATGTCCACGGTAAGGTCCCTTAGACCTCTGTTACTTCTAGGCGTTGAATTGTAGATTTTTATGACTGACTGCGGGAACGAAACTGCGTTCAGTCTTTGAGCCATTTCATATTCAACCTTTTTTTGGGCAAGGGCTTTCAATTCATTGATAATAAGTCGGTCCGCGAGGGAGTACATAATTATATAGAGTAAAAGAGGGTCAAGTATAGGAGTAGTATTTCCAGCATCGGTTGTATCAGGATATTAACCTGAGATCCCCGGAGTCTCCTGCATTGTAGATGTAACCCATGAGGAGCTTGGCAACTCGAGGTTGTGAGGCTCAATTCATTGCCATGTTCTTGACTTCGTTCTGTTGCATTGCGAGATATGACTTGGTAATCCAAAGTGTATAAGTACTCAATCGCTTGCTTCATCAAAGTCGGGTCTTCTTGCATCTCGACGGAATTTGTGGTAGCTTCCTATTGCATTTCCCGAATCAGACAGATGTCTTCAAATGGCAGGCCACTCTGGCTGCTTACGATGAAATCTCCATCCATGGCACCGGAGAAGAATCCTGACTGCGCTCAAACTATACATTTATGCGCAGGGAAGGACTCTTTACCGCACAAAATGGTGAAGTCACTATATTTTGGGTTGAGACGCATGCTGATCTCCGATCAGTTGATATGCAAATGCCATTTGCGGAAGAGAGATGATGGATCAATTGCTTGGCAACCTAATGCACGTACTTTGCTAGAGCATTCTTAAGTTCTTGGAGGGGAATCCGGGATTTAATTTTGTTGCTCAAAGGTCTTTCGAGTACCTCATGCGCGGCCCAGGAAGATGTTTTGTGTACTAGTCTCTTCATTGGCATTTTGATAGTCGAGTTGTGTTAATGCTCTGCTTAAAGTCATGGTCGAGAATAAAAGGATGTGTGATACTGACCCCATCAGAAACTATATATAGCTCATCAATTGAATATCTAGAATAAATCAATGACATCATACTTAAATAGCCTCTTGTTAACACCTGATTTCATCGTTATAGCCAAATACGAATACTCCCTTGCTGGTGGCCCTCTTGCCACACATTATTATTTGGAAGTGCGGATCCTCGTATAAAAATATCTTGAAGGTCGTTAGGCAGATTGTGATAAGGGTGCCAGAATAGGATCGCACTGCTCTAAGCTTCTCCAACTGACCCGTAAAGTATTTTGGCGTCTTTGAACAGCTATGAACATTTCTGAGTGTGCCCTACTGAATAAGGTAAACTTAAACAAAGTCCACCTTTGGAGCTTTCTGGTGCCCGTGGTGGTCATCAAAGCAATCCGATGAATTCAAAAATACGAGCTACACGGGCAGTCATCTCACCTAATCTATACTGATGATTCTAATTGGTTGGTTCTCTCATAAGCTAGAAAATTCGACTCTATGACAGCGAGCATAGAAGTATGAGGTATTTCTGATTGGAAACTCAAGCTCAATTGAAGATTGGGTTTTGCGACATCGAGACACGGATGTTAAATAATACCTGGAATACGAGTCAACATGTCGATGGAGACATTGTGTTTTCTTTGCTAACCAAGGCTACCTTCGGTCCCAAGTTGAATATGATGCTCGCAAAAAATATTATGCTTGCCCGCAGCAGATTATTGTCCTGTAAACTCTTTCTCTTAAGAACGTAAGTCCTGCAAAGTCATTAATTTAATGAAAGATTACGATTAAAGCGTAGAACAAATGAGTGCTGAGGTTCATAGATTTAAGAAGCAGAGTGTCGAAAATCATCGAGCTATAGCACAGAATACGAAGACTTGAGTTGTTAGGTATAATACAGAAGGCTAGAAGTGCAACAGTAGATATGTCGGACCCTGTTCATACGAGCGATATGATCGAGAGAAGGTAGTCGGACGGTCAAACCAGTCGTGAGACTAGGATAGTTGCAAGACTGGACGGGTCGTAAGACGGATATTCGTAAAACTGGGATAGTTGCAAGACTGGACGGGTCGTAAGACGGATATTCGTAAAACTGGGATAGTTGCAAGACTGGACGGGTCGTAAGACTGATATAGTTGTAAGACTGGGATACTCGCAAGACTGGACGGATCGTAAGATATTACTTGTAAGACGGGCACAGTTGAAGGAGCATCTGCCGTCGCCTGTCCCAGGCGTAAGACTCGAGAAGTCGTCAGAACGTAGTTCGACGATTGCCGAAGTTCCACGCTACCCTAATCATGAGCAAAGAAAAATCACCTAGGTATTTGGATATTACTAATATGTTGAAGAACCCAAGGCAGGTTTCGCAGTTCTCTCGTGCATTCATAAGTCTTTCTTGAGTCCTATGGAAACCAAAAATATAAATCGAGTAATGCATTACATCTGCTTTTTCGAACAGTGGTTTTGCACAATCTCGAATACAAAAAGTACATCAACTTCCACGACTACTTTTGTTGTCGCTATTTTGTGTCTCGATAGAGATAGCTAGAACTTACAAAAATTATATAGGTTGTGGTCTAAGCTCCCAGCTTGTAAAGACATATTCTAACCTTAATATGCTAGACAGTTTGTCTGTTACTCCGACGATTAGAAGAACAGGAACAGGCGCGTATATCGGTGAGCTAGAGCAGCCATAATCATATAGCCATTATGATTTGTCGGTACTGATTAGAGAGCGGAACCAGTAGTCATTAAGCGAGGTAATATCTACTGTCTGCAGGATTTCACGGTTTAGTCTCTTTATATTCTGTGTTGGACTGTCTAGAGCCTGAACACAGGGCTGCGCTTGGTTTTAAGTCTTTGGGATTGATCCTAGCAGATAACTGGTTTTATTTATCAGGCATTCGCTGTTGTGCCTACTTTTCTGCGTTGTTGATATATACTGCTGTATTCTTGTATGTCTCTTCTTGTGCAAGTCTTTAGAGTCTCGATCCGGAGCAGTAGACAAAATTTTAAGACGAGCATCTTTTCTGGCTATTAACTATCGACTGGCTCCCTGCGAACCAATCTGTATTTGCATCTTGACTATATCTGAGGCATCGATACTATGACCTCAGAAATATTAGTACTTTTCTTAGAGAAGCTCCGCCTGGGACGCTTTCCAAATATTTATAGCGATGGCATTATTTCTTACTACCGCTACTACTGTTATATCCGCTGTTAAATATTTCTCTTGTTCTGTCTGGTTGTCGTTCTTCACTATTCTTCGGCCATGGTTGACAATCATAAATAATATACAACCAGTGAACTGTTAGTTTGGGATTAACGGCCTGATTATATATTTTGAAAACTAACAAGCAAAGTGCTATTCTAAGAAGACCTGAGTTTCAGCGACTGAAGCTCCGCAGAGTGCTCTGCAGTATTCTTGGGGCGATTACTAGCCTAATAATAAAGAGTTTTGGCTATATCTTTCTTGTACTAATATGTTTAAAGCGACGTCCAGGTTGCCTGCTCAGACTTAGTTAATTTTCGATGTGTAATTAAAGCCTTCTACTTATAGCTAGGCTATTTCGCTTTATGTAGATGCAGGATCGTCGGTTTTATGTATTTAGATATTTTTCTGAGACTTAATTATTGAAGAATAGTAGTCTCGAATATCTGAATAGGATATTGATGTTCTATTGATTAAGACTAAGAAGCTATACACCAATATTCTTCAAGTAGTAGATATTTAGTAGCCGATTCGATTTTATTACTCTTGGCACATCGATTTTGGCTATTAATGTTGCAAAAAAATATGATTGAAGATATATTATCCCATTGAAGTAGGGTTTGAAACTTACAATCTCCTTCCCGATAACTGAGTTCGAATAAAGGGTTTTCCACATAACAGAAAGTCCCGAGTATCTAGATTTCGGGGAGATCTTGCTGCCAGTAAGTCTCCCTTCTATAATCTTTCGATCGAAATCAGACGCTCCTGTTGCGCCAAATGGTTGTTATTCTTAGCTGTGAAAATCGAAAGGCGAAAATCTATCGCTTACGTAATCAACGGGCCAACCCATTGCTAAGAAGACCGAGTATCAAAGAAATTGACAACAAATAAATAGATCACTTTTCACCTGCTCCTGCTGCTGCTGCTGCTCCTCCTCCTCCTCCTCCTCCCCAAACAGCCTCCGCAGGACCCGGCTCCCCATCCGCCGAAACCACCGGCTCCCCCGTCACCGGCCTCCGAGTCTCAACCACCTGGGCCTTCCGCGCCGCATTCTCCTGCAAGGCACGCATGTAGCGATCCGACTCGGCGGCGAACTTGCACTTCTGCCGGATCGATGCCCCGTACCGGTAAAAGAGAAACGGCGCTGGCATGCACAACAGACTCAGAAACGCGGGGATAGAGGGGGCCCAGTGGATGCCCGCGCCGCTGTACATGTAGGGGGCGATGATGGGGAAGATGGCCCCGAAGACGGAGCGGAGGACGGTGTTGGCGGCCAGCACGGAGGCGGCGTAGATGGTGTAGGAGTCGATGAGGTAGTTCATGACCCCCAGATAGATCAGGATGACGCCGAAACCGAAGGGGGCGGTGGCGATGATGCTGACGCTCCAGTGGATGGAGGGGGAGTCCGTCCAGGCGAACCAGAACTGGCTGATGGGGATGGCGAGGGCGCCGGGCATGCATTGCAGGAGGCGGGCCTCGGGGGGCGCGAACCCCCCGTGGCGGTCCTGGACCTTGATGAAGTGCAGGTTGGCGGGGATGGTGGCGCCGACGCCGACGATCATGCCTACCATGATCCCCAGGAAGGCGAGGCCGCCGACGCCCGGGTTCCAGCCGCGGATGTCCTCGTAGACGATCGGGAAGGCCGAGAAGAACATGTAGAGCGTGCCGTAGACGATGGCGATGTACAGGGCGAAGAGGAGGACGATCGGCTCGCGGAAGAGCAGGACCCAGGGGCGCGAGAGCGTGGTCTTCAGCAGGCGCGGCAGCGCGACGGCGCCCTTGTCCAGCTCGATCTTGCTGCGGTAGACCCGGCTGGTGAGCTGGGAGAGGCGCCGGGCGCGTTGCCGCAGGAGGACGGGCGCGTAGGTCTCCGGGATGAAGACGGCCATCAGGACCCAGATCAGGGCCGCCAGGAGCGCGAGGAAACCCTCCACCCAGCGCCAGCCGGCGCTCATCCCCAGGAATCCGCCGATGATGGGGCCCAGGGCGGGGCCCAGGAAGGGGGCGGCCGCGTACAGACTTAGGGCTAGGCCGCGCTGCCGCGCCGTGAACATGTCCGAGATCGTGCCTCCCGCGTTGGTGAAGGGCGAGGACCCGAAGGATCCGGCGAAGAATCGCAGGATGCACAGTGTCCAGATGTTTTGCGCTCCGGCGCACCCGGCTGAGAATGCGGTCATGGCGAAGAAGCTGACCATAAAGGGGGTTTGGCGACCGAAGACCTCGCTGACCGGCGCCCAGAAGATCGGGCCGACCGCAAACCCCAGCACGAAGAGCGCCAGGCCGATGGTCGCAACTTCTGAACTGACATGCAGATCTTCAACGATTTCCTTGATGCTGCCGCTGTAGGTGGAAGAGGTCAGGGCGACGGTCAAGGTGGAGAAGGCGACAATGAGAGTGATGGTGATTTTCCGCGCCGCGCTGAACAGCAGTGGGTTGCGGCAGTCGTTGGGAATCCAAGAGACCACATAGGGATCTTCCTCCGTGCCACTGCCGGGGTATTCAAATTCGAGGATCTCTTCGTTGATGGCGCCTTGGTCGAGGAGCATGCGCCAATGGGGGATCCGGGTGCGATAAACTCCCTTAGGAAGGGTACCTTTCTCGCGATGCTGTTCCAGATCCGCAATCATTTTAAGTTTGTTACTTGCGGACTGTATGCTTAGAAAGTGGTGCAGGAATTCACGTCATCATAGCATGGCTTCAGGCAATGCTACAGACCGTAGATCTACTTTCACTTCCAACGGACTGTCCGCATAGAGTGAAATTGTCTAAGACACCTGAGGGGGTGGGTGAGAACGGTCGGGCGACTCATTGCTTTTATCGTGCTGATGGCAGTCTGACTCGGTGCAAAACAAGACGGCAGAAGAAGAAAAAAAAAGCACTAACGGAATGGGTCTCTGCGGACCCACAGCCCCTCCCAATGAATGCACGAGAATGATAGTTCTCCTGCAGCATGACTCGGCCAATTACGGAGTAGATGGCTGAGAAATAGACTATTGAGGTGTACGTGTGATGAACTGCAAGACCCTGCGCATATTGCTGCAACCCATGTTGGTTCCTTAGATCCTATCGGCGCATATTTATGGGCAAATAGTCGGGGTGTTGTTGTACCGGGTATTCGGCACGGACTGGGGCTCGGGAGGGCAAAGACCCATCAGCCGTAGTGCCTTCTGCCGCTTACCGGGGGGCCAAAAACCTCGGCAAGGGTGGCTGATCAAATATCGTCGCGCATTTGCCAGGGCTAGGACATGATGGCGCGATCTGTGAGGGTGATGTGATGGGTGATAAGGGGTTCTGTTCCGGTCCACCTTTTATTGGAGGGATTGGCGTCAATCGTGACAAATCGAGTCAATGCGGGTTCCAGCCGAATCCTCAGCTGCCCTGTTGAGATCGATGGTAAGCGGGAAAGGGGTTAAGATAAGCTTCCCTCCCGTCCGCCCAAGGGTGTCCCTGGTGTCCCTTAAAGTCTCACTCACAGTCTATACGTGGCCCTTCTATGAATTCCGTCAGAATGACGGCAGTTTAAACACCACTGATGTTATTCTAGAGGGGTCAAAGCTGCTAAAGCTGTCAAAGCTCCCTCTTTTCTTACTACTCATGCAGCCATCAAGGTCGCTTAGCCAAGATAACCATGGTCGAGCGTCAAACATGGCTTCGACACTCTGCACAATATTGCTCAAGTCACTCCTAACATTTCATGCGATCGATTCTTGACCCAGCTATATCTCTTGAAAGAAGAAGATCTAGAACAAAGTGCCGTCCCCAGAGTTTAGGATGGGACTGGACTTAGTCTCCGGCCGCCTTTCCGCCGCCAGCTCCCGACCCGCTTTCCACGAGCCAGCCTCCAACATCTGAGGCAGCGTCAATCGAACATCTCTCAATTTCCCACTTCCCAGAATCCGCTTGTGCAGTTCGTCCAGCAAAGCCACCGTCATCGCTCGCCATTCGACAATCTCCCCATCTCCCACCGCGAAACACGGCAGCGCGGCCCCGGAGGTGCGCAGTCCGCGCTCCATCGCCCCTGGCTTGAGCGTCAAAACCGCCATGTCCACGAACAACCCTCCATTGCGATACTCGGGCAGGCCAGTTCCCAGCTCCGCATTCTTCCAGCTAATTTTCAGTATGCGCTCGAAGGGAACCTTGAGTGAGTAGGCCAGCCACTGCGTCAGCTTGTGGAAGGGCTGGATGGTGGCGGTCTCGGGGTCTGTCGCCGTGATCTGGGAGGATTCCGACAATACAGGCAGAGGCCATGCGTCGCCGATCGGGTGTCCGCGAACGCGGGTTCGGTCGGATGGCCAGATCGGGATCAAGGTCTGCTGCAGCACGGCCCAGAGCCGGGCGTAGTCGAGGTTCTCCGCGCCCGAGGAAAGGAGATGGTCTGCATTGGTCAGTGTACACCCGGGTCGACTACAAAGCATTGAGCTCACCAAGAAGCTGGCCAGGGCGACCGGACGGTCCAAATATCTCGGGGAGACTGGTTATTGACTGGCCCAGTCTTTGTAGAATCTCCACGCGTGCACCGGCTCCAACAAGCGGATTGCTTTGATCATCAACCTGGAACCCCTTGGTCAATACATCCACCGTCAGGCCTTTCAGCGCCTCCCCTGTTCAACAACATCAGTCAGCTTTGCTAGGTGTTAAAAGAAAGAGTGGAAGCCCACCATGCACGACATCCTTCCTCTCCGACCCCTGCTTGGCAAAGTCTCCGTTGAGGAACATATACAGTGAAGCGACCGCGATCCCCTCACTACGGTTATACACATTTCCCGTCTCCGGTTCGACGTACCGCCATGTATCGCCCGCTCCGGCGTCGAGGAGCACGGAGACGAAGAACAAATCCAACAGACTGCGCACCATCTCCTTGTCGTCATATCCGGCTTGGGTCCATCGCTCGAGAAGTTGCTGTAGTCGAGGCACCCCGCCGACTTCGAAGTGCTGCCAGCGACCGTGGGGAGGGATCTGATCGTATCGGTCGGGGCCGAAGTCGCGCTGTCAGAGATAATGTGTTAGGTTCTAGCTCTGTTGGGATTGCAAGTAGGACGTCGCACCGTTATGATGTTGACAACATAGTCCACGGTCGCGTCCAAGCGGTCGGGGTGATAATCGTAGTGGTGGAGCTTTCCTTGTTCGGCGAGGCTCAGGACAACACGGGCGCGATCGCGGACAGCTTCGAGACCGAGAAGTTGCTGAATGCTAGAATCCATGGTGGCTTTTGAACTGCAGTATCTGTGGTAGGCTCTTCGAAGGGTGTTCTGCTCAAGTGTATCTGCTCGAAAAGAGTCAAGAAGTTGTGTTGGAGGCAGGAGTAGGAAGGAGGGGAAAGAAACAACAACTCAGAGCGGGGAAAGGCGCTTATCATCCCTGTTCCTCGGCTGATACCGTCTATCTTATCTGATAGCACCACGCGATACAGCCTGTATCGCCAGCGCGGTTGTATATCGATACATTGCAAGTGTTCGTCTGTGATCCTGGAGCCAAGGCATCAGTGAATGGATATAAGCACAGTTTACCCCCACTGTCTCCGGACCACACATTTTCTTTGCATCTGAATTCACACCCGGCATCCTCCAGATTTCACCACCACCTCACCATGACCGTCACCCTCCCTGCCAATGTGCACCACGTGCACAACACCACCTTCACAGCCCTCCTCGAAAACCTCCGCCAACGCGGCCTCAAGCCCTCCGAGGTGCGCTCGCTGGTCCGTGAAATGACCACCGCTCTCTCCAAATCCGTCCATCTACGACACCACCGGCCCCGAAGAAACGGTAGCCGTGATCGTCGTCCTCCGTTCCGGGCTTGCCATGTTCGACGGTTTCATGGACAGCCTGCCCCAGAACCTCTCGACAGCAGTCTACCACCTGGGTATTTTCCGAGATCAGACGACGCTGCAGCCGGTGGAGTATTACAATAAACTGCCGCTCAAGCCGGCGCAGATCAAACAGGCGGTGGTGCTGGATCCGTTGATCGCGACGGGTGGGACGGCGGCGGCGGTTGTTGCGATCTTGCAGTGAGTTTCAATCCTTCCCTCTCTTTCGAGATCGGGTAGATAGTGGGAAGGCAATAATTGAGTGACTAATGAGTCATCGGCAGAGAATGGGGCCTGGAGAAGGTAACTTTCCTGTCCATGCTCTCCACGCCAACGGGGTTGTCTCACGCAGCCGGAGTGTGGCCGGAGGGGAGTCGCTTTGTGGTAGGCGCAGTAGATCCGGAGGTGAATGCGAAGGGATATATCCGGCCTGGGGTAGGAGATATCGGGGATCGGCTGTTTGGGACGGTGTTCTGATCTTAAGTAGAGATAGTCAAGCAAATAAAATTTACAAGACCAAGCGACCGATCACATTCAGTAGCAGAGTATTTGACCTGGAGTTTGCATTATACCAGCGGAAAATGTTCGACTCAGAAGACCCCCACCTGATGCGATGAATATACAACCCAACCCCATCCAACCATCCATGCAAGACATATCCAAATTCCAGCCTACGGACCCCCACAATGCATAGAAGAAGCACCCAAAATCCAAAAGCCCACGAAAGAGATACTACACTACTATAACCACGAGAACACCGACTGCCGCCTCCCACCTCGAAGCATACTCAGCACGTACCATAGTATCTATCCCCGAAGTCACCCAAGCCAGGGCTAATGTAGCTACAACCAGTCAGTACTCCTGTTTTGAAGGACCCCTCCCAAGGAAGCAGGAACACTCACTTCTGCGCCGTCAGATCCGCGTCCACCGCGGCCGACACGATCTTCAACGCAGGGAACCGGCCCGTGACCACCTCGAGCCCCTTCCGCGAGGAGACGACATTGACCAGCACGATCGACTCCTCCGGCACGCCATGCTCGGTCAGCGTCTCCACCGCCTTGATGACCGAGCCTCCGGTCGCGAGCATCGGCTCGAGAAGCAAGACCACTATACTCGCCTGGTTAGAACATCCCAAGACACAAAGCAAACCCGAAGACCAAGTAAACAGTTTCACGTACCATCATCGCGAATCCCCGCCGGCAACTTCGAATAATAACTCTTGGCGATACTCGTCTCCTCGTCGCGTTGGATGAGGAGCTTTCCGAAGCTCAGACGACCGCTACACGCCCCCCCCTACAATCAGCCTCCCATCTACCTCCACCACACACAAACCGAAAGCATGCCCGGAAGTGACTTACGTCCACGTATCCCGCAAAACCTGCTCCATACTCGCGCCGGCGCGCAGGATGCTCACGCCACAGACCCCCTTCGTGAAGCGCAGGCCCTTGTACGTGGTATCCAGCGGTGTGGTGACGGTATACTCCTCGGCGGGGACGTGGTTCAGCGCTGAGATTGAGGTACCCTCTCGCATTAGTTTCTTCGATTCCACCCGCCAGATGGAGAACACGTGACCATACCGGAAGAGATCAGACGGTGCACGACTTTCTCCACGGCGGAGACGAAGGCGCGGTCGTCGGTGTGCACGTCGCGGATGATGGTCATGAGGCTGAGCAGGGAGCGGTCCTGCTCGAGCACGGTGACGCGGTCCATTGGGGGGTTGGGAAGTGCCGAGGTGGTTCCGGCAGTTGGGGTGGACATTTGGTGGAGGCTTTAGAGTTTGATGAAAATGTATTGGATTGGGTGTACGGTACTAAATGTGCCGGGTTTGCGGGGTGTTGGAGATGGGAGAATTGGCGAAACTTCGTGGAAGGGAGGAGAGAAGAGGTTTAGCAGTGGAATACCGCGATTTATATCCAGATTGGTGTAGCGGGGTACAGTACTTGGCTTGGTGGTGAGTGAAGAGGGGTACGTACAATGCAGTGCTGTGAATGATGCGTGCGTGGGCGGAAGAAGGCGGAGAAGAAAATTCACACGGAGGGTGGCTTGGCACGCGGCAGTTAACTGTGGTTGATAAGGCGGATCTAATCTTATCGCTGTCCTGGTTTCGACTGGGGCCTGCTTGTCAGGGGAGGAGGGTGAAGAGGGAGCTATGTTCTGTGGATGTCAAGGAGTAGCAGTTTTATACATACCTAGTACTTGAAGTCGGCCCTTGAAGGTGGGAGTTGTCAGTCTCATCTATGTCTGTCGCGTGACCTGAAGATCGGAACACCAGTTGTCGGCCATACAGCAACAGTCTTTCGATACGAAGGCACATCTACGGAACCAGAGTTTTACGTCCATGTCACCTTATTCGTGTCTGGCAGCATGATGCACAGGTCGAGTCAAAATTGCTTATCTCAAGTCAGTCTCATAGGTCTGCGCCATGCCCAGCTACTCGAGGCTACTAGCTCCCCCATGAAATGGATTGGTCGCCCTGTCTGTTTGTCAAGACTAGGATAAACCCAACGGTCGCATAGATCTGTGTACAGTATGAAGTACACTGCATGAATCCAGTATCCACCTATAATGGCCCCTCTTAATCTCATGACCCCAATCCACAAAGAGCAATGAGCTAAACCCACTACAGACCTGCTTATCAGCGATCTCACACAAAGCGGGGAAATCCCTTATCGCGCAACTCCTCGGGGGATCCCGACCTGCCCTGAGAACTGATAAGCCGCCATGAACCCCAACATCCAGAGATAATCAATCTATCGTCTATCTTCCCTCCCACTCCGCCTCAATCTCCTTCCCCGGTGAACGGATACCACAAGCTGTACTGTCTGATATGCCGCGAATCTCGACCAAATCGTCGAATCGGGCGGCGCGGTTCGCCCCCTTCCCCTCGGGATCGCCCACTCCGAGCGACGATACGGTCGTCTCCAGCGAGCGGGCCTCCCGCCGCAGCTCAGACGTAGGTGGACTTCCTTTCGATAAGCCCTACACGGACAACGCCCGATTGACGTTGGAGTTAGACCCGCTCGCGGAGGAGTAGCACGCGGTCTAGTCATGTCGAGGACGCCACACCCCGTGGGGAGAGCTCGGAATTGGACAATGGTGGTGACGGTGATGACGATGGGTCCGAGACTCCGGTCTCGCCGGCGCCTCCGACCGTGACGCATCTCTTCATCAACAACGAGCATGTCATGTCCAAGTCGCAGAGCTGGAGCAATGTACTGGATCCGGTCAGAGATTTTTTTTCCCCTCGAAATTGTCCTGTTTCTGTATTCGCTGACCCCAGTTCCAGGTCTCGCAAAGCTTACTATGTAGGGTGCCTGGAAGTACGCTGCAGGAAGTCCAGAGCGCCGTTCAGGCGGCACAGGATGCTCAGCCCGCCTGGGCGGCGTTGGGGTTCCAGGTGCGGCGGGAGCGGCTGTTGAAACTGGTGGATGTCCTTAGGCAAATGTCGCCGGAAATAGTAGGACTCCTTCCATCCAAGACTCAACGCCAGAAAGAACACCAGGTAGCTGATTCAGACTGGCCGTAGGTGACCTGTCTATCCCGTGAGGTGGGGAAAACTCTAGCCGACGCCGACGCCGAAGTCTTCCGTGGGCTGGACTGCATCCACGCGGCCTGCTCCGTCGGGCCCGAAATGGCGGGCATGTTTCTCGGAGGCGATGCCACCTTGCTGCAGACTTTCTACGAGCCGGTGGTCAGTGCTGACTTTTGACTGCATTGAACTGAAAACACAGTTTAGGTTGTGCAATGCTGATTCAGAACCCGCAGGGCGTCTGCGTCTCCATCACCCCGTTCAGCTTCCCGTTCATGATCCCCCTCTGGTCGTTGCCCTATGCTCTGATCACAGGCAACACGGTGGTGTTGAAGCCCTCCGAAAAGACACCATCGACATCCGCCTTACTCGCCGAGGCCTTCCTCAAGACCGGCTTCCCGCCCGGGGTGTTCAACGTCCTCCACGGCGGCCCGTCGACCGTGCAGATGCTGATCCACCAGCCCGCCGTCCAGGCCATCAGCTTCGTCGGCTCGGAGCCCGCCGCGCGCCAGGTCCACGACCTTGCGCGCGCGGCCGGAAAACGCATCCAGGCCGAGTGCGGCGGCAAGAACCACGGCGTCATCCTCGAGGACGCCAACATGACCTCCACGCTCTTCGCCATTGCCGGCAGTGCCTTCGGGGCGGCCGGCCAGCGGTGCATGGCGCTCAGCGTGGCTGTCTTCGTGGGCAGTACGCGCGAGTGGATCCCTCGACTGGTCGAGCTGGCCGAGTCGATGGTCGTGGGCTGTGGGGGCGACCAGGAGTCCAAGATCGGGCCCCTGATCGACGAGGCGGCCGTCAAGCGGGTCGGCGGCGTCATCCAACGTGCGGTCCAGGAGCAAGCCCGCGTGCTTCTGGACGGTCGTCAGATCCAGGTTCCCGGTTACCCGGATGGCAATTTCATGGGGCCGACGATCCTGACTGAGGTGGAGACGTACATGGAGTGCTACCAGTCGGAGATCTTCGGGCCGGTACTCATCTGTATGGAGGTCGAGACGCTGGAGGAAGCGATGGAGCTCATCAATCGGAATAAATGTGAGTTGACTGGTCACCTCAACGCTATTAAAGCCGGTGGGCTGATCCTGGTCGCGTAGATGGCAATGCATGTTCCATTTTCACCACCAGTGGTAAACATGCCAATACATTTCAGCGCGGCGTCAACATTGGGCAGATTGGGGTCAACATCCCGTTGATAGGTAAGTTGTTAGCTTTGCTCGTGTATGGTAGCATACTAAAGGATATGTAGCCCCGTATGGTACTGCAGTTCGGACGAGTAACAAGGATTCGTTCCTTGGAGGTAGGGATCTTTCTTCCTCTCTATCCGGAGCGCGCGCACCGTGCTGACTACCTCAGACCGACACGCTCCTGGGAAAACCTACTGGCCGTTCTTCACCACGACCAAGACCGTGTCATCGCGCTGGGAGCAGTAGAATAGTGGAGTTGTGGCTGAACGGTCAATTGTCGGGGAAAGTGACTTTGGTCACTTGATCATCAAGTGGACAGCAAAATAGCAGCAGGACGCTGAAGGAAGATAGGCTGGAAGTGATCTAGTCTGGTACGTGTAGTAGCACTACAGTGGCATATCGAGTCACTGAAGGAGCAGTCCGTACAGTCTGTACATGCATGGAGAGTGCATTAGATGAGTCAAGAGGAACCCAAAAAGGAATGCCATCCGAGATGCCCCGAGGTGAGGCTGCGCGCCGTGGCTGAGTCAGATTGTTAGACGACGTCATCTTTCCTTGTCCGCTCTGCCAAGACATCGTATTTAAACCCAGCCAGCACCGCATTCCATAACACAACCACTTCTTACCAATTCACAATCACAATTAACCAGTAAATCAACTCATGTGAGACGGCTTCTTCCCTCACAGCACCTCATCATGCCCACCCTCAACGAGGTCCGCCAGTCCAACGCGACCCTCTCCACCAGCCGGCCCGAACTGATCGCCGTCTTCGTCGGCGGCACCAGCGGCATCGGCGAAGCAACCGCCAAGCAACTGGCCCAGTCCGTGAAGCAGCCCACCATCCACGTTGTGGGCCGCAGCGCTGCATCGGGCTCGCGCGTTCTGGAGGAGCTCCGCGCCGCCAACCCCGACGGCAAGTTCCACTTCATCCAGGCCGACCTGTCCCTGCTGCGCAATGTCGACACCGCCTGCGAGCAGATCAAGGAGAAGGAGAAGTCCATCGACCTGCTCTTCCTGTCGACGGGCCATCTGGCTATGTCTAAGAATGGTACTTGCCTACCCAAGGCCCCCTTGACAACTCAAAATCTCCAATCTAAAACCCTCTAGAAACCGAAGAAGGCCTAGACGACAACCACGTCCTACGCTACTACGGCCGGATGCGCTTCATCCACAACCTCCTGCCCCTGCTGGAGAACTCCTCGGGCGCGCCGCGAGTCGTGTCCGTGCTGGCCGCAGGGCAGGAGGGCCACGTGGACGAGCACAACCTCGACCTGCGGCAATCGTGGTCCTTCCGCAAGGCGGCGACCTACGCGGCGACGCTCAACTCGCTGGCGCTCGAGCACCTGGCCGCGGCGCACCCGACGGTGGGCTTCGCGCACGTCTTCCCGGGGATCGTGCGCACCCCGCTCATGCAGTCCACCTTTGGGAACTGGGCCGGCGCCGTGCTGGGTGTGCTCTCGCGGCCGCTGTCCATGACGCCCGAGGAGAGCGGCCAGCGCAACATGTTCATCGCCACCTCCGCGGCGTATCCGGCCGCCAAGCCCCGGGATGCGTCGGGGTATGTGGGGACGCCGTTGGCGGAGGGGCTGCGCACGGCGGTCGCGTCGACGGGGCAGGTCGGCGCGGGCTCGTATATCCTGAATTACGACGGGAAGAATGCGACCAAGGAGAAGTTGATGGCCGAGTATCGCGAGCGCGGGTTGGCTGGGAAGGTGTGGGAGCACACGTTGGAGACTTTCCGGCGGGTGTTGCAGAGGGACTGAGTCTGTTTCAATTGGTGTATAAGTAGGTGGCTTGTAATGAGTATCTTTTTTTTGACGATGCAGTGTGTCATGCGACAAATCAAAATGTGCCTTAGTATAGGTGTATGCATCTCCACTAAATTGAAGGCAAACCACACGCCACGCATACAACCCCAATCCCAACCCTAACCCAGCAACCTCTCCGCATTCCCGAAATAAATCCCATCCCGCAACTCCTCGTCCATGGCATACTCATCCAAGTATTCCCGATACCCAGCCACTTTATCCGCATTCGCATACGGAAAATCCGATCCTATACTCCATATTAGCATTCCCCTCAGCCCAAACCCCCCCCCCCCCCCCCCCACCCAAAACACCCCGCAGGAACCAAACACCAAAGGCCCGGGAACATGCCAACATACCATAAACCACCCTCCCCGGCTCCACCATCCCCAGCACCAACCCCAAAACCCCGGGTGTCCCCACCAACGCCAAATCATAATAAAACGAGCGCACCCCCTCCATCCACTCCGCGTACGTCTTCCCATACACCGTCATATTTGGATGCTGCACCGCTCCCGCCGTCACCGCGATCCGGGAAATCAGAAACGGGAGGGTGCCCCCCGCATGCGAGAGGATGCGCGTCACGTCCGGAAAGGCCCGGGTGACGTTGCCCATGATTATGTCGATGGCGGCGCGGGTGGTCTCGGCCGGGAAGTCCAGCATCGGCGGCGGGAGGACGGGGTTGATCCACTCGTTGCAGGCGGCGGTGGTCGGGTGGATGAAGGCGACGGCGCGGCGGGTGTTCAGGGCTGACCACAGGGGCTGGAAGGAGGGGTGCCCTAGGTATGTGTTGTCGGGGCCGTAGCGCGTGAAGAGGGTGACGCCGTCAGCGTGGAGGGTGTCGAGGGCATAGGTGAGTTCGGCGAGGGTGCCGGTGGGGTCGTCGAGGGGGGAGGGGAGGGAGGCGAAGAAGCCTAGCTTGCTGGGGTGGGCGGCGACCAGGCCGGCGGCGTACTCGTTGGCGCGGCGGGCCAGTTGGCGGATGGCCGTTGTGTTGGGCCCGGCGATGGTGGGGCCCGGGGTGGTTAGGGACAGGTAGGCTTTGCGGACGTTGTTGGTTTCCAGGTGGTCGAGGGTCGTTTGCAGGGTCCAGTTTGGCGTGGGGATGCCGGCTGGGTCGCCGCCCGCTGTGTCGATTGCTGGAGGTGGGGGTTGGGAGTTAGGGTTGATGGTTGATGGGGGGGTTGAGGGGAAGGGGGGGAGTTACTGCACCTTCGCGGTAGAAGTCGGGGATGAAGTGGTGGTGGGTGTCGATTTTGAGGGGGAGGGTCGTGGCATTTGTAAGGGATGGGGCTTCTGAGCGCTGGCTCAGCCTGCTGAGGCTGAGGGCTCCTGTCAGGCCTGCTAGAATAGTGCCTATGCCCAACATGGTGAATGATATGATGGCTTCGGGTTAGGGTGGGTGAACAAGCCAGCCACTGTCGGTCGCGGGGAAGGCTCTTGATTTAACACCTCGGATTGCACAAGTAGGGGCTGGACTGCCCGCATCAAGCGGTCTGTCCCATAGCTGCTGTGCAGGAGGCGTCATCCCTTGCATTCAGCTATGTTTGCTCCGCTTGCTGTGGGTGAGCGCTTTCTCGGGGCTCTGTCAGAGAGACACGGGCTCAGCTGTATTATAGCATTGGTTAAGGGCTTTGGAGCCGCATACTGATATGTGCTGTTCAGTACTATTTCTTTTGCTGCTGCCGGTACTGTCATCAATCCACATGTCACTTTGTATCGTTGCCCTATGGAAAACGCACCCCTTCTTTAGGCACAGCAGTCCATGAAGATGAGCCAGCTCGAGACGAGTCTCCACACTCCCTTTGTCCTCTTCTGACCCCGGATACGTTACCTTTTCCCCGCAATATCAAATTGCCCCATAACCTACGCGAAGCCTCCCCACCACCGGCCTCAGTACCTGCAAGTCACTCCCCGTTGCCGAGCCACGTTGCACCGGCGCGTCGAACGTCTTAGGAATCTCAATCGGGTTCATTCCGCCCGCGAAGGTGAGGAGGTTCGCGAACCGCATGTTCTTCGCGGCGTCGTAGAGGCTGTTAGCCACTTTCGTATCATCTATCATCCACTGATGACGGGGCGGAGATTCGTCCGACAGCTAACCATACTTGTTTCGCTTTGAGCCTTTCCGCCTCGGATGCAACACAAGCATTCCTACGAGCATTTTCAAACCTGCTTGCCCTTCTTAGTCCAAATCATCAATAATCTTCCTCCCAATCTCCCGCGCAGCCAAGCCGCGCAGCGTGCGCTCGCGCAGTCGTTCCCCGAAGCCCATCAGTCCCACAACAATGGTGAAAGCGAAGATCGAAAAGAAGGCCATCATCCCATAGACCCAACCGAAGCCCACGCGCGCCACCCACTGATCGATGAAGAAGGGGATCACCAGCCCCAGGGAGAGGCGATAGGCGCCCATGAAGGCGGCCACCTCGGTGGGCTGCGCGGCGACGCACTCGATTGCGTACGTCACCGCGACAGGCACGGAGCTCATCGAGGCGAACGTGATGAGGTAGGCGCCCAGCGCCAGCACCATGTAGTGCAGGTGGTACTGCAGGGCGGCGCCGACGATGCCCAGGCCGATGGGGAGAAGGACGAGAGAAGGGATCCAGAGCGTGTGGAGCCGGCACTCGGGCTTCCAGACCCCTTTGTTCCGGGTGCGGCAGACCCAAAGCGCGATGCGGTCGTTGCACAGGTAGCCCCAGAGTTCGGCGGTGAGGAGACCGGCCCACAGGGAGAAGATGACTGTTTTTGGTTGGGTGTTAGGTAATGACTAAATGGTGGAGTGATTGGGGATGCATACAGAAGGCATTCCGCTGAGCGGTAAACCCCCATCCGCCGACGGTCACGGGCTTCTCGAGCCAGACGGTGATGAGACTGTGGGTCGCCACGAACCAGCCGAAGGAGGCGAATTGGAACAGACCGATCATCAGGCCGATGGGGGAGAGGCCGATCCGGAAGGGTAGCCATGCGATACGTCTCTGTGAGAGGCTGTATTAGAGAACGCATTCTCTAGGACAGCGGGGGAAGAATCATACCAACTCAGAGCGACCGATTCCAGTTGGATGTGGAAGCAACGTGGCCATCCGATTAGCCCAGAAGGACGAAGGCTTCTGGCTCGGCCCTGCCGTCCCGTCGCGTGGGTAGCTGGTGTCTTCGAGGAAGCATAACGCTGCACAGGCGGAAATCAGCCCTCATCCACATGGTATACATTGAAACTTAGGTGGAGATGCGACGCACCTAGCACAAGCACAATACCCTGTGCAATCACCACCCATTAGAATACCCACGGCCAATCGGTATGCTGCACGATGAAGCCTCCAAAGGTCGGGCCAGCCACGGTGCCGAAAAGAAAGGAGACATGGAAGGCCGCGTAGGCCTTGCCGCGCTCATGCAGGAAGAACATCTCGTACACAGACCCGACTCCGAGGATGGACGGGATGGATCCGAAAATCCCATCAAACAGACGAGACGCCACGAAGCGTTCATAGTCGCCTCGGCCGGTCATGTTGGCGGACCAGATGGCGCATGCCATGGCGAAGAGAAGACACCAGAAGATGATCGCGGTTCGACCGAAGGCATGGGCAAGGGGGTTGATCAGGAGCGGTCCGTAGGCGATACCGGCGATGGAGGCGGACAAGGTGTATGTGACTTCTATAACCGCCTTGTCCCAGTTCTGGGCCTCCTCTTCCTGGGCCAACTGATTCGCCAGGTCCAGTGCGGTGCCCGCAAACCCAGCCATGCAGAGGATGACCAGGTTCTTTAGCTTTCGAGTCTTGGTCCAGTTCTGTGATGCCGTCGGCACATGTGTAAGCAACGGCTCACGGGCAACAGAGGAACAGAGCTTGAGCATACCAGTGGATCTTCAGGGTCTTGTGACGGTTGGGGAACGAGAATCACCCCATTCTGCGTTTTTGGATTAGGATCTGATTCGGCCACAATACCCAATTCCTCCAGTTGAGGCTTGACAACGACGGGGTATTCAGCCATTATGTGCGGTCACCCAGGGGGATCTCTCCTGTGCCAGTGTTCGCAGAGAGGACAGATGAGGGGAGGGTTAGAAAAAAAAGAAGAAGAAAGAAAGTGGACAATGATTAAGGAGTGGTTTTGCAATTGCGGGACAGGACATTGGAACCACTGCGGCTAATTGAGATTGCATATGATTAGTGCTTATTGATAGGCATATTGATCCTTGTACTGGGCTGCATTAGTGAATGCTAGCACAAGTTACTAGATGCAGGCTGGCTAATACTGCTTTTTTGATCTCTGTGTATACTTTCGGGCTAAATGGTGTATTCTTGTGGACGATGCTATGACATCCCTGCAAGGAGGGTCGGATCCATGGAGCTATGGGAAATGACTTGATTCAGATAGTTATTGAAACTGGCCGAGGATTGCCTGGTGTCAAATAGACCATATAAGCATACAATATTTGTTCCGATAGTAGTCTGTTGCCACAATGACTTCAATATTTATTCATCATGGCACTGACACTGACTGGAGTCTACAACGCGAGGCAGCTCCAGATAGTGGTTATTAATAGTGTTCTCGTGTTCTTGTCACTGACTTCCGTGTCGTGGCGATTCTGGGCACGAAAACTGCAAGGACTGAAACCATTCCTGGAGGACTACCTGACAGTTGTTGCCTTGGTATGTGATTCTCTCCTCAGAATCATAGAGAGCCAAGGTTGACCGACATGGATGCAGGCGCTGTCCTTGGGAGTAAACATCCTTCTCTTTCAAAGTGAGTCAACACCTCTCGTTTATACCAGCAAGGATTCTCTAACATGAATATCTAGGTCTTCATGCCGGCGTGGGTGAGCATGTTGACTCCCTGACAACTGCGACCGTACAGAATTACTCCCTGGTATGTGGTCCAGTTGCTCCCAGTATCCTACATGTTACTGACCTGACTGCGCGAGCACATAGAACCTGTACATGATGCAACTATTCTGGAACACCTGCCTTCCTGTCATCAAGCTGTCCATTGCCCTCTTCTACCAACGCATATTCCCCGTCCGATCCATGGTCATTGCCTGTCGCTCCATCATCGTCTTTCTATTCGCTTGGTACCTCGCTTTCCAGACCACAGCCATCTTCCAATGCACACCGATCCACCACGCGTGGCGAAAGAAAACCACGCAGGGGAGATGTATCGACTTCGTTCCCTTTGTGATCACGTTGGCTGCGACAAACCTGTGTACGGATTGAACCCTCCTCGCCCTGCCCACCCGCGAAATTTGGAAGCTTCAGGTCGCGCAAGGGAAGAAAATCGGATTGTCGGTCATTTTCACTCTGGGTGTTATGTCTGCTCCCCACCCTCCAGCAAAGTCGTCTCTTTTGTTTTGATTGGTATGACATAGATACTAATAAGTACCTTTGCCTACCAGTGTCTGTACTATCTCGGTTGTACGGCTCGAAAATCTCATCGCAATCAGCAACGCGGACATCACGTGTGAGACAAACCCCTTGTGTATTCATTCTGACTTGTCAACCACCCGCATCGAACACAGCAAATATCGATTCCTGAAATTGCTAGGGTCCGATACATATTCCCATCTGTGGACGGCGATCGAAAGCAGCCTAGGGGTGGTGGTGGCGTGTCTTCCGAGTCTGATGCCCATTGTGCGCCTGATCCGCCATGGGCAGGGGTGGAGAGGGGGCCCGCACAGCAAATCTTTTCCTGGTGCCGGTCGGGGTTTGTCTTCCTACCCCAGTAGTCATTTGCAGGGGTCGTACGAGCTGTCGCAATTATCCCACTCCAATCGCCTTAGCTCAGGGCCGGGTCGGCCACGGCTCCGCGCCGGCAGCAGTGGTTCGGCCTTGATCGAGAAATTTATGGGGGAGATGGAGGTCACCAGTGAGATGGCGCAGCTGGCGGAGTCAAGTCCTACTCGTACTTAGTCTTGAGAACTAGACTAGGGGGTCGGAACGGATGTGTCATGTTGAATGTGGGTTGGGCTCCTGCTCCGATTAGTCTGAAATAGCACGAGCCGATGTTGGGGGGGGGGCCCAATCTCGTTTGATGATGGCAGTGGCAGGATTCGGATCCCTGCCTTAACTCGGTCACTCTTTTTTCCAAGAAGCTGTGGCATGCTCATAAGGATTTCACAGGAGACATTCGTTGCGCGAGCTCACTTGCTTGAAAGTAAGACGGATGTGAACTGATGTTTTAGGGCTAGCGCACTGCCATTTGAGGCAACGATGACTTCATTCTTTCCCCTAACTGCCAGAAGTGTCATGACAGCTCGATAAATGACAAGCTTTGTTCCCGCGGGAAAACGCCGCTAAGTCTGCTTAGCATACGTAAGGCTTTCCTTAGCCTGACCGGCTAAAAGCTTAGTGCTGCGCCGCGGGGTTTGCTGCCCCCTGCCCTGTCAGAGTGTCTCGATGCCCTTCTCTGCCTTGGCTCAGGTGCTTCGCTCCTCCGACTGACCCCTCAGACATTTTTGTGACAGACAAGCCTACCATCACTGACTTCCTTGACTCACAGGCTCCCATCGACAACCAGCCATGGCGATCCCTCAACCCCTCGACGGCCCCGTGCGCATCGCCATCATCGGCGGCGGCATCGCCGGCCTGACGCTCCTCCTGGCCCTCTTGAAGCACACCTCCCGTGACATCCTCCAGCCGCACTTGTACGAAGTCGCCCCGGCGTTTTCCGAGATCGGCGCCGGGATCGCCTTCGGGTCCAACTCCCTGCGCGCGATGGGGCTCATCGACCCGGAGATGATAGCCACCTACAACAAGCACGCCACCGTGCAGCCGGACGAAGGCGAGCGCGAGCGGAAGCTCTGGTCCAGCTACCGGATGGGGATGGACGGCCAACGGCGTCCGACCAACACCCTCAAGGCCGGGGACCATATCCACGAGACGCGCGCCTCGGTGGCCCGGAGCAGCGTTCACCGCGCGCGGTTCCTCGAGGGGATGACCGAGCTTCTCCCAAAGGGAGCGCAGGAGAGTTATGTCTCCTTCGGAAAGCGACTCGTCTCTTTGGAAGAGAACCCCGACGCGGGCGTGACGGCCCGGTTCGCGGACGGCACCGCCGCGACGGTGGACGCGGTCGTCGGCTGCGACGGGATCAGGTCCCGCGTCCGCCAGATCTTGCTCGCCGGCGAGGCGGAGGCCGAGCCCGTCTTCACGGGCAAATACGCCTACCGGGGCCTGATCCCCATGGAGGAGGCGGTCGCCGCGCTGGGCGAGTACACGGCCCGCAACAACCATTTCCACTGGGGGTATGACGGGCACGTCCTGACCTTCCCCATCGAGAAGGGGCAGACGATGAACGTGGTGGCGTTCCGCACCAAGGCGGACGGGGTCTGGGAGCATGGCGCGCAGTGGGTGTTGCCGGGGAATAAGGCGCACATGCTGCGGGACTTCGCGGGCTGGGGCCCGGATGTGCAGGCCATTTTGTCCTTGATGCGCAATGCCGATATCTGGGCCATGTTCGACCACGCCCCCGCGCGGACTTACTACAGAGATGGGCGGATCTGTGTTATTGGGGATGCGGCGCATGCGAGCACCCCGCATCAGGGGGCCGGGGCAGGCATGGCGATTGAGGACGTCTTCGTCCTGTCCCGGTTGTTGAAGGAGGTTCGGGACCGGCATCAGCTGGGCCGCGCATTTGCGGCGTATGATGCGGTGCGGAGACCGCGCACCCGGAGGCTGGTCCGCACGAGTCGGGATGCGGGTCTGTTGTACGAGTGTCAGAAGCCTGGGGTGAAGGATGATCTTGAAAGAATTCGGCAGGATCTGGACGAGCGGATGCATTGGATCTGGGACTTGGACCTCGAGGCTCACCTTGCAGAGGCATTGGATGTCTTTTATCGAGGAGTGTAGACTTTGATTCCAGATATTGGTCGAGGGTTTCGGTTGTAACAATGGCAACTTGTGTCCCTTGGTAGGCTTCAATGACTGTAGCCCGGGAGTTTCAATATGAGCCCTTTTGCAACCAGACCTGATGACCTGTAGAGCGGAAGCTTAAAATCTAAGTCCATTTCCTGGTGGATCCGATTTCAAGTTCATCATGTAACGTGGCCAGCAATACAAGATTTCCCTGTACTCCTTCCCAGGCAATGAGGAAGTAGAAGGCTTGATCTATTGCATAATCCTGACTGCAAAACAGGTCAGATGGCAGTTGTGGTCGTCTAATCCGCATCACATGGCGCTGGATCAGTAATCGGCCGTGGTTGGTCGCACAGGGGCATCTCTCGCCCTGATCATGTTATATGTGCTTCCAACTCCACTACCGTGGACGACTCTTTTCAATTGTGTAGCAAGCCCATCGGTGCGCTTTACCTAAAACAATGCGGGCTTTGCAATTCTCCTGGTCGCTTCTAATCCTCCAAGCCGCATCATGCCTACAAGCCACTCATGCACGCCCTGATGCATGGACAAGGTCCAATTCGTCTTGGCCCGTATCGCAACAGAGCATCATCCGAGATGTAGTCATCATCGGCGGTGGCTCAGCCGGAACATACGCCGCAATCCGTCTACGCCAGATGAACTATAGCGTCGTCGTCATCGAGAAGGAGGATCATCTTGGGGGGCACGTCAACACGTACACCGAGCCGACGACGGGCATTGCCGCCGACTACGGAGTGCTATACTTCGAAGATAAGCCCTGGGTCCGCGACTACTTTGCTTATGTCCACGTCCCGGTGGTCAAGGTCTCCGTTCTGGGGCAAGGCGTGATGCGCCGTGTCGATATGCGAACCGGGGCCTCCGTGCCCCTCTCAGATGGAACCACGATCCCCGCGATGGCGGCGTATGCGGCGCAGTTACTGAAATATCCTTATCTCAACACCGGGTTTAACCTTCCCGACCCCGTCCCGGAAGACCTCCTGCTCCCCTTTGGCGAGTTCATCAGGAAATACAGGCTGGACGGGGCAGTGGACATTATTGCGCTATTTAACCAAGGCGTCGGAGACCTGCTGCAGCAGCTCACCCTCTACATGATGAAGTACTTCAGCCTGGGTGTGCTTCGAGACGCGATCGGAGGGTTTCTCCAGCCCGCCAGCCACAACAACAGTGAACTCTACGGCGCAGCGCAGCGAGAGCTGGGGGGCGACGCACTACTCAGCAGCACTGTTACCGCCACAAACCGTGACGACGGGGGAGAGGGAGGGGAGGACGACTGGATCCATCTGCAAACGCGCACTCCCACCGGGGAGCAGACAATCCAGGCCAAGAAGCTGATCGTCGCCATCCAGCCCAAGCTCGAGAATCTGGCCGCGATCGACCTCGATCCGACCGAGCGGGACCTCTTCGGCCAGTTCCACAACACCAACTACTACACCTCTCTTGCCCATGTCCCCGGACTCCCCGTGGGCTCTCTGATTCTGAATCGTGCAACAGATACCCCGTACCATCTACCGCCGCAGCCAGCGGTCTATGTCATGAGACCGACCCAGTGTCCCAACCTGACCTCCATCCTGTACGGGAGCGTGGATCATATGAGCGAGGAGGAGGTCAAAAGGCATATGACGCAGAGCGTGTTGCAATTGAGGCATGGGGGTATTCCGGTCCAGGCGCCGGAGTTTGTGGCTTACTCCGATCATGTTCCGTTCTTGTTGACCGTCTCGGCGGATGCGATTCGCGGGGGCTTCTATCGGGAGTTGAACGCCTTGCAGGGGCGTCGCAATACGTACTACATGTCTGCGTCGCTCAATACCCATGACTCGGCGGAGATTTGGCGCTTCATTGATCAGATGTTGAGGACGCATTTCTTGCAACCGGAGGAATAGATCCCATGTCGGTGTATCGTCCTCTCCATGAAGATTTCATTCTCGCGAATCCATATATGCGTCCCACTCAGAGCCCTTATGCCATTACAAAATGAACGACTAATGAAGGTACGGTACGTGAGCTGGGATTTTTAATGGATAGCGTAAGAACCTTTATCTAAAATGTTTCCCACTGTCGCTCTGCTGCATTGCTGAAGAGACGGGGCGGTAATTTCGATACCTAGCAGCTGAGCGGAGTGGATGTCTTCCGAGGGCTGGGATGCGGGTCTCGCATATGACCAGTGTTCCCTTGCCAATATTGAGTGTATTCATGTAATGTTCTTTTCTATGCCTCACACATCTCACTGGCCTCGATGTAGTTGATCCGAGCGCGTCCGATGATACTGGCTCGTGAGCAGCGGACGACTTTCGTGGCACTACACCGTCATCGACATCGATGCCTTGTGATTACCTGTCACACACCAGACATCGGTAACGTCGCACTGCCAAGCTGAGCAGCGGCTCTAGGACATCATATCTGCTGTAGCAATGTGACAGCAGTTTAGTCAACTGACCTACAGCCCCTGGGTTTATGCATCTGTTGTCAGGTCGTGTTGTTCCCTTTGGATCGATATTTGTGACGTCAAACCCCAGTCCCGCTTAGTTTCTCCCCGCTCTACGCGTAGACTTAGTCATTTTCTCAAGCCCCGATCATCAAGTTCGAGCGATTTGGTTTCCCGTTCTCCTTGCCGCATCATATCCAGGGAACCAACGACAGATCAAGAATCTTGGTTCCATCGGGATAGAGCCGAGATCTATCGCGAATGAGATCCCGACCGCCGCCCGTGCACTGATGCATCTGGTTAGAGTCTGCGGGTAAGCCGGTCCAGCCACGGGCGCGCTCACTTGGCCTGTGCCATGCAACGATGCCTGAGCCAATGAACGCCTGGGGTTGCGCTTGGTGGGCAAGAGGCTGTCTAAAAGGCCATACCCACAAGAAGCGTCTGATTTAGGGGCCAGGTAATAAGGCCAACGTTTCGCAAGGACAATGGAATAATACAAAGGCAGCTAGCTATACGAGAAACATATCGAAAGTAACCCCTGTTTCTTCATTGTTGATTTCGATGTATTTTGGAGGGTCCAGCCACCCTGTGACGTGATACTACCCGGCACTACAGCCAGTACATGGAATCTGCTCCCTGTTTCCGAGTTCGGTCTATGCAGCCGTCAGCGGAAATGGACTTTTGGCACACACGGGGTGCGTGCTAGATACTAGTAAATTGACACCAACGAAATAAGCAACTAAAGGGTCATCAAATTCCCCAACAATGATTAGGGCATGAGTGAAGACTCAATCATCCTTGAGTGGGGTTGGGCTCAATTCGCCTCTATCACGATGCTAACGTACCCTCATTACACATAAGTCCGTGGCCGCTGTACTAGGTAGGGTAGTACTTGATAGTATGGCCGGCTGTCCCGGTCGGCCCGAAGGCGAGAGCCACCGCATAGAGCTGATGCGGCCGCGGAAGGCTGGAGCAGTGTTGGCAAGAAGGCGACGTGGGTGCTTCCTCACCCTAGGGCTGTGAGGCTACTACTACTCCGTCAACCGGAGTTAGCTGGACTAGTAGTATGATCATGGCGCATTGGGAGGCTGGGCGAACGCGGGCGTCTGCCCGGTCGCGCCTTCCTGTTGAAGATTGCAGCGAGGGAGCTAAGTGAGCTCGACAGCCTCCCGGCCGCCATGCGATTGCGATTGCGCCTGCGCTGGGGGGACAAGGGATGATCTCCTCTTGAGCGCTCTGTCTTGTTGTTGCTGCGTCAGGGTCAGGTGTCTTTGCTGTCGAACTCGAAGGATCATAAGGCTCTGGACTGAAGCACGTGCTTGGGCGCTGTCGCGGATTGGCTGCTGAGATGGGGCTGGTGATTGAGATTCGAGAGACGGCGTGGTGGTGGTGGCGGAGGATGTAAGCGAATCGTGATCGATATGCGACTCTAAGTGTAGTTGGCGTTCAGCGCATCGCTGAGAAACCGAGTGGCAAGGTTGGTGGGCTGACCCTGATCCTGACTGAGCTATTTGCATTTGACTGTGCTGCAGGAGCCTGAGCATTTTGGAGGGCCTGGCGCTGGACGCGCACAGGGGACAGAGGCGGCATCGCTCGTTTGAGTGCCTGATCCACGGCGAGAGCCGAGGACTATCGCCGGGGTGAGCGAACAGCCTACGCCACAGCTCGGCGCGTAGCCGATGAATCGGGCGAGGACGTCCTTGCACGGGTTCTGGTATGCGTAGGCGAGGGCAGTCTTGCCGTCATTGTCACGTGTTGTGCAGCCTGAGCCGTCCTTGAGGAGGACTTCGACAGCCTCTGTGGAAGAGCCTTGTGCGGCGATGTGCAAGGCAGACTGGCCGTGGGCGTCGGTAGTGGCGGCGCACATGCCGTAGCTGAGCAGCAGGCGGAGGATTTCCGGGTGGGCGTGGAGCGCGGCGAGGTGGAGGGCGGTTCGCCCTTCGGGGTTGCGTGCGGAGAGAACACTCTCATCCTTTGCGTACTCGCGCTCAAGGGCCGTGACATCATGCATCGCAGCGGCGTACAGGAAAGAGAGTGCGTTGTCCATGGCTGGCGGTCGCGAGGTACAGCAGCAGCAGTTATGTTTCGCAGAAAAAGAAGTGAGATCTGGTCGATCTCCTCGTGAGGACGACGGCGTCTTCTTAACGCACGCCTCGTCCCTAGTCTCGCATCGAGTCCGGTTCAGACGAGCGCCGCCTCCTGTCGGTAAAATCCCGGATGTGATCCGCCCCCTCTTTGCGCTCGTGCTGATCATTGGACCACCTGCCCAAGCTGGCCTGGCGTGGGCATTGACAGCCAACAACTGACTCAAAGTGGTCCCCGCTCTTGCAGCCGAGATGGCAAGTGATTCCTAGCCAGACGCGTTATCTGACACCGGGGCGCGCGCTAGCCTCGACTGGTCTGGCCGGAGCTGATGTGTCCACTTCACTAAGATTCGAGTTTCGGCTAAAGATGGAGCCCACGGGTGAGGGAAGTGGAACTGTTCTCCGATGTCTCGTTCTCAAGGGAGAGAATTAATGTGTCGTGGATCTGCCTGCACCGGGAAACCTCCTTCAGCCTTTTGGTCGGAGACGGACAAATTGGCAGCTTCATAGATCGCAATCTTGAGCTAGCGAAACAGATTGCGCCATTCAGGCACGTGGGCCCGCGCTTGGCTGTCATTCTCCGCGGGTCGCCCCTCAACTCGGGCTAGCCCGGGTTCAATGGGCCCTAGTGAGACCGTGACTCGATTAGGGTCTCGCATTGAATCGTGTCCGATTACCAAACGTGTCTACTAAGACCTGTTGACCTGCAGCACTAGACTACACAGTAGTGTCGATAGCGATAGTTAAGCCGGTGAGAAAAAAATTGTTGCGTCGAGATCTTTTCAACTGACTCGGCGGTTTTTCTGTTCTTTGAGGTTTCACTCGGATGTTGTCAAAGAATGACCGCCGATGAGACCAAAAAACCATCGTTTATTGTCGACCTTCCGATCTTGGGCTTCCCATGTATGTGCCAGATTCCACATGCTGATTAGGGTCGTCAGGATGCTCCGATCCCAAAATAATCTTCCTTGCTTCCACCTTATCACTTGAACGTCTAGCTTTTCACCTTCCTTCCATCTTCCTTGAGCCCATAATGCTGACTCCAGATTGGCCATGCTGGTTAGCACATCGGGGTGGTTAGGTCCCAGCGTCTTCCTTCGCATCACCATGACATGCGCCTCCAGTTCTTCAGCTTTATTTTTCCGCCCCTGGCCGTTGTAGATAGATGCAAGTGCCGCCACGTTGGCCAATCTATCAGGGTGCTCGGGTCCCAAAATTGTGCCCATAACCGTCGTAACTAGCAGCTCAAGTTCTTCAGCCTCTTTCGTGGCCACGGCCTTCATTCCGGCCCTGGTTTCGCAACAATGGAATGATGCAGGACAGCAAACGGGAATATGAATTCCCCAAACTTTCTGAGAGTACGGGAAGTGTTGTAGTTGGTGCGGTTATCGGCCCGTACTTGGGCAGTCCTAGTACTTGAAATGTAACGGCCTATTGGTTCTTCCATATCCTAGGCCGTCTCCGTTGTCTATCATATGCTCTTGAAGACAACTCGGGACTGGCCTCTCAATCGGTTGAATTATTCCAATACTGGCGACGACAAACGGTCGACACACTTTCTGGCTTTCCGTCCCAGTAGTGATCCCCTCCCTCTTGCATTTCCTGGACTTGGGAAACTAATCAGTCACCTGGAATCCCTCTTCGCAGAGGAAATCTCGGAAGCCCGAGGACTCCCCAAGACGGGACTTCTGTCGTTCGAGGCCCTGGGAGAGCTGTTTTGCCCTGAGACCCCCGTGAAAGCAGCCACTGGCATGAAGAATCATGCCTCTGTCTTCCGGGTAACCGACTCGTTCTACGAAGATTGACGAAATATTTACGGTACTCAGAAGCTCTTGCATGTGCACTTTGAAGTTGTGTTGTTGGTGGGCGATCACTTCTCCATCGCTGGGCTGCAGTAGCAGCGGCGGCCTTGACGTCGAACTCTGCCATCTGGTGAGTCTGGCCACAGTCATCACCAACGTCTTCAGGGGCCTCGTACTCTTCTTCTTGCCACGCCAGCTGTTTCCGTCGGAGGAACCATACCGGTTTATCACACAACTACGGAGGAGGCGCGTCTTAGCGGGGTGGCTTGGTTGATTGATTGCGGGGGTGGTGATAAAAATCGTAGCTGGAAGGCCAATCCCAATGCAAGTTTCAGAAAGACAATCGCACCGAGAATGAGGATGATGACTTCGTCAGAGGTCTTTGTCCCATCTAGGTCTGGCAGGTGGTGGTGACTGTATCCATGGACGAGATCTGTGGAGTTGGATTTAGCCTGTCGTTTCCATGGTCGGCTTCAAGAGCGAGGGCCAGCATGACACGAGTAGGTCGATCACTGATCATACTGAACGTACCAGGTTCGATCCTTCCATTCAGAGCTCATCCGGAGCCTCACGACAACGAAGCCCTGTGCGAGACCTACTTATGAGCTCCCGCTGTCAAGTCCATATATCCACTGCACTCGGCCGAAGTCTGTACCACTTCCTTATTCCGTCCGTCCCCTTCGGCAGGTTCTCAGTCTCGATTTCGGCGTCAAGCCGATTCCAGCTCCGCTCAAGGTAACCTAGACTCCTCAGAACAGTTCCTGGTGCACTTAATGACTTGTTTCCGTACAATCTTGGGATAAAATCCGTCTAAGGCCCCTCTAGAAGGCATGGGGTATTCTCGTACCTTGCTGATGGTTCTTGGTAGTATGTGGAAGGGCCTGTCGAAAGCCTTAGCGCCAGTACACGCACATAGTACGGTAATTTAAGTTAATAGATCTCGTTCCCAAGCTGTCATCGTATGCTGAAGAGATGTATTGGTCATGGATGAAATCAGAGATATTAACGCCATAAGCGAATACGGACCGAGGAATGTGAATCTTGACGAGGGGAACAATCAACAGTTCAAAAAGCACTTGCGGCGTCGTCATCTGCAGTAGCTCCCCATCAACGGGCACAGGCATGGGGGCCCGGTGTTAGTGTGCTATAGAGGGGAGTGAGTTACCATAAAGAAAAGTAACTCTTCACACGAATATATTTCATATTTCATTGGATGAGTTAAGTTGCGGTTCGCATTTGCGTGGCGCGAAGCCAACCAGGGTAGGAAGCATAAAGCACTCCAGGTGGTGACGTTATCCAAAGGTCCAGACTCCTCTCATCTCACCACCCATCCACGGGGTATATAAGCACCGCATCAAATTCAATGAACCCTGGAAGTCCTCATTAACTGCGGTGTGCGAGAATTCTCTGACCTATATCATCGTTGGCAGCTCACAAGCAACATGCCGCTGGACAATTACGGCGTTTGGAAGGCTGAACCCAGACGTTACGATGTTGAACGCCGTGGGACCAGAACACCTCATCTAACTCTCTACTTTCGCGATGACTCAGGTCCTGACTATCACGCCGCCATAAACATCAAGTCCGGAGACCCAGACGAGTCGCGACTTGCCTATTGGGTAAATGAGGATATGAGCGGCCACCCGCTCGTTGGTCGTCTATCGCGTCTCAAGACGACCGGCTTCCACCGCTTGGATGATCAAGAGCCAGAACCGAACGGTCTACGACTTGACTATATCCGCAGCAATCTCTTTGACGTGGACACCGGTCGGATTCTCGAGCACGACATTAATGGTCCAAACAACGACATTATTGATGTCCTGGAGCCTAGGATACAGCAAGCAATGGCCGAGGGGGCTACTGTCTATATCTTTGGCGAGCAATTTAACACGCAAGATGGAATACACAATGTTCACATGAACCAGGGCAACATTCCAAGGTACTCAGGTGACGATGGCGTGTTCCAGGACGGGGCCCTCATCATCCATTTCCCTCGGTCCAATCAATGGGTCGGTATTTTCCTTGCCTTTGCATCGCAGGCCGTGCATACCAGTGAGGTTGATGGCCATTCCATTTCACGAGTGAAGTGGAAGGGCCTCCTGCTTGACGACCTTGTCGAGAATTCAGTGGCTATCCGCCGGGCCCTTGTGAAAACCACTGAAGGGCCGCAATTTGTTACCCTGGCGAATCTCACAAACCGCAGGGTGTCGCTTGCACGTTGGAGAATTCGCAATTCGGAATGGGCACAACAGGTTCTTTCTAGGGATTCCGCTTTAAACGCGAGAGCTACCAATAACTTTTCTATTCCGCACTGCCGGCTCTCTCAGGACGGTGACACTATCACTCTTCTCGATCGCGATGGGCTCAAGGTCGCCGGCGTCAGGTATAACTCTCAGCAGGGAACCCAGAATGGGCCAATTGATTTCGCAGGCCAGGGTTGATAACACACTTTCTTATCAGGGTTTATGAAGCTCTCTGTCATTCGTCAAAAGTAACCAATCAATATTTCCACCCTTTGCCAAATTCTTCTTGGCAGAGGATTGGGGTGTCTTACTGAGCTGTCAATCACATTTCGGTTGCAGAGCTAGAGAGGTTAAGTCTAGTCATGAAATAGCACACCAAAGTCATTATCATCATTTTTGACTTAAGATACCAAGCTCTGAGTGCAGATAACCATTCAACCGCTTGGGAATAGGGTGAGTAATCAAACCGCGGATGTTGTAGAGCAATTTATGGACATGGACTTCTTCTGAGAAGTTTCCATTAGTTCGCATACTTCTCCGGATCAGGGAAATGGAGCTATTTGGTACTATTTCAAAGAATCCTTCTTTTAAAGCCTATTTTGTGGAGGCATGTTTCTAAGTACCTAGCTGCTTCTTGGAGCATGCTAGAGCCTCCAATACAAGCTCCGGCCTCAAGGTTATGCGCAAGTCCACTAAGCGTGCTTAAGGACTGCTTTGATGCAGGTTCCCTGCTCAGCAAGGGTGTTGGACAACTGAGTATCGCACTTTATGAGCGGCAGATTGTTGGTGGTGCATAAGGGATTGCACGGAGTTGAATGTTCTCGAGCAGTCAAGACACGATATCCCTCCAGAGTCCACAGATTTAAGCTATTCGCGCTTGATTCATATCCTGATCTTATGAATCGAGTGCATAAGGCTAGGACCTCAATGGGTCAAATCACAATCATGACGGGCGCAAGCACGGTCAATACCGCCTAGATCTCTTCGGTCGACTCCCTAATTTCCCACAATTGCTGCTCCTTCTTTATGCCATTCCAGTACTCATCGGACTCCAGCCCCGGGTACTCAGAGACCGAGTCCGGTCCAGGTTCAATGAGCGAAAGCTCGGCGTAATTAGCCATAGGTTCGGGGTCGCGAACTTTGCCCGTGGAACGTAGTGGGTGGCGCCCGAGGGACACCAGGTTCTCGGGCACAGGTTTATCGTTGTTGACATGTAGGTACTTGGCATCCAGTCGTAGATATCTTGCAGCCCACACAAGTGGCTCCTTGATTTGTTCCCGTTGAAACTCGCTTCTGATTCTTTCCGCTTCGGCATTGGCACCTACAGGCACACCCAACGCTTCGAGTAAGTCGGCGGAGATGCCACCGCGGGCAGCAAAGGCTCTTCTGCTTTGGCTGAACGACACGGTATCCGCTAATTCGTACACCCCTGTCAAGTACCAGATTTTCGGGCTTGTGATCTGTGTCCTGAGGCTGGGGTTGGCTACAACCAACCACCTCTCGAGGGTTTTCTTGCACGACTCCCTTGTCAAGACCCTCTCTGTAAGGAACTCTCGAGGGCTGGGCCACAAGTCAGGGGAATATGCCATTTGGGTGGTTGGGAGAGTTTACGTACTCCTGTAGCTCAATCTTGCGCCCTGTTTTTGCGTATATGAACATAGAGTTGGACTTGGAGAAGGAGGATCCCAGCGAGGCAAGATCCAACGCGTTGATTTCAGCCGATATCTTCACCGACGGGTCCGTTCCGAACAGTTGGTTCTCAATCTTGAAGACATGTGCGGATTTCTCAAGTTCATCAGCCCTATGATTTCACAAGTAAGCCCAACGCCAGACAAGGGAGGCAGTTGCTCTTACTGAAGATCCTCACCGGGCGAATACCACAGGGAATCATCGGTCGCTTTGGAATAGTGCCCAAAACACAGGTGGCCAAGGCGTAGTTGCGCTGGCTTCTTCCCGGTCCCGTAGAGAAAATAGTGTTGGTCGTTGCACCGGGGCATGTTGGTTGACCAGCTGTTGTTCGTTACTCCAAGTTACCTCCCGGTGCCCTTGAGCTGTGATGTTCTTCTCTCTTCTTATGTGGGCCCCAGAGATATAGTGTGGCTTAGCGGGAGAAGAATTATAGTGTCCGACGATCGGCGTCATCCTTGGGTCAAGGTCGGCAGCGCGGCTAGATTCGGCTTTTATGTGCCTGTCGTGTTGATTCCATGGAAACCTGATGGGCGGTACCCCTCCGTATTCATCTCACAGCCACAACCATTCCCGCATGTTCCAAGATGTCAATGAGTCTGGGTCGAGCCAAGATTCAGAGGAGATTCGGGG